GAGATTTGTATGATTACAGTGAAGCCAAATAAAATGTTTCGGCAATGTTTTTGGTTCCTTTACATAATTCGAATCGTCTCTGGACCATGGTTGTCTATGGAGGTAGAGAGCTCTCGGATTTCCTCTAAAACATCTTAATGTGCGTTTTGAAGATGAACAAAATTCTCAGGGGATTGGAATAGTATGAGGGTGAGTAATTATTAACAGATTTTAAATTTTTGGGTCAATTTAACCCTTTAACTTCTACTATCTACAAGTACCTTTCTGTTGACATGTTCCATCACACCCTCTATTGTATGATGTTCTTTAATAAGCTTAAGAGCTCGACTCGGCCCAAGACCTCCAATTTTATCACAGTAGTCACAACCCAGTAAGATACATAGGTCCACAAACTGGAAAAGAGACACAGGTAGAAAACGGACAAAAAAACAACAAAAAAAACACACATTACACCCTCTGTATTATGCTCTTTTAGTATTTAGATTTTTACAAAGCAATTCAAATGTTAGTCAAATTCATATTGACTAACTAACATATTAACTACTATGCTAGATGTTTCTAATTACATCGTGACAATCAGGCTAGAGATTAATTGAGAAAAGCCATCAACAACTTCAGGAAAAAAAGCAACAAAAAAAAAAATGAACAGAAGAGAGACTGAATGTTTTACCTCTTCGTATTTTAGCTGTAGGGCTTCCAGTAGCTTTGGTAATGAGTACTCTGTGATCTCACTGAGAGAAAAAAAATTTATATTAGTCATATCTCTTTTGTGGCACAGATTGAACAAGGCACTGGACATAGAATGTTAATTTTGTCAATGAAAATAAGAGCAAAAATGTTCATTGATTACCTATTTTCTAAGGCTAGAAACAATAATCAAACATCAACATCATGAAATACTACCAGTGCAATACTACAACAATATTTACAATCAGCATGCAATATTGTTTACGAAAAAGACGAGACTAAAATAATCAAAAAGATAAAAACTAACCAACCTAATTTTCTGTTTATATCTGCACTGAAAAAAAAAAAATACTTTTCCTACTTGGATTTGTCTTGTTTCTAGGCCAAACATCTAAATAGTCTTAAATCAAGAAGCATTTTCTAGACAAGCAAAACATGATGCCTCATTTTCAGAAATATTGTGCCAAAATTAAGTGAGTTTTGACAATGTCTTTGGCCGCTTGACTTTGAAAACACTGTGATCCTTGTTGTCTTTTGAGGATGAGAGAGCTCTTGGATTTTATCTAAAATATTTTTATTGGTGTTTCAAAGATGAATAAAGGATTCAGGGGAGTTGAAGAACCCGAGGGTGAGTTTTTGTAGTTCTTTAATGTGACTAAACAATAACACTGATATTACTATTTTAAAGCATATCTTATTATGCTTTCTCCTGCAAAATCTATAATTGGAAAAAAAATCCCTATGACTGCTTTTTTTTTTTACCTGTCTCTCTTTGCATTCAGCTGGCGGAGAAGAACAGTTCCTCCAAATGCCAGTGTGTCCATGTCCTCTGAGGCCACAGCATTTACTGTGCCGATTTTGGCCAGGTGGGCACACAGAGCCTCTGCTTCACCTGGAGCCTGACAGTGAAAAAAAGTTCTCAAATTCAGATGAGAGAGAATTTAAATAAGCAAAACAAGCTAAATAAATTCATTAGAAAACAAAATACCTTGATACAAGGCACACCCATGAGATGCAGGAGACGAAGGCATTCTTGATTAAAGGCAGACCCTAAATTTGTGGAAAACAAGGTGTCAAATATAATAGTTATTATTACAAATATATTATTATTTTCATTAAAAATTCTATATTTTTGTTCTTCTGCAAATAATTGTATTGCTCATAAATGCATTTATAATGTTACAAGTACTTCTGAACTTTATATTATCAAAGATTATTAAAAAAGACATATTAGAAATTTAATGCATCATAATAAAATGTATAGAATAAATTGCATTTTAAAATATATTCAAATAGAAAACAGTTAGCTATGGTATGATGTAATAATATTCTAAAATACTATGGTAGTGATTAAAACAATGCAGCCCCTGTAAGCATAAAATAGCTTGAAAAAAAAAAACAACAACAACAAAGCCGTGAACAAATATAACCAGCTCCAAACTTATCGACTGAGTATATGAGGAAACATTTAAAATATACATTTTTCACAGATCCAGTTGCAACAGTGTTGAAGCCACATATTTACCTGTGTTGGGGCTCTGTGAGCTGCTCCAGCCTGTGCTTTGAGCTCTTTTCTCCAGCTAAAAAAATAACGTTTTACTAAATACAAACTAATTATATGTATATATATATATATATATATATATATATATATATATATATATATATATATATATATATATATATATATATAACTATTCAACAGAAGTCTGAATCTCACCACAGCTCTCTTTTGATGGGGTGGCTTTCCATCAAGTACAAAGACAGGCTTGATGTCATGCTCCAGGAAAGCAAGAGTGCGGTAAAACAAGCCAGCGAGGGGACTGCAACAATAGATATTCATTTTGTAAACAGAAACATATAACATGGAATAAAGAGCTGGGCAATTTGGCCGAAAATCTAAATCCCAATTAATTAAACAGTTTAACTCAATAACTATTCATGAACAATTATTTAATTTATTCATTAATTATTAATTATTAATTGATTATTAATTCATGTTTTATTCATATAGTTCACTGACAAGTTTTGTACAAGAAATAAGCTCACATATTACAATATTTATTATATATTTATTACAACATTAATTAACATTAATATTTATTACAACATTAATAATATTTTAAACAGTGCATTTATTGCATCTTCTATTTTAATGTAAATAATTATTTTAAATGAATGGAAAATATGCCGGCTCAAGGCATCTCTGACGCAGCTCCCAATCATTGTCACTGTAGTGCAAAGTAAGGCTCAATAACAGTTCCATCGTCTTACTTGACCCAAGATCAGATGTGGCCGCGAACCCTTGACTCTACACATGGTAGAGAACGTAATTGAAAAAAATGACCTTGAAAAATTTGATCGATTATGGGTTCTGAATGTTGATTTCAATGACCTTTTAATTAATCGCCCAGCCCTAGAAGGGCAATACAAAAAATGAATTGAACTGACCTTAGTTTCAGATGGCCAGGGAGAGCTGAACGGAACTGATTCACCACAATAGATGTATCTAGTGCGATAATCTTACCTGAATCACAGATAAATGACATTTAATACAGTTTATTTTGGGTAAATATAACAGAAAAGAGACAATTCTGAGAAGAACAGGGTTTTTTAAAGCTAAAAAGCTGCAAGGAAGTGCTACAAGGTGAGTGGAAAGTTTGAAGATAAAGAATAAAAATGGCAAAAAAGTATCAAAAACAAAACTGAACGATCACACATTTTATTAAGATAAATAAATGACACAATAAACAAACATTAGTATAAATTAAACAAATATTTAGAATTAAATTATAATAGCATACTGATTATACAATGAATAAATAAGATTAGAATATATAATATGTTATCCACAATTTGTTTAAAATTATGAAATAAATAACTAGGATAAAACTAAATATAAGTATTATTGTAAAATATTATTGTTTTATCTTAATAATTATTAAATTGATTAGAATAAACAAACAAACAAACAAATAAACAATAAATAATTAAATAGAGCACATAATTTATTATTCTGAAGGTTTTAGTTCTACAGGTTTTATGAAAGTTCATTTAAAAGGCCACATTAAAGACCATAGAATACATTGACACAACACAATCCATCACCATGTTTTAAAAATGTAAATATCTATGAACCACAAAATAAGTTGCATTAGCAATACTTTCTACAAATTTTCCAATATACTTCTACCTCGCAGTACCTAAAAAATAGGTTCTTTATTAAATCATTTGTTGCCTCACAGTACAAATACCTTAAAAATTCATTCAATCAAGATGCATTTACTTGAGAAGCAAAATGATAAAATATATGAAGTCTTGTTTTCTAAAATATTGATGAACAATTCATTCATTCATTTATTTATTCATTTTCTTTTCGGCTTAGTCCCTTTTTATTAATCTGGGGTTGCCACAGCGTAATGAACCACCAACTTATCCATATGTTTTACACAGTGAATACAACCCATTGGTGACATTTTAAATATATTCACTAAATACTGATTATAAGAAACTAATTCTAAACTAAAACATTATTCATGTGCTTTATAAAAATGTTAATCCTAAAGGTTTTGCCAGCAGAAATAACCCAAATGTTTCTTACACCCCCAATCACAGAGCAGTCAAGTCAGATAAAGATTTAGTTTTTTAAACAATTCATTATTTTCGATTTTTTTTGTACATTTAAAAAAATCACTTAAAATGTAGAGATTTAATTTAGATAAAACATGAAAAAGAAGATTCAGTGATATAGGGAAAAAACAGCTAAATAAATTTTAAAAAGTTAATAAAACTACAGGATGCATTTTAGGACTGTTGGGCCCCATGGCTGGAACAGTTTAGGGCCCCCAAATCACTATATATATATATATATATATATATATATATATATATATATATATATATATATATATATATATATATATATATATATATATATATATGTCTGAATCCTTATTGTTAACGTTTAACTACATTATAACTTCAATGCATTAATCTTACCAGAATAATCGCCGATCTCTTTGCTGCGCATTGACGCTGGTGCGTCGAAATGAATTAAATGCGCTAATTTTGTAATCCCCATATTAAATTAGCAGCGTTTTTAGCAGTAAATAGTGCTCGATGAACTGTTGTTTTGGTCATTCATCGCACACACAGCTTCATTTCCGCATCGTGCCAGGGTCTCACGATGTTTCCATGGTAACATGGTACTGATAGGGTACTTCGACATACGTCATCAAATCGTTTCAAGACTTCCTTTGCTTACAACAGACTGACCCAACTCACTTGCCGTAGTAGACGGCGAAAGTGCGAAAAGAGTTTTGAAAGTGATGCGCGTGGGGAAGAAGCAGAGGATGGGCAGGCTCACATTATTCTAAATGTTTCATTAGGTCAACACGACCTAAACTTTTTTTTTGCAAATAATAAGAACTCATTTACCAAGTAAAGATGGAGCAAGGACTAGAAATGTCAGCAATGATTCCTGCACTGCAAGAATTAGCAAGGTAACGTCAATGGCTGCTAACAGCGACTATTATTTTTTTAAAGTGTCTTTAACATGACTAACGTTATTAAAGAATAAATCAAACACAAGGCTTGTTTTGTGTTTTCCAGTGCCAGTTCGGTTGAGTACAACCAGGCAGTGCAGAAACCTCGTCAGATACTTTGTCAGTTCATTGACAGGATATTGACAGATGTTGATGTCGGTAAGAAACAATAAACTGTATTTTGGGGTTTGTTGAGAATAGTTGTTCTTACATGAAAGTTCTGTCATTATTTACTAACACTTGTGCTTTTTCAAACCAAGCTGAATGAAAGTAAAGCTATAAGCTTGTAGTTGACTTTACATAAAACCCGAGAAATACTGAAAAATCTTAATGTAAAGTCCTCTGTGGATGATTTATGTTTTTTATATGCTAATAGTTATAAATGCTAATAATTATATTACATGTTAGATGAAACTTCTAAATAATGCTTGTCAAATGGCTTTCAGAGTGTGTTTTTTATTTCAATTGTATGTACAGCTTTATAGTCGAGGTATTTTATTTCAGTGTAACTTAATATATGTATAGTATAGGACAGTGGTTCTCAAACTTTTTTTCATCAAGTACCACCTCAGAAAAAAATTGTCTCTCCAAGTACCACAAAAATGAGCAGTATTGAAATACAGTAGCGTAGTAGACCCAGTAAAGCAGCTACAACTCTGCAAAGTAAAAAAAAAAATGTGGCAGATTACCTCAGAAATATAGGCTAAATGTCACATATGGCATATTATTTACATAATTTTTGAAAAATTTTGAAATGTGTATAGCATGTACATGACATATTTTATTCCTCCACGTACCACTAGAAGGAAGCCTGCGTACCACTATTGGTACACGTACCACAGTTTGAGAACCACTGGTATAGGATATTATGCCACCAAATTAAATTTATGGGACAATTATAATCCAGAAATGGATGATCAACATTGGCAGTAGTGTATGAGTGCATGTGTACATGTGAGAGAATATGGGTGTTGTCCAGTAATGGTTTGCAGCTGGAAGGGAATCTGCTGTGTAAAACATATGCTGGAATAGTTGGTGGTTAATTCTGCTGTGGTAACTCCTGATAAATAAAGGACTAAGCTGAAGGAAAATGAATGAATGAACGAATTAATTATAATACTTGTTTAACCTGTTAACTGCTGAAGTATCATTATGAAAATGAAATTTCAAACTTCATGTAAATCTTGGTGGCAACGCAGTGGCACAGTAGGTAGTGCTGTCGCCTCACAGCAAGAGGGTCGCTGGTTCGAGCCTTGGCTCAGCTGGCGTTTCTGTGTGGAGTTTGCATTTTCTCCCTGCGTTCGGTTGGGTTTCATCCGGGTGCTCCGGTTTCCCCCACAGTCCAAAGACATGCGGTACAAGTGAACTGGGTAGGCTAAATTGTCCGTAGTGTGTGTGTGTGTGTGTGTGTGTGTGTGTGTGTGTGTGTGTGTGTGTGTGTGTGAGTGTGAGTGTGTGTGAATGAGTTTGTGTGGATGTTTCCCAGATATGGGTTGCGGCTGGAAGGGCATCCGCTGCGTAAAAACATGCTGGATAAGTTGGCGGTACGTTCTACTGTTATGACCCTGGATTAATAAAGGGACTAAGCCAAAAAGAAAATGAATGAATGAATGAATGAATGAATAAATGTAAATCTTGATTTTTTTTTAATCTTTTTTTAATAAAAACACTTGGTAGATTATTGATGACGTGTGAAGGTAAAAAAAATGAAGTAAACAAATTTAAAATTAAATAGGTTTTCATTTCAAGTTTAAGTTGTTTTAAATTTGAGCCTAATACAAAAACAGTATCATCTCTGCTATATGCAATTAGTTTTTTTAACATTAGTAGATTTGTGTGTGTGCATGTGTGAGATTAATATGGCAAACGCCAAAACTTTATTCAAGATAAATTAATAGTCCTTTAAAAAAATAAACAATTTAATTTTGGCTTAAATGACCAAACAACACAAAAAATTTTTCTAATTAATTATATCAAAACAGATGTTACAAAAACTCAAAAAGGTGTTTACTTCCAACAGTCCAATAACAGCTCTAAATGACTCCAACATTTTTGTTACCCAACATTAGAGACTCTCCCTTTTTCCTGTCTCCCTATTTCTATGTCAAATAGTTTAATAAGATATTAGTGACATCTGACTACATAGATAAAAAATTCTAATTATTTCTCAAAATATTCTCTCATGTTCCAATGAAGAAAGGGGAACGACTTAAGGGAAAATGGGTGATATAATTAGTATTTTAAAGGATCTTTTTTCTCTTTAAAACAAATCAGTAGAACATATGAATATATTAGAAATTAGCATTTTTTATTTCGTTGAATTCCCTTCTAGCTTTTAATACAGTAATGTGTGAGACACTTGTCTTGCTTATTTGGTCTATTTTTATGACATTTTATCTCTATCACATTGTAGTTGCTCTGGAGTTATGCAAGAAGAGCAGTTCTGAGCCAGCGTGTGTGATGCTGTTAGACTTTGTGCAGCACATTATTAAATCCTCTTCACTGATGTTCATAAACCCAGCGTGCCTTTCTGATCACTTCAAAAACTCAGAGAACAGCTGCACTGGTGAGTTGGTCTATTTACCTTCGTTAGTATTTTTTGTACATGCATGTGATTCTGAACCACAAAGCCAGTCCAACCACAAAACAAGTACAAATGTAGTTTTTTTTTATATAAATCACAATTATACATCATTCCATTGATGTTTGGATTGTTATGACAGAACAAAATTTGGGTGAGATATGAATATTTGAAAAAAAATTGCAATCTGAGGGTAAAAAAAATCGAAATATTGAGAAATTTACATTTTAAATTGGAGAAATTAATTTCTTAGCAATTATTTTACTAATCAAAAACTAAGTTTTATGTATTTACAATAGGCATTTTACAAAGTATCTTCATGGATCATGACCTTTACCTAACATTCTAATGATTTTTGTTATTAAATAAGAACCCATACAATGTATTTTTGGCTATTGCCAGAAAATATACCTGTGCAACATAAGATTGGCCACATCTCCAAAACATTCCAAGGCATTTAAAGTCAGAGAATTTGTCTAAGTCAATGATTATCAGGGATTTTAGTTGGTCATTTAAAATTTTACCCCCTTTTAATCAAAATGTCTGATTATTGCTGCAAAAAATGACTATTTGTTGGTGATTTTTCTCAATTTACAGCATTATTTGAAGAATTTATTTTGTTGATGTAATCTTTGTGATTTTTTTTTCTTCGTTGCTTTTTTGACCTCAAGAACCTCTAATCTCTGTAATTTAAATAACAAACACTAAAAACAAAGAGGACGTGTTTACCTCTTAATTATACAAAGCCTACTCCATCATATTTGATACATGGCTCTAAATGTTGAAATTAAGTGTTAAGATCTCTTCAAAAAAAAAAAAAAGTACAAAAAATTTAACAATTTAATTTTATTTAATTTTTGCAGTCGATACAACAGATGTAACCTTGATTAAATTTTTACAACTAATTGATTTAGTTTTTTAGGGCAACAGCATGAACAGTATGTCTAGCAGAAAAAGACCATCCATATCAAAAGCTACAGGTCCAAAATAGTTTTAATGTTTCTAATTATAAAATACATTGTGTTAAATGGGGAAAAATGTTTTTTTTTTTTACCCAGACATTTAAAAAGAGCATATTTTAGAGCAGTAATCACAATACAGTGATATTGTGAAACCATGATATTTTTATCCAAGGTTATCATACTGTCAGAATCTTATACCAGCCCATGTCAAATCGCTAAACCAGATGAGTACTTTCTATATGCCAATATAAAGCCATGTAATACAAAACAATACTGATGATGCAGAAGGAATTCAAAGTGTTCTTCCCGGTCAAAAATAGCTGCACAAATTGAAAAAAAAAGCAAGCTTCCCAGAAGGCTGTGCCATTTGCTGAATTTTGTGTTCAATCCAGCGATGACAGAATCCCAAAATTCTGAATGAACACAACAGCTCATTATATTATATATTCATTATAAGTAATAGAAATTCAGCTTTTTAGTGATTGAAAGTCATGCAGTTTAGCATAATGTTTAGAGTGGGAACCTTGGACTGGTTTGTGGTCCAGGATCACAAGTATAACCATCATAGATTGACCGTCTACTTCTCCCTTCCCAGATTTCACTAAATGGATCATTAATCGCCTCTTACGAATTGCTGCTTGCCCAGAATGTGAAGACCTTCACATGAAGATCTCCTCAGTCATCTGTTCATTGCTTCATCTATTCAGAGCCAAGGCTCCAGTCGTGTTTAGCCTGTTTTCCACTGAGCTGATTTGTCTAATACAAGATCTGGTGCATAAGAACCTCATGACCCGACCATCACCACAGTGGCCAGTGGTGGTGGAGCGATTCTCCATCAAGTCTGGAGAGTCTGCCGTTTACTTGACTCCCACTATCCTCCAGCTGTCCTCTCTATCCTCAACTCAGGCATTGTTAGCAACATCATTAAGAGTTCTGACAGATGTTATTCAAGGCCTTTTCTTTCCAAGAGAAGTGGGCATTATATGGGACTCTACCTGTCTCATGCTGTCTAATGGAAGCCCCAAGCTCAAGGCAGTGTCCATGGTGCTTTTAACTCGCATTGTGACTCTAGGAGGCTTCCCCGAAGACCATTCACAGCCCTTTTTCTCAGCTTTTTTGCATGTCCTGGACTCATTACCTGCTTTTGATGAATCAGAGCTTGGTGTGTTCAGTAGGGAGTTTCAGCAGCTCTCTCGATGCATTTTCCAGCATGAAGAAGGAGCTCACAGCAGGTTTGAGAGAGTCCATCTGAACATGCTGATGGAGAGGCTTGAGAAACTGGTTGTTATTGGGGCACTGGAGCACTTGAAGGTTAAGGAGGTGAAAGCTACGCTTTGTGAAGTCTTCTGCTTTATCCTGGGGTTTGTTCCTCCTGGATATGAGTGTGCTTTGCAGATCCGGAAGGAGAGAGTTGCAGCAATTTGCAAAGCTCTGATTAAGACAATTGGAACCAAGGACCAGCATGAGGTAAACAGAGATTTTTTAAAACATGCAGATTAATCAAGACCTTTAATTTATTCTTTGTTCTGTTGTCCTGTTAATTTACTCAGTCTCAGGCCATCCAAGATGTAAGCAATCTTTCCTTTCTGTAGATCTTTTGCTGAAACTGTGAGCCAAGTCATTGGTTGCAAGCACTTTGAGATTAAAAAACACAATTACAAAAAATGAATACCCATGACCCCTGATGGAACATTGAGGTCCAATGATGAAGTGAAATGATCAGTGTGTGCAAGCAATTGAACATAATTTAGAATATAATGTTTTCTTGCATTATTTTAATGACCAAGGATCATGGTTTCAGCAAAAATATGTTATACTAAAGAAGAATGTTACCTTCATCTTAGATGGCTTAAAGGTTAGCAAATGTAATTGTTTTTGGAGTGAACTATGCCTTTAATGGAAGTTAGTCTATTTTTTTTATTAATTGATTAAATTCTTTTTTTTTATTGTTTACAATTTCCTAACCTTACATGTTTCCAAACCTATAAGACTTTGTTAAACAAAAAAAATTTGAGAAGCATAGAAGTTCAGTTATTCATGTTTGAGACACAAGAACAACCCTGATTCGTTCATTCATTTTCTTTTCGGGTTAGTCCCTTTATTAATCTGGGGTCGCCACAGCGGAATGAACAACTTATCCAGCATATGTTCTACGTAGCAGCTGCCCTTCCAGCTGCAACCCATTGCTGCAAAACATCCATACAGAATCATTCACACTCATACACTACGGACAATTTAGCCTGTCCAATTCACCTGTACTGCATGTCTTTGGACTTGCGGGGGAAACCGGAGCACCCGGAGGCAACCCACACGGGGAGAACATGCAAACTTCACACGAAACGCCAACTGACCCAGCAGAGGCTCGAACCAGCGACCTTCTTGCTGTGAGGCGAATGTACTACTCACTCTGCCACTGTGCAGCCCTACAACCCTGATTGGTTCTCAATCCAAGAGAACCAATCTTGAGTGAGTAAATGGTGAGGGAACGTTCATTTATGGGTGAACTATCTCTGTAATTATTTTAAATTTCTGAAACGCAGTAACTCAAATCTCATTCTCACTTATTTTAATTGAGGTTTAAAGTCATGTCGTGCTAAGGTATTGCTGTGTTCATGCAATTTACTTATTTTCTGTTGCATGAAATCTAGCAAAGCTTAGAAGGCTACCTGTATGCTGCCCTGAAGACAGACGCCATCGCTGCAATGCAGGACGTTCAGGCCAGTGTTTCTGATCCTGCTGATCCCAGAATGTATGAAGAAGAGCTTCCAGCCAAAAGACCAAACCTCTCTCTTCCAACCCAACTGAGGAGCAGGGACAAAACTCAGCCAATGTATATATTTTTCTCTATTTCTTGACATTCCCTCAGTTTTTCCTTTTATCATGTGTATTCATGTTGTCCACCATCAGGCAGGTGGACATGAAGAGCAGAAGTGAGGTTTGGGCAGCTGTAGACTGTCGTCTGGAGGAGTTACTGACACAGATGAGAAACCATACAGTGAGCCAATGCGTGAGTGCGGTTCAGGGACTTGCGGTGATCTTTCATCTGGCCGCACTTTGCTCAGAACACTCTCTGAAGGGACCACAGAGGTATGGTTTAATGTAAAGGGCTCTATTTTAACGATCTAGGTGAAAAGTCTAAAGCGCAGGGCGCAAAAGCATTAAGGGTGTGTCCGAATCCACTTTGTCTATTTGCTATTTTGTGCATGGCGCACTTTGTAAGTGGAAAAACTAAGTACTTCACTAGCGAGAAAACAGTTAAACAGACCATCTGCAGCAAGGATAAAGAACGAGCCTCCTCTATTCAGCCTCTTTACATTCTATTTATTTTACTTTTACTCTTTACTCCTTTACTTTCATGGATAAGAAAATGGTGTTGTACGCACTCCATTGAAAGACATCCATTAGCCTACATATTTAAGTTTAAGCGCAAATATTTGTTTTAAATCTATTTCTAAATTCAGTTCTAATTTCCAGCAAACGAATGAATGAACAAAAATAACAAAATGTTGTCTACAAATAGCAACAAATTGCACCATACATGATAGGGCTCAAAGTGTTACTTCAACCAAAAATTATTTATTAATTACTCACCTTTGTGAGAATGAATGAATAAATGTAAATCTTGATTTTTTTATTTTATTTTTTTTAAATAAAATCTTCAGAACACAAATTAAGATATTTTTGATGAAATTCAAGCACATCGACAGCAATGTTCCCATGACATTCAAATACAGAAAAGGAACCAGAAACACAGTAAAACATTCAGTGTGACTTCAGTGCTTTAGCTGTAATCATATGAAGCTCCAAGAACACTTTTGTTAACAAAAGAAATGTAAAAACGGCTTTGTTTTTTAAATGTTTAAAACTCTGACATTAAATTCTAACAAGGATCAGGACAAAAGAGTTTAAGAGTCACAGGCTCCCTCTGAGGTTTCAGATAGATTTTAAAATTCTCATGCTGACCAATGAAGCTTTACATGGTTTGGCTCCTCATTACTTCACCTCATTATGGTTCCTCGTTATTCATTCATTCATTTTCATTTTGATTAGTTCCTTTATTTATCAGGGGTCACCACAGTGGAATGAACTGCCAGTTTATCCATCATTTGCTTTACACAGCGGATGCCCTTCCAGCCGCAACCCAGTACTGGGAAACATCCATACACACTCATTCACACGCATACATACACTACAGCCAATTTAGTTTACTCAATTCAACTGTTGCCCATGTGTTTGGACTGTAGGGGGAAAACGAAGCACCTGCAGGAGGAGATCATGCAAACTTCACACAGAAATGCCAACCGGCCCAGCTGGGACTCGAACCAGTGACCTACTTGCTGTGAGGCAACAGTGCTAACCACTGAGCCACCGTGTTCGCCGGTTCCTCTTCATATTACTGTTAATCTTTTACCAGCCTAGTCTCGATCTACAATCTTCTAATTATGGTCTTTTAGTGGTAACCAATACTTGTTTACATTCCGTTATTATTATTATTTTCTTTAACTTTTTCTTTGATTTAAATGTTTACCCGTATCTTTTTCTGTGTAAAACACATTTGAATGTACCTTTTAAGGTGCTTTAGAAAATAAAATAGTGTTTTTATTTTAATAAAAATATGTTTATTTTAGTAAAAATGTTATTGTCATGAGTTTATCAGGATGCGCGTTTAATATGAGCAGCATGATTTACTTGCATTTAAAGTCAGCTGTGCAACACGCAAGCATTATATTTCCCATAGTAAATGTAAAGTGTGACCTGATGTGGAACAATTTGCCAGTCAAAGGTGTTTTTACTTCATGTAGAATGCTTTGAGTGTTTTTGGTTCCTTTTCTGTACTTTGAACGTCTTGTTATTGCTATTGCTGTATATGGAGGGTGTGAGAGCTCTCAGATTTCATCTACAAATGGTCATTTGTATTGCAAAGATGAACCAAGGTTGATTGTATTGACACAAGGGTAATTAATTTATTATAGAGACACATTTTTGGGGTGAACTAGCTATTTAAGATCTTTGTGTTGCATGGTTATTGATGCTTATTCTTAAATTCCTCTTCCGTGGCAGAGGAGAGAAGTCATCAGAGTCCTCAGTTGTAGCTCAGCTCATTTGGTTAAAGCCTCAGATGTTGGCACAAGTTGTGGAGAGCTGCCGCACCGTATTGGCAAACAACTATAATGAAGAGCATCTGGAGCATCTGGTGGAGGGAATTGTCAGGATTCTTGATGCTGTTCTCTACCTTAGCAGTGAGTGCTTATTTTTTTTGTAAGATCCTAGATTTGACTCAAAGGAGCATTTTTTCAACTTGGTTATTTTTAGGTACTTTTTTGAAAAGCTCATAAATATTTTCAAGGTTTATTACAAGTAAATGCTCTTAAAATAGTATCTGCTCAGAAAAATAAATCACTATAAACAAAATTAAATGCATCATAAAAATTCATGTAACTGTAGAATAACTCACTACTAGGGGTGTAGCAATTCACCGTGAGTCAATTAGAAATCGATTCAAATATGTGACGATTTACAGCTTTTCTCAGTCGCTTTGGTGCATTTCTCACAACACTGTTTACATTTACACACAGTTAATTAGTAATTTCTCCACATAAATGTAGCAGTTTCTTATTTCTTCGAACAAATTGAAAATGCTTTTGGACATGCATCAATTGCTTTTATACAACTCTGCTCTTTTATAACATTATCATTTGCCTATGTCATGTCAGTCAAAATGAACTAAACTTGTGAATGCTGACTAGTCATTCCATATAAAACTAATAGTCTTCATTTCATTACCTCGCTGACTGAGAAAAACTGTAAACCGGTAAAAATGCGCATCGCCATACATGTTTTGAACAGAGGGGGGCGCTGTGTTTACAGGTGCAAACTCTCTTAACCTGCACATCAGCAGCGAGTAAGAAGGGGGGCAGCATAGTAAAAGGACAGTAGTGAAGTGTGTCAGACAAAACACAAACTGTGCAAATACCGCAAAAAGACGTTTACTTCCACTAACAGAACAACAAACGTTCAGAACAACAGACTTCTATATGCAAAAAAAATATTAATTAGTCAAACTACACGGACCGGATAATTTGCAGAGCACTACATAGACCACACGGTGCATCAGTGTTTTCCTGATGAAAGTGTGAGGATGTTTTTCAGACTGAAAGAGAAAGTTGTTCTGTTACAGAACCAAGTTTTAGATTATTTTTACCCTTTCCTTTTTAAATTAGTTTATGCATGTTTTAATACTTTGCCTATTATATCTGAATGTTTAAAATTGTTCAAGATTATTTATTTTTAAGTGTATCACACTGATACTTATACTAATTAATTATACAATATAATAATATGAATTATTCACCTTCTTAATTATGTTCAACTCTAGTGTCTGTCCTACTATATAATTAATAATTTTATAATCAGTATTATATGCCAGTGGCCAGTCCCCTGGATTAGAGGGCCTATTGACCACCTCTGTACACACCACATATGTTTATGAAAGGCTTTCCTCTCTATACCAGCCATCTTAGTCCCCCAGTGAAAATTTTTTTTTTCAGCAGGGGACATTGTAAATGTGCAAAGACCTCAGCTTTTGTTAGAAAATATAGATATGCTGATATTTATTGTTAAAAAATGTGAAATCCCAGTTTATGTTTATTAATAAATCTTCTTTAGTTTGCATCATTCTCTTTTTTATTTGTTTTTAAAATAGCGATTTAGTCATGGCAGAAAATATATTATTTTGCAAAGAATGTGCTGCATTTAAGGAGAAAATGAAATTTGTCTCAAATAATTTTGTTAAAAAATCAAGACAAAATTATATTAGTATTGTGAATCATATCAAATCGTGAATCAAACGAATCATTACATTCCTACTCAATACTATTCAAAAGTGTGAGGTTATGAGGGTTTTCTTAATACAAAATCACAACTTTTATCAAAAGATCAAAAGGCACAGTAATTGTATTTGTAATGATTTTATAATAATGTTTTGACATTTATTAAACATTTTTCATTTAGATAATTATAAAATATTTAAACAGGACAACTCTTTGCAACATTGACAAAAATGTCACATGACAGCCAAATCAAATCATCATGTTAAAATAATGTTTAATGGATAAAGACATTTTGAACAATCTTTCTTATTGAGAAATTGCAGATTTTTAAGAAATTGTTAGAATTATAGATGTATTTAATTTCATGATTTATAATTTGAATTAATTGAATTTTATAATCTGTTTGCAGCCAACAGTGAGAGTGATAAAAGTTTCCACAGGAACATTTGTGCTCTGCTGTCAGTTCCATGGGTGCTTGAGCACTCCTCACAAAGTGTTTATCAGACGGCTTCATTTCCTGCAAGTCTGATTGCTCTCTCCCAGAAACTCGCTCCTGTCTACAGTAAGCATCTAACCAATAATGTTCTGCAATACTTTACATATACCAAAAATCAAATATCATTCCCATGTTAATCAATTAGTCTAGCTTTAATATACTGTTTAGTTCTAATAAATTGTCATTCTTAAAGAGACACTCACATTTTTTTTTAAATAGGCTCATTTTACAATTCGCCTATAGTAAAATTGTAGAGTTTTATGGGAGCACTTGTAGCTTAGCTTAGCATAGATCATTGAATTGTATTAGACCATTAGCATCCCAGTCAAAAATTTTCAATAATTGTCCTATATAAAGCTTGACTCTTCTGTAGTTACATCCTGTATCCAGAGATTCAATAATGGTCAACAGTTTAGCTCTATGGGAGTTGTAAAATGAGCCTATTTTCAAAAAAAGTGGAATGTTCCTATTAAAGTGTTTTTTTAATGTTGTTTGTAGATGCTCAAACTCGAGCACACTGTGTGTTCCTGCTTGCCCCGCTGTCGAAGAGTGTGTGTGGTGACTGGAGGTCATCAGTTTACCGTTGGGCCCTGCAAAGTAAGAGTGAAGCTGAGCGGGCCAGTGCCGTCAGAGGCTTCCCCATTCTGCTGCACCAGCTAGGAGTCAAATCCAACAGCCTCATCCACGAGGCCCTTCTGTAAGTCATCAACAGTCTTTCTCTCAGTCAGTCTTTTTCAGTTTGATGATGAACATAATGTTTTCAAGTGCATAATTGATTTCATCGCTTAAATTAGTGATCAAATAGGCAGATTTAGAATAGTGCTGACTCATTCATTCCTGCCTGTTTGATGACTTGACTGTTGTTAGATGTCAGATTTTCAATGACTGACAAATTTAGCTGTCAGGGTGTCTGCGGGATCTTAGAAAATATTAAAATGCCTTAATTTTCAAAAACAAAAAAGTCTTAATGAACATCTGCACTGAATGATTGTGTTGTAGGTTTTAAATCAGTTTAAACAGGTCTCCATTTTCCTTTGTTTTACCTACCCAATTGGGACAACATCCTTCCAATCACCAATAACAAAGTTTTATCGATTATCTGTATTTACAATGTAGTTTAATTAGCTTTGTTCGAATAACATTTGTTTAAAACATCTCTATGTATTTATAGCTGCCTGGTGAGGGCACTGAACTGGACAGAGGGTTACATACATTTAACTTTTTTTTTTAAAGAAAATTAAGTTGGAGGTGACGCAGTGGTGCAGTAGGTAGTGCTGTCACCTCAGAGCAAGAAGGTCGCTGGTTCGAGCTTTGTCTGGGTCAGTTGGCCTTTCTGCGTGGAGTTTGCATGTTCTCCCTGCGTTCACGTGGGTTTCTTCCGGTTGCTATGGTTTTCCCCAAAGTCCAAAGACATGTGGTACAGGTGAATTGGGTAGGCTAAATTGTCCGTAGTGGATGAGTGTAAATGAGTGTATATGGTTGTGGCTGAAAGGGCATCCGCTGCGTAAAATGTGCTGGATAAGTTGGCGGTTCATTCCGCTGTGGTGAACCCAGATTAATAAAGGGACTAACCCGAAAAGAAAATGAATGAATGAATCAGGGTTGTTCTTGTGTCTCAAACATGAATAACTGAACTTCTATGCTTCTCAAATTTTTTATGTTTAACAAAGTCTTTTAGGTTTGGAAACATGTAAGGTTAGGAAATTGTAAACAATAATAAAAATTTTTTAATTAATTCATTTAAAAAAATAGACTTACAGGGACTAATACAGGGACTAAGCCGAAAAAAAACATGAATGAATGAATGAATGAATGAATGAATGAATGAAGTTGGAAAAATGTTCTATATACAACTAGAGTAGTAGAGTTTGCTAGTTTTGAGACAATATTTACAAAATGTGGTTGAAAAATAAGCAATTAGAATTTTTTCATGTAAAATTCTACTTGGGGCAAGTCAAAATATTTTCCACCAGCTTATTAGAAAAATGTTTTATTCAATTTATTCATAATGGTCTTAAAAAAGACAATATTTTTTATTTGAATAAATCCTGCAGAAACCCTGCTTTGTTTTAGCCAAGACGTTTAGATATCTATTGGAAATCTATTAGACTTCTTTAAAAGCACAAATAATACTTGCTAGGACCTTAAGCATTTTTGGTATGACCTAAAATAAACTCTGGAGAGACTTTTTGCTTGAAGTATAGAGTGTTTTTTAAAGACTTTTTTTAAATGTAGTTTTGGTAAACATTATGTATTATCATTAATAATTGTTTAGGAACAGACTCCAGGACAGCTCAACAGAAGTGAAGACTGAGCTGGCTGGTATAACAGGGCAGCTGGCCTGCTGTTTGTCTGAGAGCTCACAACTGCAGTTTCCTCAGGAGACCATGCCATCACATCAACTGCTCTGCTCTGGTCTCAGCATTTCAGACTTTCATTCCAGTCAGACCTCCTCCATCGGAACCTCCATCCTCACCCCATTCCTTCAGCTGCTCAAACCTGTGGAGGACATGAAGGTTAAGCAAGGTTAGTGGAAAGGGTGTAGCTATTTTAAATTCTTTTAAAGATTGAGTGAATAATAAATATTGTTTTTCTTTTTTTTTCTGGCAATATATACATTTGCTGAAGCATTGAATTATTTTGCTAAAACTTTTTTAGCTCACCAAATGAGTCTTAAGTTTTGTCTTTTGGAATGGCAGCTTTTATCAAGAATATCAGGCACTTGTTCAAGCATGTGGATCTGGGTAACACCGACCCTGATACCAAAGCTTTGGTCAATGCTTTGGTCAACCTCATTGAAGACCCTGACCAAGAGGTCCGAATAATGTTTGGCCAAAACATCAAGAATCTTCTAGAGTTTTGGAATGGAAATGGCTTCCTGAAAGAGGTACAGATTTTAAAGTCTGAATTATATTAACATGCTGCAGCCTTTGATGTCATATCAGTTAACATACTAAGTTGCCTTCATGCAATCCAAGATGCAGGTGACTTTTTTTCAGTAGAACATTAAATTTGGCATGAAATCAAAATTTGCTCTTTTTATATATATATATATATATATATATATATATATATATATATATATATATATATATATATATATATATATATATATATATATATATTAGTGCTTGTTATAATCCATGTGTCTGTGTACTTCATTATTTTGGAAAAATTAATCGCCCTCATAATTGTTTATTAAATACCATAACTTTCCCTCCCCCTCGAAATGACTTCTCTTCTAGTCATATGGAATGCCTTTAAGGCGGGGCTATCAGTGCAGGTCTCGTTTTTGCTCTGCTTTTGTCCATTCAACAGTCATCCTTCATTTTGTTAGCAATGCCCTTCTTCCCATGATCCAATCGGTTTTCAAAGGAAATAAATCATTTTAAAAATCATGTAGTAAATCATGCACTGATTTTAGACTAAATCATGCACTTGTAGGGGATCAACCTACGTTTTAATATCGATCAGGGATTAATTAGCTCATTTCAATGAATCGGATCCTAAAGATTCGAATCATTGATTTGACTCAAATGAGTCAGATTGAATCCGATCAAAAGATTCACACTTTATCTACCATTTGTCCCGCAAATAGAAGACATCGTATCTTACCAATCTTGTTAATATTATTTACGTGGCCAACGATAATAACATAACACAGTATTGGATGATCTTTTAGCAAGGTAACAAGATCTACAGCTCGAGGCAATGACTTAGAAGCACATAAACAAGAACACAGTTCTTACAAAATGAGTACAAAGATTTATTGAGCTACACTACGATAAATGAAACTAACTACGTAACAAGCAAACAACAAACAAACACACACATTCACACATACACACAGAGGCAGTTCAGAGGATGCAAAATGAGTTGACAACGTCCCAAATTAATTCTAATACTTCTTGCAAGATCTTAGAATAACACCTGAGAAACCACAAAAGCAGAGATATGGCTTATCTTTAACTGCTTAAGATCAATCTGCACAAGATCAGCAAGAGACAACATTAGTTTGTGTTACTTGCGCCCTTTTTGCTGAAGTCGAATCTCCCTCGCCGGCTGGCCTTGGGGAAACACGGTGCTCCTGATTGGGTGGTTTCTCGCTTCGATGACGTCTTTGGGATTCACACGCTCGTGAATGGCTGTTGTCCTGGGTTACCGAGGTGACGGACTGCTGAGAGTCGGTTTGCGGAAGTTCGTGCAGTTTCGTGAGTACCGAAACTTAAGAGGTTTGCGTGGAAGTTCGTAGTAACCCAATCGCGTGGCGGCGCGGTGTCCGGGTAGGCGAAAGGGGGCAGAGAGCAAAAGCATGCGCAAGCTAGCTGATGCAAAAAGCAAAGTTTCTTTGTTGCAGGGTGTTTTAAGTGACCTGGTCTGGTTCGTCCCCATGGCACTGTCTGCCAATGAGCAGCTGCCATGAAGGGCGGGGCCACGCCCCGTACTGACGTAGGAAAGGTCATTAATTAACAGACTGCATGTAGATTTCACGTGGTAGAACTCTTGCAAGATTGAAACTATCTTACATCAAACGTTACAAGATGAATACTGTTTGTACTACTAGTTTTTCATTTACACCAACGTATTGCAAATGTCACTAGCTTTCGTTCAATACCAGACATTATACATTTCAGACACATACAGATTATTTTACTCTGTTATAAGGGTTAAAACAACACATTGATTAACCTAGTTGATTGGAATAAACAGCATATGAGGAACATTATGGCATATTATTCAAAGATACATCTGCCTTAGTTCTAACATTAAGAGATTCGCTTTTATTCATATGCATTAATGTTTCTAGAGATCTCTTTGTCTCTACGAAATTGTGCTTCTAGCAGGATGTGCCCAAGGCGAGCACATGACCAGGAGTCAATCAAAAGTCTCGTGAAATGGTTTCCGCTGAAGATCCTGTAAGGGCCATTGTGTTTTAATTTAACTGATTTAATTAATCATTGGCTAGTTAGCCGAAGGGTACCAGAACATCTGCGGAGAAGTACTGGTCAGAGGAGCCCAAAATCAATTGGCGCTCTGTTATCCTGATGGTATAAGCCCTCAAGCTAGTTCAATGAATGAGACCATTGGAGATGCCCAAGATTTCAGATTCAACTTGTGTTGACCACTGAAAAATGCCGATGAGTTCCTACAACTGCACAAAATCTGTTTTATTCTCATTCTAGGCCAATTTCAATTGGATGTATTTCACAATATAGGAAAAAACTATATATCCTAAATATATGTTTATGGCAACTTTGAAGTTTCCTAGTTAAAATTGTGGTCAAAGCTATTTTCTTTTGAATTATCCCTTTAACAATACAGAGGCAGTCATTTTGACCATTTGTACAATTTGAAATTTACTACATCTGTTCAAATAAAACCCATATTACTATAGTTCCCTGATTTTTTCTAAATGTGTGTACATTTCATTCAGACATGTCTTTCAAACTTTCTAAAACAATATTTTTAACTGTTATGATTAACTGTTTAATTGTTACAAAAAAGATTGTATTGTTAGAGTAGTGACAAGACCCATACTGAATCTGCACCTGCAGAAATTCTTAAATTGGACCTCATTATTGAATCTCAATATTTAGTTCTATATATGTGTGTAAATATTTTTTTTCTTCAGTTTTCTATTCATTTCAGTGATATTATAAATTAGATGATTTATAAACAGTACAGTTTGTAAAGTAACATTCACTGTCTTTTAGTAGATATATTTGTTTACCAAAAAAGTTGTTTTGATTGCGTTTTAGTTTTCATTGTAAAAAGTGAAAAAACGTTTTTTATATTAAGTCTTCAGTTTTTAGTTAATATTCTCTGAAGATCATTTCACATAAACCACCTATTTAAAAAAAAAAAAAAACTTCTGTGCAGAAATAGCTAAAAAGTCTGCAGATTCTGTAAGAATTTACTTAATAAAATAATGACTGCAGATATTTATATCCATAATAATTCAAAAATAGAAGCTAGTAATTTGGACATGACGTGACACAAAATTTGTTCTGTACAATGTTATATGAACAGTCAGAATGACCGCTATGACATTACAGAATTCCGGTACTTCCAGAGTTGTGATTTTAGCAGAGAGTTTTGTACAAAATGCCTAATAAATGGATTATGATTTTGGTTTTTACAGCTTCTTGTGTCCCGGCTAAAAGAAGCATACACCAATGCAAAGACCTCCAGAAACAACGAACTGAAAAACACACTTATATTAACCACTGGAGAAATTGGGAGGTAGTACAAAATACTGCTTTTTGGGGCCACTGTTTGTTTTTATGGTTCCAATTTGTATGCGTGTTCATATATGTATCATGTTTCAGTAATGGTTTTCTTTCTTATGGTTCTTTTTAGGGCTGCAGAAGGCAACCTGGTGTCATTTGCTCTGCTTCGCCTCCTGCACTGCCTGCTCTCAAAGTCCAATCCGGTGTCAGTAGCAGCCTATACAGAGATCCAGGCATTAGCCACTTGTAGAGACCTCAAACTGCAGTCCTTCTTCAGCCAGTACAGGAACCCAATCTGCCAGGTCAGTGTAACATTTTGTGAAAAATATTAAACAGTGGGGCGAAGCAGTGGCGCAGTAGGTAGTGCTGTCGCCTCACAGCAAGAAGGTCGCTTGTTCAAGCCTCTGCTCAGTTGGCGTTTCTGTGTAGAGTTTGCATGTTCTCCCTGCGTTCGCGTGGGTTTCCTCCGGGTGCTCCGGTTTTCCCCACAGTCCGAAGACATGCGGGACAGGTGAATTGGATAGGCTAAATTGTCCGTAGTGTATGAGTGTGTGTGTGAATGTATGTGTGGATGTTTCCCAGAGATGGGTTGCGGCTGGAAGGGCATCCGCTGCGTAAAAACTTGCTGGATAAGTTGGAGGTTCATTCCGCTGTGGCGACCCCGGATTAATAAAGGGACTAAGCCGACAAGAAAATGAATAAATGTATGAATATTAAACAGTCACATGGTACAGATTGGCTCTATTAAAGAAACACTTATTTTACAAGTCACATTAACAGTTAAAAAGTTGAGTTTTACCATTTTAAATATATTCATCTGATCTTCAGGTCTGGCAGGAGCACTTTTAGCTTAGCTTTGTATAAATCATTGAATCGGATTGCATCATTAGCATCTCGCTCAAAATGAAAAAAACAAAAAAAAAAGTAGCAACATTAAATATTGGTCCATTGGTTAATGTATTTACTAACATAAACTATTAGTAATACATTTGTTACAGTTTTTATTCATGTTTTTTTAACATCAGTTAATGTTATTTAAGTGAAATGTTTACTTGCAGTTCACTAATGTTAACAAGCACAAGTTTGGCTTTAAGTAATGCAGTAGTTAATGATTTATAAATACTTTACAAGGTTATTATTCATAGTTCGTTAATATTAGTAAATACATTAACTAATAAACCGTTATTTCCTATTTAAACTTAAAGTGCCTAGTTACTATTTAAAATACAGCTCATAGCCATATCGACCTTAAAAATAGAAACTTTTATTTTTGTCTCTGTTTTACTGCACAATGTAATTACAGAAGATTCAAGCTTTAAAAAAGAAAATTACTGAAACCCTTTTTTGTTTCGAGAGATGCTAATATTCTAATCTGATTTATTGATTTATGCTAAGCTAAGCTAAAAGTGCTGTCAGCAGACTTGGAAATCGGCTGAATAGATGCAAATTGGTAAAACTCAACTGTTTAATTTTAGGGAACTCGAAAATCACAAAGTGAGTCTATTTCAAAAAAAGTGGAGTGAAGTTCCTTTAAATTTGCATATCAGCAGAATTACAATTAATAGGGTATACAGTATACAGAGCTAGTGTTTCTTCCGATTCCAATAAACTTCTGGTGAATGGTTAATGTGACTTTTTCAATTTTATACAGTTTCTTTTTCAGCATTGATGTTGTAATGCAATTAAAATATAATCAGTTAATAGACTTCAGCTTTCATTTAGTTGTTCATGCGTTAACCAAGATAAAAAGCCATTTACATGCACATGCCCGCCAGGATCAGCAGGCTAGCGCAGAAACACCACTGGAAATATTGGTGTAAAATAAATTTAAATATTTTAAAGGGATGGCGCGGAAAAATTTCATCTAATTCAGTGCTTCTTGTACATTCTGAGACCCACTTTTACGATTTTTTAGCGTACATCATTTAGGCAGTGAAGATCGATAATTTATAAAGAAAAGAGACCTTAGACGTGCCTGTTTTGTAATGGCATACAGTTCACTAGAAGCATTTGACCCAGGTTACCGACAAAAAAGTCCTTTTGCATATACCCTATTGAGATTGATATGATTGAGATTGCTAAACAACAGTGTGCATTTGGCAGTTTTTTTTCTTCTGCTAGTAGTTATTACTACTCTATAATCTAGTTGTTTTGCTACTACTCAATACTGGTATTCAGATTAAATATGTTTTTTATATTTATTTCGATTTATTTAATAAAACCTCCATTTATTTCAGCTAAACTAAAAACACACTTTCTCCAAAAGACAAAAGATTTAAGAAATTCTGTCAAAATTCCTCTCTTGAAAATGTAATGATTAAGTAATTTTATCATTCATCCTCAAGTGTCTGTGTTCATAGTGAGTAAGTTGTAGGCTGTAAACCAGTGTAAGCTGTTTCTTTCTGTCTTAAAAGTTTGTTTTGGTATAAAATAAGTGGGTTTTGTGGTCAGTCATCTTGTATTTGTTCTGTTGCAGTTTTTGGTGGAGTCTCTGCACTCGCGTCATGTGACGGCTCTGCGCTGCACGCCGGATCAGAGCAGCGAGGCTCTGCAGGAAGAGGCGGCCCATCAGCGAGAGCTGGCACTGGACATCCTGTCTCATGTGGCGCACGTCTTTGACTTCCCTGACCTTAATCGTTTCCTCAATGTAACTTCAACATCTCATTACCAGATTTGCCATGATCAGCCTATGATGTAACAGAAGGGTTTTAGGCAAAGATAGTACAATAAATCTCAGGATAAAGACAAAAACACTAGGGAGAGATGTTTGAAAACAAAAGGCAAATATAGTGAGCCACTATGAAATGCTTCAATGAGCTATGATCAAGTGTGGCTTTCATCGCTAATTTCAATTATGTAATGAGCTTATACTGTCTTTATTTGTTCACAGCGGACATTACAGGTCCTTCTGCCTTTTTTGGCGGCCAAAGCCAGTCCTACAGCTTCCGCCTTGATCCGCACCATTGCCAAGCAGCTGAATGTCAACCGCAGGGAAATGCTCATCAATAACTTTAAATACATATTCTCCCATCTCGTGTGTTCATGTTCCAAAGAGGAGCTGGAGAGAGCCTTTCACTACCTTAAGGTGTGTGTGATCTGTGCATGACATCACAAATGGAGGAAAAGTAAAAAAGCCCAATAGGCAAATGAGTGGTATAGAAAATATATTTTTAAAAATGAAACTATATTGAACCTCTGAATGATTATTTGCTATTTATGTATTAATAATTTATCATTTTTTAACCAATGGCATTTTATTTTAAATTCATTTTTTTATAATTATTTATTAATAAACTTATTTCTTTTTTTTTTTTGGCATAGAATGAGACCGAATTGTTTAGAGAATTAGACCTTGGATTAATTAATTGCAATATTTTAATTTTTATTATTTATAATTACTTAAAAAAATATTTTGATTACTTTCTTCTAATTATCTTTTTAATGGGTAGATTTTTTTGAGACAGAAATTAATTTGAATTAAGGCAGACTTTGACCAAAATACTTATTAGATTTAAAAAAAAAATATATATATATATAATTTTTATTTAATTAACTAAATGTTATTTTGAATTATTTTCTTATTAAAAAACTTAAGGAACATTTTTTCTCTTCTTTGTCACAGAAAGAGAAAAATTAAATTGGACAGAATTGGACCTATTTATAATTATTTATATATTTGTTGAATCTTATTTTGACTTCGATCTTAAATTGTTAAATGAACTGGTTTCTTCTTTTTTGGCACAGAATGAGACAGAAATTGAACTGGGCAGCCTGCTGAGGCAGGATTTCCAGGGTCTTCATAATGAGCTGCTTTTGCGTCTTGGAGAGCACTACCAACAGGTCTTCAATGGACTTGCTATTTTAGCTTCTTTTGCCTCCAGTGATGACCCCTACCAGGGCCCAAGAGAAATCACCACCCCAGGATGCATGGTACAGCCTGCTCTAACAATGATATTCCTTAGTTAGTAAGGGCAACGAATAACTGCACAACTTAAATCACTATTTAGCTTTGTTCTAGAGAGTTGGATCTGCATAGAATTGCATGAGTCTGTTGTCAGCTTTCTGGCACGGTCACAGTTTTGGAAATAATGCAGTCTGTTGGTGTATGTCTCTCCAGGCAGATTATCTGCAGCCTAAGCTTCTGGGCATCCTGGCTTTCTTCAACATGCAGCTGCTGAGCTCTAGTGCTGGAGAGAAGGAAAAAAAGAAAATGGTAAGTTTTTAGCCTTTAATTTTTGATAGTTTAAAAGTGTTTACCAGGGGCCTCATTTATACTTTGTATGCACTATGTAGGCCCTGAAATGTCTACTTAATATGGGGTTTGTAAACAACAACTTAATCTGAAAATATGCACACATAGGGCTCAACAGTAAGCACTGCCCAATGGCCCGGGGCCAGCGTGCGGTACGCTCGGGACAGTAGACAGGATTGTTACGAGTAGGGCCGGATGTCATTCCTACCGGCAAATGTGCTAATATGAAAGTGAATGCATGCTGAAATATTGCTAAGAGCTGTTTATCTGTTAGGAAAATTGACAGAAATTACCATCTGATCATTTTTACATATTTTAATCTTATAATATTTTGCATTAGGCCTATTGTTTTGTTTATTTCTGCACCTGGAAAAAAGATCAAAATGAATCAATATTGAATATTGACCATCAATATATCAGTTCATCTGTTATTTCTCTCTATAATTTAAACCTATAATATATATATTTCCAAATTTATTTACATCACAGTTGTATTTTTTTTAAATTGTCAGTTGTATTTAAAGAAAAGATATGCTGAAGTTATGTTTGGCTTTTGACACATTATTAAAAATATGTGACTGAGAAATAGTTATTAACTACTTTTTTTGGTGGGGCCAGTGAAAATTTTGGCAGGGCAAGTAAAAATTGGGCCAGTAGAAAAAATCCTTAGCGTTGAACCCTGACACACAATCTCTGACATATAGATACTCAGATTTTGGTGACAGATCAGTTTGGTGATCCTAGCGATGTTTCCATGCAAAGACACAAATTAGACTCATGCACAAAACTTGAATTAATTTTTTAAAATAGTTTTCATTCAAAGAGTCAAAGAGAAAAAAATCAGTACTTCACCCACAGATATTGAAAGGAATATCTTTCCTTTTTCAAAATGTTTCCAAGAGTTTGTTGCAGTGGGAAAAGCCAACTTGGCCCCCTTGTATAATAAATTACTTGTGTGAAAATGTAATGCGAGAAATGTGCAGTGGCCTTTGGAGGCGCAAGACTGTGGAGGAAATAATATCACACTATTTTGATGGACTTTAACTTTTGGATTTTATAATGACCAAAACAACATTCAGGATGTTTTACAACATGGTGTTTTGCTGGTTTGTCCATTAATTGTTCAAAATGTATGTGCATCTTGCCATTTTCATTAAGCATTTTTTGATGTGATATTCCAAAATACTCATAGAATGAGGTGGATGGAAACCTAGCTACTGATGTTGAGCTGTGAGGATGACACAGGAAATAAACATTTGGCCTAAATATTGACCTAAAGGAATAACTCACCCCAAAAATGTTATTCTGTTATTATACTCCTCATTTCGTTCCAATCCCCTGAAATCTTTTCTTCATTATCTAAAAAAATAATTGATTTAAAAAAAAAAAATAAGAAGGCTTTCTCATTCTCCGTATACAACAAAGGTCCTGAGACATTCAAAGTTCAGAAAAAGCAACAAAAAATATTGTCAAAACATACCATGACTACAGTCAGGAGCAGACTTAACAAATAAGCGAGGTAAGCATCCGCTTAGGGCCCCTGGGAAATAGGGGCCCCAAACCAATGCCAGGAAGCCTATGTTAATCATATAGCTCTTTTATTTATTTTCTATCGAATGTTGTAAAATCTGTCTATAACCGTTAAGATCTTAACATTATTTTTTTTTTTTCAAAAACCGGGGGGCACCCATAAATAATGGAACATTCCTTCCGTATTGCACATGCGCAAGGTGTGAACGCAGCGCTTCAATCAAATATACTGCCAGCCAGTGTTGCAAACCTAGTGACTTTTCAGACCCCCATCACCAAATTTTCAAAAAAGTGACTAGCGAATGTTTTTAGTTGTTACTGTTCATTTCTAGAGCCTCTCATGTGTCTGTACTATTCCTAACGTTACTCTTCGTGACAAGCTGCGGGGGATGCCAGCAGTCTCTCCCCGCCTCAAAGCACTAAAGGTGGCACAGTGCCACACAGCCGTCTCTCTCACCTGCAGCATTGAGAGCAGATAATTTCTCTGCATACTGATGGCAAATGTTTTAGCTTAGCGAGCGTGAGGTATTTTGGGATAGTCAAACCGATCTGGTTCTCCTCTGTTTTAAATATAATAATTTAAATGAACAGTTTCTTAGTTTCTTTATTTTCTTACTGTTGATGTTAGTGACATCAGTCTGCCAGCGATCAAAGTAGAGGTAGGTTAAGTGTGCAAGACACTTCTATAAAGCTTAAAGTGACATTTAAAGGCTTAACCAGGTTAATTAGGTTAACTAGGCAGGTTAGGGTAATTAGGCAAGTTATTGAATAACGACGGTTTGTTCTATAGACTATCGAAAAAAAATTAGCTTAAAGGGGCTAATAATTTTGTCCTTAATGTTTTTTAAAAATCTAAAAACTGCTTTTATTCTAGCCGAAATACAACAAATAATACTTTCTCCAGAAGAAAAAATATTATCAGACATACTGTGAAAATTTCTTTGCTCTGTTACACATCATTTGTGAAATATTTAAAGGAAAAAAAATCAAAGGGGGTTAATAATTCTGACTATGTATTTATTTATATATGGCCACTTTCCCCTTTCTCAGGCTCTGAACAGTTTAATGTCCCTGATGAAGCTGATGGGTCCAAAGCACATCAGCTCAGTTCGAGTGAAGATGATGACCACTCTCAGAACTGGCCTGAGATACAAGGATGACTTCCCGGAGCTCTGCTGCAGGTGTGTTTCTCATTCACATCAGTGTAAATGCATTGAACAGGATGTGTGAATTAACAACCAAGAGCATAAGAAGTGTCATCTGCAGGAGGGCCCTGCTGATAACAACCAGATTGATGCTTAATTAGCGCAGTGAACACCTGGTTTACAGTGTTTAAACTCTGCAAGAATCATCTGTTTCTAATATGCAATCAGATCTGAGAATGAAAGCATAATTGCAATTTGCTCACCAAATAACAGGACATAGATATTAAGGCTTTTTTTTTTATCTTGCTGGTTTGCAGGACATGGGACTGTTTTGTGCGCTGTCTTGACCCGTCATATCTGGGTCCTCTTTTGAGTCATGTAATCGTGGCTCTGTTACCTCTCATCTCCATCCAGCCTAAAGAGACGGCGGTGATCATGCACTACCTCATAGTGGAGAACAGGTATGGGGCATTTTTGCTTTCTCATTTCGCCATAGGCTGGATTTGCTGTTGGAAACTCTGCAGGTGCATGAAGATGTTCTGTTGTTAATATGGTTGCATGGTAAAATAAATCAGTATTTTAAAATGCAATATTTAATGTGTCAGACACAAAATAGACACTCCAATTATTATTGTTTCATTATTGTTTATTAATATTTAAATATAAATCTGACCAGTTAACGGTTATTATTCAGTTAACGAGCAGCCGTTGTCAGATGGCAAAATTAGCTCAAATGAGCATCCCTATTTCAGAACATGTTTTGCATCTGCAATGGATAAAGCAGCTTTGTGTTTGTGTACACATTCATATTGAACTGAAATACCCTTAAATTTTGGATCAATTATGCTTATTTGTTTACTAACATTGGGTACAACCATTCTTATGAACAAATCTGTTCTTAAACCCCATTTATGCAATGTTAATGAAGATTCTTCACTTAGAACTGAATCTACAAACACTTCACATCTGTGGAAAGCATTTTTGAGTGATGGTAGTTTGTTCAGTTATCTTATGTTGTTTATGGTCATGTTCAGTTTTTTTCTTTATGAGTGAATAAAATGACAGTATTTTAATGTATGTTATTCATAATTTAATGTAATTGAAATACAATTTTACAAGTATAAATAAATTGTACTTTTTTAACATTGTATTAATCAATTTTAAATGTAAATCATCGCACTCTACCAGATAACTTTGGTACTGTGACCAAATTACTAAATCACAAGTACCGAAGAATCTTTTCTCCTGTGATTTATAGGGGTGTGACGATTTATCGTTGTACGATTTATTGCGATGCAAAAACGTCACAATATGCATCGTTGCGTTATGATGATTTGATTACGATATGACGTCCGTTTTCTCTTATTAGATGAGCTGGTTGCACGTGAGCTACGTTCCACCTGCTGTCGCACGTGAGTTCAGATTGCAGCAGCAGTAATGTTAGCAGACATCGATAAAAACCTCTCAGACAGATACACATAAGTTCAGGATTATTTTATAGAACTGCTGATTACCTGAAAATGTGGATTTTTTTTTTTGCACACACAAAAAACGCAAGTGACCAAGCAAAGCCTTAAGCTCTTACTGTGAAATTTTCTTGCAGCTTTCCTTAAATTGTTCCTTAATTTTGTCTCTGTCATTTCAATAATATTTTATAAGAAGTTTTTTAATTGTTTTATTTTCCAGAGACAGGCCTGTTTAATTTATTTTCTTAAAGAAGGTTCAGTTTAAATGAAAGAAGTTGAAACAAAAGAAATACATAAAAATAGTTTACTTGGTAAATACATTTTTTAAATAAAATTTGCATTTCAGTTTAATTTTCAATTTTTAATCCTCATATCTTGATACATATCGAATCGTGAACATTATATCGTGATACACATTGTATCGTGAGCTGAGTGTATCGTTACACCCCTAGTGATTTACCTTCTTTGGTACTTGTCAGTTAAATATTGTATCTGCAATCAAGGTTGATAAAATCTAGTGTTGTTTGTGTGATTGATTTCTCATATTTTTATGTGTGTCAGGCTTGTTGTAAAAATGACATGTCTTTCGCTTCTTGAAAAGCTTGCCAGATCTTTCTCTCTTTGGGGCAGTTTACAACAGGTCAATCCATGGATTTTTTTTTCTGATCGTAAAGTTAGCCGATCATGGAAAGACCAGGGGCCTCATGTACGAAGACTTGCGTTGAATTCATACTAAAACATTGCGTACACACAAAGCTGTAAATGTGCGTACGCAGTTAAAAATTCAGATGTATGAAACACTGCGTATGCAGAATCCCACGCATATTCTCTTTGTACATCCGAATTAACGTGAAACTGAGCGCAACATGCACGAGTGCAAAACCCCTCCCTGCCTCCTCCCCCGTATGAATATGCTAATGACTCTACTTTGGCAAAACCAAATGAAAAAGCAATGGCAAAAGCAAGCAAAAAGAGAAACTTTGAACAGAATGTGAATTAGAGGTGCTCCTATCGGAGGTAGACTGCAAAAAAACGGTGTTATTTGCAAGTTTGTTATTGGAATGAACGAGTTGAGTGATTTCCGCCCGTTTGATCTACAGAGACAACAAAGCTAAAGAGGGTGGATATAACCAGGGTGAGTGGCGTAGCTCGTAAAGCGCATGGCAACATGTTTTGACACTGTCATTCCTGAACCCGGTTCGAATCCAGCGTCTGATGAACTCATTCATCTTTTTTCCCCACTACATATCAGATTTTGCCTACTCTTCATCACGAGGAAAACAAGTAGGAATCATTAATAAGTATGTGTATTATGTGCATTTGAGCATGATATTTTATTTGCACATTTAGTGAATGGAAATGTTTCTGAGTTATGTATGCAAATTCATCTTCAGATGGCACCTTTATAGCTAATTGCGTGCAGTCGATCGCTCTGATTAAGTTGGGAAAACTGGCTATCGCTGCAAATTGCCCATAAATGTTTGGCTGGTTAACTGTATGGTATGGAAACCTTGTATACCTGCTAAATTTGCAGATAATCCCGTCTCATGCAGCTGCCATTGCACGGCTCAAAGATGCTTTGTAGTGTGCAATTTAACACAACTGCCTCTAGGAGTCGCCAATGGAAATAAAACAAACACACACAAGAAATGCATGTATGCCAGGCATAAAATTGGCGTGGGCCAACGCACATTCTCACGTTCATTTCAGCATTAGTAAATCCAAACCGGAGCGTGAAACCTGGTGTACGCAAAGTGTTTGTGTGTACGCAGCGTTGATACATGAGGCCCCAGGTGTAAATGCCCTCAAAAATGCATTTGAGTTGGATATAAATCAAACCACTTCTGAAGGTGGTCAAGGACGCACTACATATAAAACCAACATGTCTAAAATCTGGTTATGGTCTCTAATATAACAGCACCAATGTAGCACGCAATGGCAACACCACAAATGACAGTGTGGGATGTTTGTTTTGTTTTATTTCACTTTCTCTTTCATAAAAGGACTATGGTAAATTAATATTAAATGCCAACATTGGCATGAAATACACATTGTCTCTGGGAAGGAAAAATTCTCAAAAAATGTAGTGTTTTATTCACTTAACAAGACACATGATTTGCTTAGGGGAGAGTAGTTAATACACAAGTGAATGCAAACCTTCTTGTAAGTATCTGTATAACAAAAATAGATTAATTAATCTTATATTTATTGTAATATCAGAGCCCATCTTGTGTTCTTGTAATGATGTTTTACTAAAACACAAGTGAAGTACAAAGCCTACTGTAACCTACATTTGAAGTCATCATATGTCAAATAATGTACATAGCTTATGTTCAACACATTCTTTTTGGCATCTCAACTACTTTCCTTTCGCACAGCTTTAAGATGCCATGCCCATTTTCGGGACATTTTGGGGCAATTCCTATGCTTATTGGGAAAGACTGGCATGTGCTTTCAGTTAAGACAACAGGATTCACTTGGCTTGGGTGGTATCCAAATTTTGGTATCGTCAAACCTCCTCCCTATTTTACCCCGGTAACCGGAATCATCGTGCATAATTAAAAAAAATTATGACGTAAGGCTCAGACAACGTCACCAAACTGTTGGCTTGTGCCTAAACCATTTTTATAAACTGAATATCGTATATGCGATCTTAGGTTCGCGTTCAACTGTTTGTCTTGTTTGTATTCTTCTGCGCGGGACGCTCTCTCTCGCACACACACACACACACACACACACACACACACACACACACACACACACACACACAGAGAGAGAGAGAGAGAGAGAGAGAGAACCAAGTGACGCACAGCACCTCTCTCTCTCTCTCTCTCTCTCTCTCTCTCTCTCTCTTTCTCTCATTCACACACACACACACATAGAGAGAGCATTGCTCGCTCGGGAGCAATATTGAGACGCGCGCCCGCTCCCTTTCAAATTACACCAGAGTTACCGACCGCTCCAGCGCTTTATTCTGAAGTTTATTCCCGCACTGCAAGAAATCTGGTCGGCTCCCGCGGTACAGCAGTGGGAATGCAGACCTATAGTTCATATTTACCATGTCTCCCTTCTCGTTCGGTCGAAACCGGAAATACTACCAAACTGCAGGTCACTTAATGGCGCCTCGCCACCTCACCTCTCCCTTCCTCTCTCTCTTTCTCTCCTCCACACTTTCCTTTCATGGCAATCACGCATAAGTATTAGTTGGCATTAAATAAGGGATATTTTATATTAAATACTTGTCTCCTATTTAAGTGCATTGTTTTTTATGACGGTGTATTGTAATTGACACTGTTGCTATTTTTAGATCCCGTAGTATTCCATATTACCACCCAAGCCTAGGATTTACCATTCTTAAAGGAACACCCCACTTTTTTTTTTTTTAAATTAAATTAAATTAAATTAAATTAAATTAAATTAAATTAAATTAAATTAAATTAAATTAAATTAAATTAAATTAAATTAAATTAAATTTTTTTAAAGACTTTTACAATTCTCATAGTGTTAAACAGTTAACTTTAACCCTTTATGAATTCATTCAGCTTATTTCTTGTTCTGCCAGGGTCGCATTTAGCTTAGCATAATGAATTGAATCAGATTTGACCATTGCATTTTGTTCAAAAAAAGAATTTAAAGCTGAAGTCTGTTGGAGTGTTTCTTTTAGAACACATGCAAACTATTCTGGGAACATGTATAAAAACATGTGAATCTGGAGTAGATTGTTCTTTGGACGTTTCTTAAGAAGAACTCTTAAAAAGATATTGATGAATGAGGCCCGTTGACATATTTATGTATCTCCAAATATTACAAAAACATATTCTTTAAATGTATTTGGGTAAAATCCTTTATATACAATTTTCTCGTCTAGGGAGGAAGTTCAAGACTTTCTTCATGAAATCTATTTCCTTCCTGACCATCCAGAACTGAAAATCATTCACAAAGTCCTTCAGGATTATCGTAAGGTACAACCTAAACAAACCAAATGAAGCATAACAAACGACTTAAAAGTGCACTGCACAATTTGACTTTTGACTCTTTTATTGAACAACAGCAAACCTCAAAGAGCACTGACATGCAGGCAGCGCTGCAGCTGTCCATGCGAGCTATCCAGCATGAGAATGTAGACGTACGCATCCATGCACTCACCAGCCTGAAGGAGATGATATACAAGAACCAGGTCAGACCCCTAATAAATAAATCTCCTTATCTTGCCAGAAAGTTTACCAGCTTGTTTGTTCTTCCTTCTTTGAAAAAGTAGAAAATATAATGATTTTGTTAAAGACCGTGAGACTGTAAATCAGTAATAATCATTTCAATGGCAATAACAGTGGATTAAAGGTAAAGTTTACCAAAAAAAAAAAAATCTGTCATTATTTACTCACCTTCGACTTCTTTCATCTGTTAAACACAAAGGGAGATATAATGCAGAATGTTGGACAGCCTTTGACTTTTATGCCATTCCATGCCAGCCATTGATGTCAATTGAGGCTCCAACATTCTTCAAAATATCTTATTTTGTGTTCAACAGAAAAAAGAAATTCAGAACCACTGGAGTGTGAGTAAATGGTGTGTACATTTTGATTGGTGAACTACCCTTTTAAAAGCAGATTTTGATGGGCAATGCATCATGTGACAAAAAAGGTTGAGCGTGTGTTTTGTTTGTGCAGGATGCTCTGCTAAAGCATGTTTTGGACAGTGAGATGGTGGAGCCGGTGATCTCTCAGTTAGTGACGGTGTTGCTGCGCGGCTGTCAGGACGTCAATACTGAAGCCAGGCTTTTGTGTGGGGAATGCTTGGGGGAACTGGGAGCCATTGATCCTGGGCGACTGGACTTGTCACCGGCTGACACTCAGGGAACTGGCTCTACGTTTGTGGTGAGACATTGCTCAGAGAGCATTGCAGTCAAAATATTGACATTCCTGTTGCAAGGGATGTACAGTGTCAAGTAAGGAATATAGATGACCAAGCATCGCAATTTGAAATGCAAGTAACTTTTTAAATGAATTACAAAGGTTAGCCATTGTGCTAATAAAATGTGCTCATGATTTGCATGAGCTGCTATGTTACTGTGTTAACATAGGTTTGTAAAGCATGCAGGTGCATGATAGCGATATGCTTTTAGCTTTAACAAAGATAATTAGCATTTTATTTACATAGTGATGACTAGGAAGTATTATTTTACATTTGAGTATTCAATATCTCTGTCTGAATTGTGTAATGTAATATAATGAAATAGATTACATATTGCAATACATATCACAGAAAAGCAAAAATATTGCAATGTATTTTTTCAGACCTAATGAAAAGTGTATCTTTACGCTTTTAGAGTGGGATTGATGATCCAAACTTTGCCTATGAGCTGCTGACAGAGCTGACCAGGGCTTTTCTGGCCTATGCAGATGACGTGAGAGCTCAAGATGCGGCTGCATATGCTATGCAGGTATGCTATGAGATCTTTAGCAATTAATCAGGTTTTGCATACTAGCTTGTTATTTGTGTATGTTCCACAGTGTAAAAGATCTAAATAAAATTTTTACAATATAAAACGGATTATTTGAAAAACAGGACCAATAACTTTTATAACTCAATATTGAAGTCAGAATTATTAGCCCTCTGGTGATTTATATATATATATTTCCCAAAGGATGTTTATTGAAGTGATTTAAAGTTTTTATTATTGTTTACATTATGATTATCTACATATTTTTTTCCCCAAAAGATACTAGTATTCAACTTAAAGTGCAATTTAAAGGCTTAACTAAGTTAATTAGGCAGGTCATTGGTCAATAAAACAATATCCTGGTTCTTTAAATATTTAAAGGTGCAGTTGGTGATCTGCCAAAATGCTAACCGCTTACCATATTATCTTTGGACGGCGGGGAGGGACTATGGCTGTTTCTCAATATGCTTTCTTCAGTGGTCTTGCGTCCTCGTGTTCTCGTGCAACGTCATCATCAGCTGCCAAAGTTCAGTTCCAATACTCAAGACCGCAAGTACGGAGGACGCGTGAAACTTTCCGGATGTGATCTTGATATCGAGGACGCACTGATGCAGACTTGAGCACCGAACTCGCTCTGGAAGTCCCAGAAGTCATTGCGACTGAAGGTGGGAAGTGCAGCATTTCATTTAGATGTATTATTAAAGTTCAGAGATATCATTTATTTACCTCAAGAGTTTCCGTAAAGGAAACGGTGAAAGTAAACATTACCATGAACATCTTAATAAAGGAATAAACACATTAAGGGTGTTTGTTTGCTGAAATTGGTATTAAAATCTGTTTTATTTATATTGTGCAGAGTATATTTATAATTTTTAATGCAAAGTATGTATTTTTAAGAGAGGAAAAACAATAAATCGTAGTATGGATGCTTTAATGTTTAAATCATTTCCATTTAAAAAGCGTGAAGGTCACATAAAGACCGGTCTCCACAAGAACGCAAGTCCGTTCTCTGCGTTCTTGGAATTGAGAAACAGCCTATGTTTCAAAGCCATGCCTTCTGAAATCGTGAGCGTTAGCATTTGGTTGGCAGTGTGCAGGAATTTCACTTATTACTAAGCCACACTTACATGCTATTTCAGAGCGAATATTCAGAGTAGCTGTCATTATTCAAAGATGAACCAATGTGACTATAAAAGCTTCAGCTCAGTAAAGCAGGCTATGCATAATATTGCTATTTACTTATTTATTTATGTTTTGTTGTTAAATTAAATAAAAATCAACATTATCGATAGTGTCAAAGGTCCCTTTTGAAACTGAAAATAATCACATCAATCTATCGCCAGAAAGATTTCAGTGGCTGAACAACACTTCTTTGCATTTAACCCATTCATAAGACAACACACTCTACATCAGCTTTGTGGGATTAAAATAGTTTTAATACAGAACATTACCTGTCTAACAGAAATACTTCAGCCATGGTGTCATCCTTTCTTCAGCGTGTAAAAGTAACTCCAATATTGATTCAGGATTTTAAAAAAAAGTTTCAATTTAGCATTTGACTTTACTGCGACTGTAACTGTCTCGTGTGCACGTGCCGCGAACGTGCGGTGCTTATGCAGGCGTGCACATGCTAATGGAGGATATGTGTGAACAGAGATGCGCAGAAGTGCAAATCTACATTTGTTGATAGACAGTTTGGGCTACTTATTAGAATTATGGAATATGTCAGCCTGACAATATTTAATTGGATGAACATTTTTTAGTTTTATACATACAAAAACATTTAGATAACCTACTTTAATCATTGCGATTGGACTGTGAAGAGACTTTTAACTAGCACAACAAAAAATGTTGTCACCTACTGCACCTTTAGGGATAATAATCTTCAGCAGTTTTCACATTTTTATTTTTATCACAGCCACACTAAAAGAAATAAAGAAAAATGGGAAATACTTTGCCAAGTTTTTTTGCTCTGTGGAGGATCACTTGGCAAATATTTGTAAAAAAAATTACAATTTCACAGGAGGTCTAAGGATTTTTCCTTCATCAGTGTACCGGTTTTCTTTTAGAGGCTCTTTTTTTCACTAATTGGTCAGGGTTTGGTAGCCTAAATTGGTTAGGCTACCAAAAGACCATCTGCTGTAATTATGTGAATTTGTTACAAACATGCACAGGGTTCGAAGGTAAGACTTGTAACAAGCTGGCAGTTTAAAAAGTTGTTTTAGGGAGAAAGTCATACTCTTTGAATTTTGAAACTTTGCAGACCTTTACACTGCACACTACATGAATGGTACAGTATAAAAAGCAGAAAAGACTTTAAATGAGATAGATTTAAATGAGATATTTTGAACTTTGGCCCCCTGTTTCTTTTCAGCATTCTTGGAGACCTAAAAGTCCAGTATTTGAAATTGTACGTTATAGTTTCTGTATGTTTTTATTTGCACAGTGATAGTGAACTGCTGTCCCAGCATGAACATTACAGTGTTTTTAGTCTTGGTTCCAAATGAACAGGGATCTTTTGACATCCTTGCTGTCTGTACATGAAAACCTTTCAGTTTATTTGTATGTTGTTTTCATGTTAACTGATTCTTCATGATTAAATTTACGTTTTTACATTATTAACATTTCCAAATAGCAACTGTCATTGATAAATGAAGGATCGTCTGATACCCCTGTCGCAGTAATAGTCATAGATTTGAGGATAGGTAATTTCAGTGGCGTTCTGTTTCAGGAGCTTCTGTCATTATTTGAATGTCGGGAGGGCAGGACTGACTCTTCAGGTCGCCGTCTGTGGAGAAGGTTCCCAGAGCAGGTTCAGGAAATCCTGGAGCCACATCTGAACACCAGGTTTGGATGTCATCATTTAGAATAAAGCCACAGTCACACTGCTCTTTTTGCTCCATTGACATCCATTCAAGCACATGCGAATGTGCCAGCCTGAAAATCTGCGACAAGTTTTACATGTTTTACATGCTTTTTTTAACTTCCCAAAGCTTGGGCAACTCTGACCTACAAATCTGTGATAACTGATTGTTAGGGGTGTAGCAAGATGCTTATTTCACAAGACAAGACACAAGATTGGGTTTACGAGAACGAGACAGGCCAGGATCTTTTTTCCAGTATATGACTGGAAAAAAGGTATTTTATTTAACTGAGGGGAAAAAAAATCACAAAATGCAAAACAATTTAGATGCATTTTGAAAGCAAATGCGAGTGAGTGTTATTTTACTTCTATTTTAATGAATTATATGCAATACAGAACATTTAACACTGCAACATATTTGCTATGAACTTTACCAACTGGCTTCTCCCCTGTACAGTTTTATTTGAGATATCAAACCCCTTTCCACTAATTGGTAAACAATTCATGTATTTTTTGGTGTTTCATTTGAATGTTTCAACTGCAATTGCAGTTTAGCCTTTTCACTTTCATTCAGCAACATTTTGTCCATGCCCCATGACAAACTCTAAGCTACTTTATCAGGGTATTTGCGGGCTCTTAAAATCTCTTAAATTTGCAAACCAAATTTTAGGCCTTAAGAAGTCTTAAATTAACAGACATGGTGTGTTGTCGGTATTAAATAATTTGAAACAGGTCTTAATTTCCCTATGTCCAAGTAAAGCTACCCAATCAGGCCAACGCCCGATTACCTATGGTCCATCTCAGAATTTCTTTCTTTAGTTAGGTTTTTTTTATTGCAAAGAGATACAAATCACAACAGCTGTTTGACATTTTTACAGCAAATCCTCCAAATTAAATTCCCTAATCAGGGAAAGAAAACTACAGCAGCACATCTCTTTATAGTCTTTTAATAATACAAAAACTATTTACAGAAGTAACCAGGCCATTAGAAAAAAAAACAAAAAAAAAACTTTGATTCATAATGGTCTTAAAAGAGTCTTTAAAAGTCTTAAATTTGATTTGAGGAAACCTGCAGAAACCCTGTGTGTACGAGTATAAAGTAGGAACATCAGAACTCACAAGACAACCTTTCACCTCGACAAGAAATGTCGTCACCATTTATTCTCACAAGATCTCATAACACAAGATCTCAACACATGAATGTGTGAGAACAACAGAAGATCAAAATGTGAGCTACGTATAGAAATGTAAATATATATCTATGTAAATATATTATCTTAATTTTAAAGCACCGTCAAACAAAACTTTGCAAGCTCAACCTTTAGTGCGAATGAGGCCCAACTTTTAGTCATGCTGCTTTTCTAGTCTACATCTAGTGTGCATAAAACTCACTTATTTTATTCATCTAAAAGGTATAAGAGCTCTCAGAAGGTGGTGAATTGGTCAAAGTTGAAAAAGCCGATATATCTCAGCAGCCGCGGAAGCAAGTTCTCTGACTGGTCTGCAACATGGGCCGGATATCTCATCAGTAAAGTAAGTGCAAATTCTCACGTTTTCCTGGAGTCTCATATATACAGAAAAAGCTAATTCTCTTTAATCCATTTTGTGTTTTAGGTTAGACATGAACTTGCTGGGAAAGTGTTCAACTGTTGTAGTTTCATCATAAAGCATGATTATAAAGTGACCATATACCTGCTGCCGCACATTTTGGTCTATGTGCTGATTGGATGCACTCAGGAGGAGCAGCGAGAGGTACACATTCAAGCTCTGTTGTTTTCTATATTCTGTAATCCTAAAACAATTCAATTCAATCACCTTTATTTGTATAGCGCTTTTACAATGTAGATTGTGTCAAAGCAGCTTCACATAAAAGATCATAGTAAATTGAAACAGTTTTCAGTGTTTAAGTTCAGTTCAGTTTAGCTCAGTTCAGTGTGGTTTAATAATCATTACTGAGAGTCCAAACACTGAAGAGCAAATCCATCGATGGGCAGCTCTACAGATCCCAAACCATGCAAGCCAGTGGCGACAGCGGCAAGGAAAAAACTTCACCAATTGGCGAAAGTGAAGAATTAAAAAATCTCGAGAGAAACCAGGCTCAGTAGGGCACGAACAGATGTGAGTAGTGTCAGGGGAAGCACGATGTAGGGCTGGGGAATTCATCAAAGGTGATTTTCATGCACATTTTGTCAGTAAAGCTGGTTCTATAAAATGGCAGCATGTGCTTTCAGATAAAACAACATTGTACGAAATTGATTTAATCAGATGTTAATGAAATCAAGATCATTTTTCTGTGCTAAGATTTTGCTTTACATCTCTGGCTCTGTGCTATTAAGGCTGCACATAAAATACCACATTTTTACCATTAGCAATATAAGTAACATTTGTTTTAAAAATCTGCATTAACTGATTCTAATTATGAATTTAATCAATAGCTTGTAAATCGGTAAAATTGAACTAAAACCCATTCTTAATATTAAAACTGGAAATCATGTGCGTCCTGCAGGTGACTGAAGAGATCATGGCTGTCTTGAAGGAGGGTGACCCACGGTTAGTGCGACTGCAGGAAAATGCCTCCAGTCTGAGTCAGCTCAGTACACAGACCGTTTTCTCCATGCTGGATCATCTCACTCAGTGGTCCCGCCACAAACTGCAGACCTTGAGCACCAACAAGCGGACAGGAAAAAATGCCAGAGAACAGCCACCAGCTACAGGTAATGTAGTGACACTTGTGTTCAATAAATGAATTGATTTTTCCATGCTGAAACGTCCCAAGTTTTTGCAAGAACATTCAAACCCTGTGAGTCTTTTTAGGAAATGATAATGACATTTAAAATCCATTTTATTCTATTATAGGTTTTTATAAACAACAGAAAGTGAGGGAAAGTACTTGTAAACGCTGCTTACAAATTACCAATAAAATTAATTAATTCATGAAAATTCTAAGACTCAACTAAGATTCAACTAAATATATTATACCAAAAACGTATAAAATATTTTTTTATTTATTTAGAAAGATATCGATTTTGTGGGATTATTTCTTGTGCTGTAAAATTGTGAACATTTTAAAAAAATTATTTTTATTAAAAAATAGTTTTATGATCACCTACATCAGAGGTGTCCAAACTCGGTCCTGGGGCCTCATGTATCAACGCTGCGTACGCACAAAAACTTTGCGTACGCCAGGTTTCACGCTCAGAATCGCTCACGTTTGGATTTACTAACAATGAACTGAACGTGGGAATGTGCGCAGGTTCACGGCAGCTTTCTGGCAGGCGTACGCACATTTTTTGTGCGTGTCTGTTTTATTTCCATTGGCGACTCCTAGAGGCAGTTGTGTTAAATTCCTCTCTACAAAGTGTCTGATCCTTGCAATGGCAGCTGTATGAGACGGGTTCATATAGTAGGTATGTGAGATTTCCATACCATACAGTTGACCAGCTAAACATTAAAGCGCAAATTGCAGCAGTCGCCTGTTTTCCCAATGTAATCTGAGCTACCTACTGCACGCACATTGCTATAAAGACACTATCTGAAGATGAATTTGCATGCGTGAATCAGAAACATTTCCATTCAATAAATGTGCAAATAAAATATGATGCACAAACTTATTGATGATTCCTACTTGTCTTTCTCTTGATAAATAGTGGGCAAAATCTGATATGTAGCGGGAAAAAAAAAGAAGAAAGAATTCATCAGACGCTGGATTCGAGCCGAGTTTACGCTCGAACGTGTCAATACATGATCTCATGCTGCTTATGAGGTGCGCCACTGAGACTGCTTGGGGTATCGCAACAGTTTTCAGTTATAAACCACACTATTTCTTTTTTAAATGCACTCAGTGCGATGTTCAGACCCAACTGTGTTAACCGTATCAGCTAAACTCTCCCACTCTATTTTTTTCTTTTGTTGTTAATTCCGGAGAACAAACTTGCAAATAACACCGCTTTTCTCCGGTCTACCTCCGAAAGCAGCACCTCCATTTCACATTCTGTTCAAAGTTTCTCTTTTTGCTTGATTTTGCCGTTGCTTTTTCGTTGGGTTTTGCCATTAGCATAGTCATTAGCATATTCATACGGGGGAGGAGGCAGGGAGGGGTTTTGTGCTCGTGCATGTTGCGCTCAGTTTCACGTTCATTCAGATGTACAAAAGAATATGCGTGAGATTCGGCGTACGCACATTTACAGCTTTGTGCGTACGCAATGTTTTAGTAAGATTTCCACGCAAGTCTTCGTACATGAGGCCCCTGGATGGCTGGTGTCCTGCATAGTTTAGCTCCAACTCTCTTCATCACGCCTCCCTGGAAGTTTCTAGTATACCTAAAAAGAGCTTGATTAGTTGGTTCAGGTGTGTTTAATTGGGGTTGGAACTAAAATTTTTTGGACATCGGCCCTCCAGGACCGAGTTTGGACCCTGACCTACATAAACCATTATACCATTATACTCATGGAACAATTTTATTATTGCCGTGTGAAAAACATTTGTACTGAATTAATATATTTGTGAAAACCATAATGTATCTATTTTTGTAACTAATTATTTTGTATTCTGAACGTAAACCAAATAATACTGTTAAAACAGCAATAAAAGGAGAAGGAATGCATTTCCCCCCCACATAATATTTTGACTAGAATGTATGAGTAACCGAGCAGCATGTATTTTGAAATATAGTGTTGTTGTAAGATGCATATCTTCAATAATATTTTTAATTAATTAAAAAAAACCACACAATTTCTTCCAAAAAGGACAAAAACATACTAAATAAGTTTGTATTTTTTTTTTTTTTTTTTTTAGGATTGACGAGCAATTTAACCCAGGAAAATAGTTTAGATTAATGCCTTTTGTCTGTTTTAAAGTCGATGTTACATCTTATCAAATCTTTTGAATTAGTTGATATTAGTTAATATTAGTTGTATGTCTGACTCTTTCTTCTTCCGCTTAGGTCCAGAGAACAGCGAGTATCAAAGTGTAGTAGCTTTCCTCAACAGTATTCCTCAGGATGTGCTGGCCAAGGCCTCCTTCCGCTCCAGAGCTTACACTCGTGCCGTCATGCATTTTGAGTCCTTTATCCGGGAGAAGAAGCAGAACATCCAGGACCATCTTTCATTCCTACAGGTCTTACCACTCCACAGCTTTAAAAAAAAAAAACCTGTTTCATGTACAATATTTCTATTATTACTTATTAAATTACATGTCTAGAAATCATATAAGCTCTTAAAATATCCATATTTTGGTAGGTCCCCTAGAGTTAAAGTTGAGTTTTACCATTTTTTAATCCATTCAGCCGAAGGACAAAAATCTAACTACTCGTTTAATTCAAGACATGATTTGATTATTCATTGAAGATACTGTATTGGACACACAAGACATCTAATCAATGGAGAAGTTTACATCAAAAGGCCAATATTGTTAAAGCAACCACAACTTTCAAATATATGTTTGAAAAGCGCTATTTTAATGTTATCAGACAACAATTCTTCAAAAAACGTTTTGTTTATCAAAAGTAGATCTTAAATAAATCAGTTTTGTATCTTATTTTTTATATTTGATGTATTGTAGTATGTATAATTGTATGTATAAATGTATATTTATTGTTAGAAAACTTCATTATAGAAAATAGTTTTTTTATAAAGCATAATTTTTTTTAGATATAAAATTGCCAGAGATGCTAAAATGCCAGTCAAATCAAAACTCTCTCCATTCAGCCAATCTCTGGGTTTGGGGAGAGCCCTTTTAGCTTAGCTTAGCATAAATCATTGAATCAGATTAGACCATTAGCATTTTGCTCAAAAAATTTCTTTTTTTTAAAATTTCCCTTTTTGCTTGACTCTCCAGTAGTTGCATCATGTACTATGACTAATGGAAAATGAAAGTTGCTATTTTTAAGCTAAATTTGGCTATGGACTATGCTCTTGTACTCTTAGCTACTTAGCTGTCATACCATGACTGTAGCAGTCACAATGTTAATGCCTTTAAGTCTACATGACTTGTAAAATCAGCCTATTTTTCAAAAAAGTGGAGTCTTCCTTTAAGGTTTGTTTTTATGACCTGTCTGTTTTGCTGGCCCTCTTTTAGACTTTGTATGCAGCCATGCATGAGCCAGATGGAGTGAGGGGTGTGAATGCTCTGAGGAAAGAGGAACCGTCGTTGAGAGAGCAGATCCTGGAGCACGAGAGCATCGGGCTGCTGCGTGAATCCACCGCCTGCTATGACAGAGCCATCCAACTCGAGCCAGACCAGGTCAGCATCAACACTTATTCTTGGAGAAAGTTTTGTAGATATCTGCCGCATTCAGATTGGTGTGTGTTTTGGGTGGAAAAACAGACTCAAAGCCTGTAAAGGCTGGTTACCTGTAAACTACACGTGCACTTTCAAGTATGGTAATATTTAAGGCTGCATGATATTAGAAAATCTGACATTGAGATATTTAATTTTTCTGCTTTATACAGTTATAGTCAGAACTATTAACCCCCCTTTTGATTTTTTTTTTATATTTTCCTAATGATGTTTAACAGAGCAAGGACATTTCCAGAGTATGTCTGATAATATTTTTTCTTCTGCAAAATGTCTTATTTGTTTTATTTTGGCTAGAATAAAAGCAGTTTAAAGGTCAAAATTAGCCCCTTTCAAGCAAATTTTTTTGTTCGATTGTCTACAGAACAAACCATCGTTATACAATAACTTGCCCAATTACCCTAACCTGCCTAGTTAACCTAATTAACCCACTAAAGCCTTTAAATGTCACTTTAAGCTGAATACTAATGTCTTGAAAAATATCTAGTCAAATATTATTTTCTGTCATTATGTCAAAGATAAATTAAATCAGTTATCAGAAATGTGTTAAGAAAATCTGCTCTTCGTTAAACTAATTAGGGAAAAAATAAACAGGGGCTATTAATTCAGGGGGGCTAATAATCCCAACTTCAACTGTATGTTACGATGTGAATACAGTTTTACCAGATTTGCATTAAATCTTATTAAATCTGCATTAAATATAATAAGCAAATTACAATCATTGATAAATAAAATAGGGCAAAGATAAAAGTAAAATAAAGCGGTTTATGTTTTTTTCTGGGGAAGTCTAACAGTATTCTGGTACTGAAATTGAATAATCAGCTGTAAATAGCAGTGCATAGTCTTCATTTTATAAATAATTCAATAATGTTAATGTTTGTTGACGTTTCAAATGGTTACAATTACTGAGTAATCCACATTCATAGAACAGATACCTGATTTAAATGTGTTCAGATGCACATCTTGTGACAACCTGTGTGATTATTTTCAATTCCTATCTTTCTGAATTTCAGTCATGTTCTTCATAACTTTTGCCATAGTTACATGTACTGTTGACTAAACCCAGTGTAATGCTGCTTATGAGAAGCAGGGAAGCATATGCATGATAAGGATATAAGCATCAACATTTCATTGTAGTCTGTGTGTTTTTGTACGACACGTTGAAGTATGAATACCTTGTTTAGCTGCGCTTTCTTAAAACACTTTCTATAATGGTCACGTTTGTGGACCACACTACACTTCAGAATTTATTACTCTCACTTTCTTTTATTTGAATGCAGCTTGCGCATTATCATGGAGTTATGAACTCTATGTTGGGCCTTGGTCAGCTCTCCACAGTAATAACACAGGTCAATGGAGTTCTGGCAAGCAGGTAAGTGTACCTATGTGAACTATATCCGCATAAATGTCAGCACAATAAAGAAATAAATACTTTTCTTTCACACTAATAAGCTGATATTGTCAGGCAAAGCTTGTGCTTTTAAAGATCCTAACTCAAGTGAATAAATAGATTTTTCTTTTTAATTGTAGTGTGGACTAAAAAGTCATTCATTTATCAAAAGCAGTGACTGCCCTTTGCCTGCTATGTGCTATTCACCTTTACAATATTGTTAAAGATAAATGTTACTTTTTACAATCTTCAAGTCATATTTCTGCAAAGATGACAAAATTGACCTGGCCTGGGATTACTTTTCTGTTACAAAACAGACAAGGATGTCCTCTTCATTTTTTCTCTTTTATTATTTTGTCATTTTATACAACCATGAGGAAACATATAAACAAAGAAGAGATGCTTTGTTGTAGAATAGTGTTATAGTTGAATGGTGTCTTATTATATGTTAAACACTGTAAAGCTGTTCGCTTAAAAGCAGTCTACTGTGTAAATTAGAGGTGGGGGTAAACTTTGATACACTATAGTATCACAATATTCTTAGCTGCAGTATTATATCAATACATGAATTCCCATATTGATAATATTTTTATTATATTATTTGATTGAATAATAAAGTTGATTTCTGTATGGTCCATTAAAGCAGATTGTGGGGTTTTATTTATTCTTTCCCTGCTGAGTGAGGATGCCTAAAATAAAAATGGCAGCATTGCAGAAAAGTGCACACAACATTTAAGGCAGGTTTTTCCATTAGTGTTGTACCATTTGTGTACTTGACAATCCCTTATTTATTCTTTAAGGGGCCATCTAAGCAAAAGTGATTAGAATTTTATTTGACCGGAGTACCACATTTAAGAGCTTCTGCAATCATAACAACATCTTTATAATCAAATTCTTTCTTCACTACGGTTTTCTCAATGCTGTTATTTTAGTTGTATGTTTATTTTGTTATATGAAGGACGTCTCTGCAGACGTTTTAAGTTTATAAAGATCTTTTGTGCTGGCAAATGAAAAAAAAAAAAAAAACATCAACAGATTTTTAGATGTTTCATGACTGCATATCCTCAGTAACCCTGTTTTCACACAACTTTTTGTTTTTCTACAACTTTAAAAGTTCACCCAAAAATGAACATCCTCGTCATCCATCATCATTTACTCACCCTTCACTTGTTCTAAACCTGTTCGACTTTTGTTCTTCTGTTCAACACAAAGGAAGATATTTTGAAGAAAGCTGGAAACCTGTAACCATTGACTTGTACAGTATTTGTTTTTCCTACTGTTCAAGTCAAGGTTTCCAACATTTTTCAAATGATCTTCTTTTGTGTCAACAGAAGAAAGAAAGAGGGTAGGTAATGAGTAAATACTCGCGACTCAGTGGCTCATAGGTAACGCGCTCGCTTCGCAACATGAAGCACCCGGGTTCAAGACCCGGCTGGAGACCTTCACTGTTGCAGCCTGGCTCGACGTGGGGACCGCATCTCTGGACTATCGCTTTCATTTCTCACTTCCTAATCGCAATTGCCTCTCTGAATATCACACTAACTGTACCCAAAAAAAAAAAAATACTAATACTACTAATACTTTCCTTCTTAGACTTTACAGACCTGAAACTTGCCTATAGCACTATTTTACTGTGTAAATTGCTTCCTTGTCCTCATTTGTAAGTCGCTTTGGATAAAAGCGTCTGCTAAATGACTAAATGTAAATGTAAATAAATTTTTTGTTTAACTTAACCCATTTATTTTTTTTGCAAGGCCTCGATGGAAGTCTGATCTGAATGCCTATCGAGTCGAGGCTGCATGGAAGCTGTCAAAATGGGACTTAGTTGAAGACTATCTTGCTTCTGGTAAAGTTTTATTCAATGCTATTTCTGTAAACAGAAATATATGTTTTTTATTTGTATTTTGTTTATCATTATTTTGTCATTTTTGTTTTCTAGATTGTAAGTCCAGCACATGGGGTGTCAGACTCGGCCAAATGTTGCTGGCTGCCAAGAAGCAAGATTCAGAAGCGTTCTATGAAAAGCTGAAAATAGCCAGGAAAGAACAAGTCGTCCCTTTATCAGCTGCCAGTTTTGAGTGTGGCACCTATCAAAGAGGATATGAGTACATAGTCAGGTAATCTAGGGGTCCACCATTTTTTGAAAATGTTTAGACCTGAAATGTAACATGCTGAAATGTGTTTTGGACGATGCTGTTGTGTCTCAGGCTGCACATGCTGTGTGAGTTGGAGCATGTTTTTACGGAGCTGCAGAAGGAAAGCTCAGAAGCTGGTAGATCGAAGAAACCTGAGCCCAAACTCAACTGGGATGCCCACCTGCTCATGACCCAAAACTCATTCAGAGCCAAAGAACCTGTGCTGGCCCTGCGGAGAGCCCTTCTCAGCCTCAGCAAAGGGTATGAGTGAATGTCAATTTCTGTTCAGTTGGCACTATTTTGGAGTATACTAGTTCGGAGTTCAAAATATATTTCACTGACAGTCACAATAATGATCACATTTTTAAATATTATGAATAATACGCTACAACAAACATACTTGGTGGTGTTTTTATATTGTAATTTTCAGAAATGATAACAGATTTAGAAATTAATTTGAATAAAGAGACCGTTCGGCAAACAGTAAAAATAGTGGGCATTGTTAACATCGACACCTTTTGCTTTTATTGAGATTATAGCATTCTGATTAATGTGTTCAAACATAATGTTTACATGGACGCTCTATAAAGTGATTGGGTTTGCATTAAAGGGACAGTGTCATCATCAACATGTTCAAAACCCATTTGAGTTTCTTTCATCTGTTGAACAATAAAGGCTGAAAAACACATTGAGGGAGAGTAAATGGTGAGGTAATTTTCATTTAGGGTCCCTTTAATTTCACAGTCTGCATGAACTGAAGTTAAAGGTGGAAATGTTTTTTTTTCAAACAATAAAAGAATAAAGGAGTATCATTATAAAATGTAATTTCCCCTTGCCATACATTAGCATGTGCCCTATTTATATTAGTTTAATTTCATTAATCCAGTCAGTGCAATAGTAGTCATTTACACACACAGGGCACTGTGCAGTTGAATAATTTTAAATTTAGCCACTTTAATTCAAACCACTTTTATCCACTTGTCAGCAAGATTTTAATACTTTTTAATATACAGTAAAACCTATCATCACTTCAGTTTAGATTAAGTATGCCGCTTCGTTTTTACATCATTACTTCAGTGAATGATGATGGAGCATTATTTATATTATTACTTTATTTTCAAAAGTTTTTTAAACATTTAAGAAAACACTTTACTTGTACTAAATATGATTTCTATGTGCATAAATAATTTTTTTAAAATAAATTTGATGCAGCCACCAAAATGTGATGCCTCATCTTTGGCACACAGTATATATGGTATTTCAATGCTGGTTTAAGATGTGTGTCATATCCATAGTACTGCTTCTATAATTTCTTTAATAATAATAATAATAATAATAATAATAATAAATAGCATCGGTAATAATAATAATAATAATAATAAACTACAGTTAGATAATTTTTCTCAATTTGTTCTAACTAACAAATTAACATGCATAATGAATGGTAAAAGAAATCTCAATATTTTTCAATAAACTTCCGATGGTCAGAGACCTTTAAAGTTTAACCATTGGAAGATATAGAAAAAACATTAAGATTTAGTCCTTTAGTCCTTTGCTAATCACTTAATATTTTGCTTGGCAGCCAGTCACCCTTCATTGAATGACAGTAACGATAAATGACTCAATTTATGTAAGTGACATGTTTCAAAAGACAAAATGAACTTTGAGCGTTTGTTATTGTGATGCAGGTCTTCGTGTGAGGAGCAGGTTGGCGAGTGCTGGCTTCAGAGCGCTCGTGTGGCCAGAAGAGCTGGACATCACCAGACGGCCTTCAACGCCTTGCTCAATGCAGAGAACTCCCACCTCTCTGAGCTCTTCATCGAGAAAGCCAAATGGCTCTGGTCAAAGGTTCAGTAGCTAAAATGTGTTGCTTATACCAAATTTAATGTTTGACAGGGTCTTTTTTCCTTCGATGAAATCTAGTTATAAGCAGGGTACTCACACTTCTTAAAAAAGTAGTTTAAAGCACTTTATAGAGCACAACACAGAAGTGAGCCAACGTGCTGTACAGTAAATATACAACAAAATAAGCATAACACTTTAAAAAATACAAGATAAAATATAGCTTAACTACCTAAAAAGGTGCATAAATTAAAATAACCAGATATTAAGATTAGGTGTCAAAGGTCAACGTTTAAGAGATGATTAAATGAGAACACAGAAGAGGCCTGTCTAATGGGCAGTGGCAAATCATGCCAAAGTCTAGGACCCACCACAGTGAAAGCACGATCCCCTCTAAGCTTACCCTTTGTTATTGGCATAATCAGGAGCAGCTGATCCGCTTACCTGAGTTAATGAGTGGGTTTATAGGGGTGTATCAGCTCAGATATAGGGTGGAGCAAGACCATTTAGAGAATTAAAAACAAATAAAAGAATCTTAAATTGAATTTTAAAATGAACTGGCAACCAATGAAGCGAAGCTAACTTGGAGGAAATAGGGTCATATTTGTGAGGACCAGTTAACAGGCGTGCTGCAGCATTTTGCACCATTTGCAAATGAGCAATAGCTGATCTACTACTCCCCGCTTTACAGTGATCTAACTGAGTGGTCACTAAATGATGGATCACTTTTTCAAACTGTTGTTTTGGTATATATTGCTTTATTTTTGCTAGTTGTCTTAATTGAAAAAAGCTAGATTTAACTACCTCTCTAATCTGATTGTCAAATATGGATATGCAAGACCTGGAAATAACTTAAAAACAAACATAGGTCCTTTAAAGTGATTGAATTAAATTCAGAGTGAAATTTGTTTATGGTGTTATTTCAACATTTGTATTGTGCTGCTGTCAAAAACGGACTGAAAAAAATGATTCATCCTTAATTTAGGGTATCTGCCGGGTCTTAAATTTTAAATATACAATTTTAGCCCTTAAAAAGTCTTAAATTCACTGAAATTACTAATATTGTAACTGTAGCCTGTTGTGAAAACATTTAGGGCTCTATTTTGACGATCCAGTCCAACGCGCAAAAGCATTAAAGGCCTGTCGGAATCCACTTTTGCTATTTTAAGGACGGAAAAATCCGCGTTGCGCCACGGCACATGGTCTAACGAGGTTGAGTTTATTCTCTTAATGAGTTATAGGTGTGTTTTGAGAATAAACCAATCAGTCTCATCTGTTCCTTTTAAGAGTCAGTTGCATCGCGCCATAGTGCATTTGCTATTTGCATGGCGTACTATGTAAGTGGAATACTGAACACTTCACTAGAGAGAAAACAGTTAAACAAAGCATACAGCGCGAGAATGAGCCTCCTCATTCTTTCAATTTCACTCTCTTTCGTGGATAAGGAAACGTGTTGTACGCATAGACATCCATTAGCGTACACATAATTAATTTTGTTTATTAAGTGCAAAGATTTGTTTCAAAACTATTTCTAAATTCAGTTCATTTTCCAGCAAGCGAATAAATGAAGAGTAATTCTGAAGTGTGTTCAAAAAACGGAGTTTTATCCAAACACAAATGCTATGCCTCATATGATCCAAAACCTGACAAGTGGACAAACCTAAGCTTGTTTTTAATAACACAAATATAAATATGCATATAATAAATAATTCTGCTACTAATAATAACATTATACAAAAGCAAATTGTCATGAATAAACAAAAATGCCCCCCGAGATGAAGAAGGCATGGAGGCAGTGGTTTTTATATTAATGTTGGCTAGAAAAACATTTTTTTTGTAATTTAATCTAGTAATTTAATCCTTTCCTTTTTTTTCCATTTGTGAAGGTATTTGCGTTTTGCTGTAGCCTACATCCTGTGTGTATTAAGCAATGTTTAAGCGAGGCACATAACTCACGCGCTCTGCGCTGGGCTTTAGACCTCCTCATAGCTGGTCTATTGAACAGTGTATTTTAGTTCCCTAAATAGCAACGCTCCAGCAATGCTCCTTAACACACCCCCGTTTTTAGACTAGACCGCCTAGGGGCGCACATATGAGCGCAAATGCATTTGCTGTATAAACAGCCGGGTCTTTAACGTCAAAATGACTCTTGCGCCTATAGCTGAAACCAGCATACAACAGTTGCGTAGCGCCTTGCGCTGCATTGTGCCGGGTGTATGATAGGACCCTTAGTTTTTAGATTTTTTTTTTTAAGTTATGTTGAACAAAAATATATGTGTACAACTAAGGTCTGCTTGTTTTGACTCATTATTTAAAATATGTGGCTAAGAAATGACTACTTAGATTTTTTTTTTCTGCTGGGCCATTTAAAAAAAATCTTTAGTGTCTAGCTTTATTTAAGTCTGAAATGTTTTTCGTTGGGGTCTTAAAAAGACCTTAAAAAGTCTTTAATTTGACTTGGTGAAACTTGCTGAAACCATGCAATTTACAAATCTTACATTTCAATCCTGTACAAGAACAATGACAAATAATGCTAATTTCATTTCAGAAACCGCATTTAAATTTAATTTAAAATACTAGAGTGGAATTCAACACATTTTTAATAAGTTCTTTGAACATGACTGTTTAAAATTATCATTACTCTCATTTTTACTGTAAATGTTAAGTGTGGGTGAAATGTTACGTACAATAAGGACTTATATGGTGATATACATGCTGGGGATGTAAATAGTGCTTGATTTAAAATGTAAGAAGTCTTTGAAAATCTTTGAATCTGCTGTTCATGAATAATTGGGTACCTTGTATAAGGAAAGATGCTATTATTTTATAGGGTGATGTGCATCAAGCTCTGATAGTCCTGCAGAAAGGAGTGCAGCAGTGTTTTCCTGATGACCAGACGCTCACAGACCCCAAGAGAATCCAGGTCAAGGGAAACGCCATGCTGCTGGTGGGCAGATATATGGAGGAGACAGCCAACTTCGAGAGCAATGCGATTATGAAAACCTATAAGGTATTTCAGTTAGTCACAAATGAAGTCAAATGTCAGTACTGGAGTCAGATTCATCAGAAAGTGACTTCTGTTCTTTTTAATGCAGGATGTTACGACTCTGTTGCCAGAATGGGAGGATGGAAACTTCTACCTGGCCAAATACTATGACAAGGTGATGCCCATGGTCACTGACAACAAACTGGAAAGACAAGGCAACCTCATCCGTTATATTGTCACTTATTTTGGAAAGTAAGATGTTTTCTTTTGATAATGTTTATATTGTGATTTTTATTTAGCAATTCTGCAAAAGTTTACAAAACAAATCAAATTTTGTGTGTGCTTTTATTTTAGTTTTATTAATTTAATAAAGTTGTGTACATGTGAAATATTTCTATGGCAAGTAACTGAGTAACTTTTTTTAAAGTAAAAAAAAATTATTTAACCCTCCTTTTGACCTAAATCTTTATTTTTGTTTTTTAATGATTTCTGTACACATTTAGGGTATAATGGGTGTCATTTAGTCCATTTTTTACCCGCCAGCTACAGTATAAAACTATTTTTTTTACCATGAAAACCACTAGCTCACACGGGCACACACACCCCCAAACACAAACAATAAGAATCTACTGCTTTAACCTTTATTAATATTCTCTTGCTTTAATGTTTAACATTCATGCATGTACTTTTAGCAATTGATAAACATGCCACTTCACATAAGTCAAAAACACGTGGTGACCTCTAATTAAACATTCATGAAAAACTCATGCACAGAGTTCGTTTCATCATGCGAAATAGATTTGAGGAATAAAATTAAATTTTGATTCTTTATTTTAGAGGTTTCATAAAGATGAGTCAACAGAAGGAAGGTTGAACAGTGTATACATCATTTCATACAACAGGAGGATTAAGTTTTATGGTTTTAGTTTTAGTCTATTTGAATGAATTGTGTGAAAGTTAGATTTAGAGATGCTTGTTTTGCTTGTTTCACAGAGCTTTGCAGTTTGGCAATCAGTACATCTATCAAGCCATGCCGAGAATGCTTACGTTATGGCTGGACTTTGGTGCCAAGGTTTATGAATTTGAAAAAGGTAAGGCACAAAAATGGTTGATGTAGTGTATGGAAAAATTAAACAATTAAAATATTTATTTGCATACCTCCATCAGTGGTTTGTGTTGAACAGTCAATTTGAAATGATAAACATTGTAGAGAGTGTAAAATTGCAATTTGTCAAAATAGTATACTCATTATATTAAATGGACAATATGTATTATAAAAAATAGATATAGTTTCATTAAAATATTCAAAAACAGTAGAACACTGTTATATATTTTTCTGACGTATTTATATTAGCCCAAATGTTTTCAAGAAAGGTTTTTAATTTTTACTTGGGCAATTATATTAGGCAAGCAATATAAGCAATACCCATGTTACTTATTAATCCATTATAAATGCATTTTTATTTATTTATAAATCTGTTAAGGTTTTTTCTTAGACATTCATTATAAAACAATTAATTGGTTTTAAAAATACACCTGCAAAGGTATCAAATTTTATGCAATTTGTAATGTCCAAATTTTATTGTTGAGAGGAAAACTGCACACAGCAATACTGGATTTCCATTAGTAAATGAAGCCTTTACGATCATTAAAACGCTAAAGCAAGTCCTTTAAAATTAAATGTTCATTACGGAATGATAAATAAAACAACAATTATAGAACAATATATACACAATATTATTGTGGCATTCACTGTAACCAACATTATATCTATTAACTATAGGCAAGCCTAACAGAATTTATTCTTTCCAAAGCTACTAGAAACAATGTTACTGAAACTAGCAGTGTGTGGAAAATACACTTAAAGAGATGAAAAATTTCTCTTAATTTACTTATCCTTTTCCAGAGATGGGTTGTGGCTGAAATGGCATCCGCTGTGTAAAAACGTGCTGGATAAGTTGGTGGTTCATTCCGCTGTGGCGACCCCAGAATTATAATGGGACTAAGCCAAAAAGAAAATGAATGAATGAATTTACTCATCCTTACTACAAACTCATTTAAGTTTCTTTTTTTCCCCCTTTTGAGCACAACATATTCTGAAGAATGTTGAAAAACTCTTCAGTATATTTTGTTTTGTCTTCAAATTATATATTTTTCTTTTTTTGTTTTATTGGAAATAGAAACTCCAAAGACTTTAATATATTGTGTTTCATTAGACTGCACTGAGCTGCCTTATAACACAACCTAAAATGTATTTAATATGATAAAACATCTCTTCTTCTTTTCTATGTGATCATGACCAAAAAAACCAAAGTGCTCAACCGTGGCATAATAAAAGTGGATTGCATTCGTCTCTCATCAGCAATGGGGTATATGGACACAGACTTTTAATTTCAGTCAGTCAGCCCCAGGGCTTTCGGTTAATTCTCATCCCATGCAAAATTGCTGGGATCTGATTTCTTAAAAAAACAGTGATCTTCACTGCCTGGCTGACATATACGATATAAAGTGGGTATCAGAGTAAACCCAGAGTAAAAAAAGAAGCACTGCATTAAATTAGATTTTTCCATGCCATGTCTTTAAAATATAGAAATTAATTTTACCCTAATATTTTGAATGGATTTTCTGCACTGGCCTGAAAAACACTAGCTGTGCATATATATCACATTGCTTCAGCGAGCTTGTTTCGCTTTGACAGCTTTCAGCCTTTAGCACATCCACAAACATGATTTTCGCAGGAGTCGCACAGAATGTAATCTTGAATATCAATTCATACGGAATCTTTCCAAATGTGCAATGATTTTTAAAAATAAATTCTAGTGATTTAAAAGGATTTTTTTGTCAGTCTTAAGACTCACTGCTCTAGTAATCTTCGATACAGCAGTTTCTTCCCACTTTTTGTCTTTAAGCTGGCCGCTCTGACCGAGTCCAGATGCGTACTGAGCTTACGAAGATCAATTCCGTGATCAGCGACCACACTAGCAACCTCTCGCCCTACCAGTTCCTCACAGCCTTTTCCCAGCTCATCTCCAGAATCTGCCACTCCAGCAACGAGGTCTTTGCTGTTCTCATGGAGATTGTGGCCAAAGTATTCTTAGCTTACCCGCAACAGGCCATGTGGATGATGACTGCTGTGTCAAAGGTCAGAAATCTTCATTTATTACAATATCTAATGCATACAGGTATAAATAATGTTTCGTTTATGCTTCTTTTTTAGTCCTCCTATCCGACTCGAATGAACAGATGTAAGGAGATCCTGAAGAAGGCCATCAGTCTGAATGACTCATTTATGAAGTTTATCGGAGATGCCAACAGACTGACTGACAAGCTGTTGGAGCTCGGAAATAAACCAGTAAGACAGACTTTACCACTAGAGAGAAAGTGATTTCGAAAGAAACAGCTTTTGTGGATTTATTAATCTTTTATATTCAGCTTCCCCCTCAGGCATTCATTACAAAATTAATTAGCTCTAAAATTAGCTTTGAATATGCACTGTATTTTCTGGAAAGCATCTCACACCACGTCTGAACTAAAACACAGATTAGATAAACGTTTGAATAGGTTACATATGACTTTTTTTTTATTAAAAATAAACATTAAACAGGCAAGATCATAAAGACATTTATTCAAATACTTTTTATTGATTTTCATTATAAAACAATACACACAACCATATATGTAATGTGAAGAGGCTGCTGACAAGGGAGGTGTGAATCCAAACACAGGTTTATTAAACAGAATGGTCAGGCAAGCAATGGTCATTACAGGAACAAACAGATGTATTCGGGCAATCCAGAGTCGTAGTCAAATATTAGGGGAATGGTCAGTATAGGCAGGTAGCAGGCAGCATAAACAAATAAAAAAGACGATGGTCAAAAATATGGCAAGGCAAGGAAAACGCGTTAACAAGTTCACAATTCACTATAACAAGACTCAGCACTGTGTGTGTGTGTGTGTGTGCGTGCGTGCGTGCGTGCGTGCGTGCGTGCGTGCGTGCGTGCGTGCGTGTGTGTGTGTGGGCTCTATTTTAACGGTCCATGCGTAGAGCGCAAACTCTTTCAGGGCGTGTCAGGACGCGTTTTTGCTAATTTAAGGACGGGAAATCTGCCTTGCGCCAAGGCGCATGGTCTAAAAGGGTTCAGTTTATTTTCTTAATGAGTTATAGGTGTGTTTTGAGAATAAACCAATTAGAGTCTCATCTCCCATTCCCTTTAAGACCCAGCTGCGTCGCGCCAAGAGCGCATTCGCTATTTACAGGACGCAAAGTAAGTCTAAGTGGAAAAAATGAGCATTTCACAAGTAAACAGTTGACAGTTTTTTAACAGAAAACTGTATAACAGAGCATCTACTGCGTGAGAATGAGAGATAAATGATCTACTTTCACTTTCGCTCTTCGATAGGGAAACCTTTACGCACAGACATCAATTAGCTTATAAATAATTAATTTTGTTTGTTAAGCGTAAAGATTTGTTTCAAAACTATTTCTAAATTCAGTTCTAATTTCTAGCAAAAGAATAAATGAACAATAATGACCAAGTGTGGTCAAAATACTGAGTTATTTCCAAATACACCTGCCATGCCCCATATGGTCTTAAACCTGACAGGTGGGCAAATCTAAGCTTGTTTTTTATAAAACAAATATAAATATGGATATAATAAATAATACTGCTAATAATAATAACATTATACAAAAGCAAATTGTTATGAATGAACTGAAAAAGCCTCCCAAGATGAAGAAGACATAAAAGCAGTGGTTTTTCATATTTATATAGGCTAGAAAATAATATGTTTTGTAATATTTTAATCCTTTATATTTATATTCTATATCTATTCTTATTATATCCTATATATATATCCTTAATATTTAAATTTTTTCATATGTAAAGATATTTGCCTATTGCTCTCTTGTGCGTATTAAGCAGTGTGTAAGCGAGGCGCAACTTTTTGGTCTAATGAAAAATTTATTATAGTTTCTAAAAATAGCCATGCGCCAGCGGCCCGCCTCAGAACGCCTTCCTTTTTAGATCAGAACGCTTATGGGCGCACAAATGAGCGCTAATGCATTTGCTATTTAAACAGTGTAGCGCAACGCCTCAAAATGACTCTTGCGCGAAGCTGAAACTACCAAAAGACCATTGCGCCCTTGCGCCGCTGCGCCGCGTCTTGCGCCACACTGCGCCGGATGTATGATAGGGCCCTGTGTGTGTGTGTGTGTACGTGTGTGTGTGCGCGTGCGTGTGTGCGCGAACTGTATTTAAAGTCCTAGTAATCAGTCTTTGACAATCCTCCGGCTATGTGTTCGCAATCAGTCAGGAACAGGTGTGAGTGTGTGTGGTGCATGACTGGAACTTGTAATCCATATACCAGCGGATCTGAAGTCCTTTAGCAACCTGCTAGAATTAGATCGCTGGTGATTGTGACAATATAACAGATGTGATGCACTTTACAATCCTATACAACACTACAACACAGAATACACAACCTCATGCATTACAAAAATATTAAAGCCCATTACAAAAAGTGGGAGAGAAAAAAAATTAAGACATTTATAATTAAAGAAAATTTCTGTATTAAATGGAGGCTGTTCACTTGAATAGATTTTTATCACATAAAAAAATAATAAAAAAATCTTGAATTTCACTGCTGATGGTTAATCCTCTTGTTAAGTGTGATATCATGTGAAGCGGCTTCCGGGTCCAAGTGCTCTATTAAACTGTATGGGAAGACTCAACAAATGTTAATAATAAACATTTACAAAGTGATGTAATACTTTCGAAAATCGCGATGGCAGTTTATATATCCATGCCTAATTTCAGATGGCCAGAAAGTGATTAATTTTTATAAATTGTTAAAATATTGGTGTCTTGTGTGCAGCAAGTTCAGAGACTGTAGTGTACACCATTATTTTTATATAAAATTCACTTTAATGTATGATATGACAAAAAAGGAGTCATAAACGAATATCCTTTCAATTCAAATGAGTAGCGGCTTCAAATTAAATTCAAATGACTGGACCCGGAAACAGTGCTTCATACGTCACGACTTAACAAGCGGATAAGGTATGTTAGCTATTATTAGTTGATGTTATATGTTAGTTATTAGAAATATTAAAATGTTTTTTTTTCCAGAGGGATAACATGACACTGGAGTATTCAATTCTCGTCATCAAGAGTAGACTAAATTGAAATATTTTCTATTACAAAAGAGTAAAGATGTAATTGCAATTTGTAAATGATTTTCAAATGAATTAGTTTATTAATTTTTAATATTCCTTACTTTTCCTCTTATACGTTAATTATACGAATAAGTTACACCTGCAAGTGTGTCGTATTTTCTGTAAAATAAGTAAAATTTGATCATAAATACAATTTGTAAATGATTCTCAAATGAAACCATTGTAGGCATTAGGTTTTCGCTTAGGCGTTAATTGTAAAATAATGAATTGCCCCCACAAATATACCATATTTTCTGTCAATGTGTTGTTGAAAGGAAAAAAACGTATAACTTGCATTTTTTATAATTTTATTTATAAATAATGTGAGATGTAATAATGTTAGCCCTAAGTACTGTAAATAAAATCTTTGCAAACTTTAACAACTTTTTAGTTCCCCTCACTCCAAAGCCAGTATTTTAAAATTAAAGGTTCATTACAGAAGTGGAATAAAAAAAAAAAAATCAGTACAACTTAGTCTACAGCTAAAAGTGATGGTGGCATTTACTACAATAATGATCTATTATATATGTCAAGCTGAAAGCAATAAGTTCATTGCAAACTGTAACCACTTGTTCCAAACGCAATTGTTTCTTTTTCTACAGAATATCTTGTTTTGTCTTCAGCAGACGAAACAAATTCACTTGAGCCAACCACTTGACTGATTGTAAATGTTGGGGATTTTTTCTGTGTGTGAATCGCTTTATTACTGAAATGCATCTCCGATTTTGAACAGTCTATGAGTGCATATTTGTTTTTTCTTCATGCATTTTAGGACTATTTAACATATTCAAATAATTTTGGTAATAATTATTCCATTTTAGGTAATGTAATATGTGTATTTCCAAAATTACAGCATGGGGTTAAGGTTGTGTTTGGTTGTGTAGGTGGATGGGAACAGCAGCACCCTCAGCATGAGTGTCCACTTCAAAATGCTGAAGAAACTGGTAGAAGAGCCCACCTTCAGTCAGATCCTCATCCCGCTGCAGTCTGTCCTCATACCCACCCTGCCATCCACTGGCGGAGCAAACCCCAAACATGACGCCTTTCCCGGACACTGGGTTTACCTCTCCGGCTTTGATGACACAGTCAGTTTTTACACGCCAGTTTCTGAGCACATCATGCAGTACTCTTATTTCAGATGATGCGTTAATCACAACATACGTTTCATTTCCTAAAGGTGGAGATTTTGGCGTCCTTGCAGAAGCCGAAAAAGATCTCACTCAAGGGCTCGGATGGAAAATTCTACACCATGATGTGCAAACCCAAAGATGACCTAAGGAAAGACTGCAGGCTGATGGAGTTCAACTGCCTCATTAATAAGGTAGCGGGCCCATGCTGTTTAGGAAATGACCAAATTATTTTCATGAGAAATTGGCCAGTAAAAATGTGCCTTTGTCAGTCTTTGAGGAAAGATGCCGAGTCTAGACGGAGGGATTTGCGCATTCGGACGTACGCTGTGATCCCTCTAAATGAAGAGTGCGGAATAATCGAGTGGGTGAACAAAACAGCAGGCTTACGCCACATCCTCACGAAACTGTATAAAGAGAAAGGTGGGTCAATTTCATTGCCTCTAGGTAGGGATGCACTGAAATATGTCGGCTAAAAAAAGCATGTTCTGCATGCTGGTTTCATTCTCCCTCTTGCCAATGTCATGGCAAAGTCCACTCAAATAACATTTCTGTATATTTTTCCTACTGCTTGCAATAACGACACTGCAGCAGATCTTCTAGGTTTAGTTTAAGTCTTTTAAATTTGAAAAAAAATAAATAAATTTATTTTAATTTATAATGTAAAAATTAAATATTTCAAAGCATTTTTTATGCAAATTATTTTCAAAATTGTTTGGTTTTAGTTTTAACCCAAAATTTTCTTTTTAGTTCCTCACTTGCCTCTTATTCTCTTTCATGATATCCAGTGTCAATGTTTCACAATGTATGTCAAAAGAATAGTATTTTGAGTCATGGAATTTCTGCAGTTTGATGGAATTTTAAAAGGCCTATTCCAGACATTGAAAGTCAGGGGATTTTTATTTTGTCCAAATCATGGAATGTTTTCTGTTTATTATAAGTCATCGAAATTTTTCATTTTAGTCAAGGAATAGTTGATTTGACATTTGGCTTTGTTCTTTAAAAGAGTTATACCTATTTGGGTAATTACCTATTGGCTGATAAATTAGCTTTTTTTATGCTACTATTATTGGTGCAATATATTAAGCGATAACTTACAGATTAGTTTTAGCAAGGATGTATTAAAGTGATCAAAAGTCATAGTAAAGACGTTTTAAATGTTGCAGAAGATTTTTTTTAATGCTATTATTGTTTGCTACAACTGTTTTGAGTGTTGATATGATTAAATATAGGAAATTAGAATTATTCATAATGGAAATGTGACACTAAGTTATTTATAATTGATAAATGACTTTAAAGACACTGACATTGTGACTTAAAATATTTAAAGAAAATATTTTGCAAGAAATGTTGTACTGTATTTTTGATAAGATATAAAAAAAAATCACTCCTCAGATTTCCAAAAGTATATTGAATGTGAACATATATTTATTAACCAGTCAAAATTAATTAAACGTGCTGCTTTAAAAAGTTTATCAAGCCTCTCAGTGTCTCCATTAAGTAATTTTCCACTCAGCTGAATGAAAGTGGTGTTCTTGTTCTTTAAAACAGGGATCTATGTCAGTGGGACAGAACTGAAGAAGCTCATTTTGCCAAAAACAGCACCTTTTCAGGAGAAGCTGAAGCTGCACAAAGATGTGCTGTGTGCCAGACACCCTCCAGTGTTTCATGAGTGGTTCCTGCGGACCTTTCCTGATCCCACCTCTTGGTATTTTTATATGTATAGCACAAGCTTCAGTGATTATATTCATGATATCGGTGCTGAATTATGGTGCTTATTTATATTAGCTATTGACCCCATTTTTGATTATTTGACCTAAATTTGACACCCCTCTGAGTAATTTCTACTATGAATATATAGCCATATTATATATCAAAATAAGATCTTTTGCTTTTGAATTATTTTATTCTATCCTCATGTGTTGATGTTTTATCACCACTTGAATGCAGACAGATTTCATCAAAAATATTTTTTGACAAAAAAACTGAAAAACTTTTTAAAGAGATATAAAAGATAAAACGTAAGATGACAGTCCAAAAATGAGTACACCCAAATTAATCTGTTGTGTAAAAATATTGAATAAAATTTTAATAAACAAAAATCAAGAGTAACATAAAAATCTAAGAATGTTGTTGTTTGTAATTTTATAATTTTTTTTGTGAAAACTTGCTTGAATTTAAATGTAATATTTTTTTCTATTCCTAAAGATTTTGTGACCAAACCCCTTTTTTAATAAATATACAGTAACTGTTAAATAAAACTGTTTTATTTAAATACACCAAAATTTATTTGCTATTTTTATTCACTTTTTTTCACTGACAAATGGATGAAAATTGTGTACTGCTGTAATGCTGATCACTATATACAGTATGTATAAGGTGATATTATGCCCAAAAAGGAAATAAACTACCTATATACCATCAAGAAGGTCCAAAGGTTTACGAATTTCCTTTTCTTTTTCACCAAACCAGATATTTAGAAAAATGTTGGACACCTGTAACCATTGACTTGCATAGTAAGAAAAAAACAATACTATGGAAGTCACTGGTTTTCAACATCTTTCAAAATGAATCAATCTGTGTTCAACAGAAGAAAGAAACTCAAACTAGTTTGAAACAACTGAAGGTCGAGTAAATGATGACAGAATTGTCATTTCTGGGTGAACAATCCATTTAAGTTATTTGATGCGATGTTTGTTCACAGGTACAACAGCAGGTCTGCGTACTGCCGCTCTACTGCCGTCATGTCGATGGTGGGTTATATCCTTGGACTCGGAGATCGACATGGAGAAAACATTTTGTTTGATTCTTTTACCGGCGAGTGTGTCCATGTGGATTTCAACTGCCTTTTCAACAAGGTGTGTGAAGACACAGTTTATTTGAATCATTTCCTAAACTTGAAATCTTTAGGTAGCTGTATAACAAATGAGCGTTTCTGCTGTTAAGGGGGAGACGTTTGATGTTCCTGAGGTGGTTCCTTTCCGGCTCACCCAGAACATGGTTCATGCAATGGGGCCCATGGGTACAGAGGGCCTGTTCAGACAGGCGTGTGAGGTCATACTAAGACTCATGAGAGACCAGCGGGAGCCGCTCATGAGGTAAATACTGTTAAACTTTTAAATTTAACATATCATACAATAACTTTTAAATTACAATAGTTTGATGACTGCAGTGTTTCCCCTGGGTTAACAGTTTTTTGGGGGGTGGGGACATTCAAATTTTTGCTGGTCTCTAACTAATGACAGCAGATCACTCAGAGATAGAGGGATTTGCACTCGCGATATCTTTACTGCTCTATTTATATGACAGAAAAAATTAGGGGTTTGAACCTACACTGGTCTCGTGGTTTGGTTACAATTATCACGCCATTGATTCGGTTTAATTCGATATTTCGGTGCATCACGGTGCATTGATGATGCTTTCCATAATTAATTAGATTTTTTTTTCCACAACACAACTTTTTTAAAAAAATTAAAATCCATAAATGCATTAATATTTATATATTATTTGTGTAATTTTTTTTTCCTTTAATCCAGCAGTAAGATAGGCCTATATGTACTGCACTTTTAATTTGACCTGTTAAAAGAAAACACTCTTTTAGAATGTATCAAACAAAACACCAACACATGCACAGAAGACAACACGAGCATTTATAGCAAATAAACTAATGTCAATATTATCCCGCTTCCATTTTGAGCTTTCTTACACCTTTATGGTCATTGTCTTCACCTGCTTAACATAAAGGGCTGTGCTTGGCTCTATAAATGAAAGCGCTGTTCATTAAGGAGTCACGTGGGAAGAACAGTCGCGGTTACAGTCTATATCTGCATAATACGTGGTTATAATGGGTAATACGTAATAGACACAGTGGAGAAAACTCGCACCTCGGGCACACTCGTTTCTGGATCTACAAGTATCGCTTTAACAGCCAAGTGAAGTGGAAAGCTTATCTCACAAACAGCAGCGGGTCAAATGTCCAAAGTTTGTGTGAGAGAGAGAGACAGGGATGCATTTCTTCCTAGTAGTGAAATAGCGGCAAAATTATGTGCATATATATATATCTCCCTTTTAAGTAGTTGGAGCGTTTTATTTAGTCGTCCTCGCCTCCTTTGCCATAGTATTCTACTGCGACATCGCGCATATGAGATAAATGACGTCAGTACGTAATAACCGGTTATGATCTATTACTGAACCCATATCGAATTGTCCCCATCTGCATCGCAGTGCCCCGAAGAAACAATTAATTTTAACACCCCTAGAAGAAATGTAATGCTTAGAACATAACTGTGCCTCTCGCAATCTGTTGTCTCTCATTCATTCTAGTCGCCATGATTTTCAGAGTATTTTAACTCATTTTAGGGGGTCACGGGGCCGGTTTAAATTTGCGGGAGAGGTCAGGTTGGATGAGACGCTAGATCGGGAGAACGCGTCACAGCAGCTCAAAGCACTGGAGATACAATGGCTGCACTTACAACAAAGAATGCATCACTCGCGCGGGTCACGCCAAATAACTAAACAGAGGTCCCATCGCATCTGTATATATTTTAGCTGCTGCGACTGAGCGCATTGTGCTCCCACTCATGAATGAAGTTTGGCTGCTGTAGGCTATGCATAATGTATGGAAGTGGATGTGCGTTTTCAGTCCTGTCAGGTGTGGCACGCAGTCTCATTCCCATACAGCAGAGAGTGACTGTGTAGAACTCCACTGTGCGCGATTCAGAGAGCAGAAATTTGTAATCGCACGACCATGTAGAGACTGAAATCACATGTCCTTGCATAAATAAGATATAACATATGGCTATTTATCTTGTTTATTTGAAGAAGTTGTGATTTGGTGCTTTTCTCACGCTTATTAAGATATATATTCTTAATATAATAGGAAATAATATTAGTTACATTTTAAATGAACCTTTTCTGTTTTGTTAATCACTCACGTTTACAAAAAGGTATCATTAGTTAATATATTTAATGCACCAATAATAGAAACTAATAGAGAACAATACTTGTATAGAATTTATTTAAAGTTCAACATTTAATAAAACATTAGTAAGTTAAAATTCATGTTTGTCAACCTTAATAAAACAAAGCATTACTCACATATAAATGAATCTTTTATATGTGCATAAAACTATTTAATTTATTGTTTTATGATGTTAAATAAGCTCATTTGTCTGCAATTTTTGTTGTCTGTGTTTTTTTTTTGTTTGTTGATTGTGCAGTGGTGTAATGGCAATGTAGTATTATATTCACAAATTTTCAGCACTTTCAGTCATTAAGTGTAATTAGATATTAAAATCAATTTGTTACCATATATTATATTGCATGAACTATAAAATGTACAGTAGAAAGCTTAAAAAACATATCAGATCTTTATTCTATGTTGTGTTTTAATTTGAGTAATTTCTAACTGTATTTGTATTTTATTGTAACTGCATAATTATTTCTTTTTATTCCCAACCAGCGTTTTAAAAACATTCCTGCACGATCCTTTAGTGGAGTGGAGTAAACCTGTGAAGGGTTTCTCAAAGACTCAAGTCAATGAATCTGGAGAGATCCTCAATGAGAAGGTACTTCATCCGTTAATTGCTCAAGGCTGAGTGAGGATCCTTATGTGTAATGTAAATCATGCATGCTTTTGTGTTCAGCTATCCAAACATTGAATTCTAAACATAACATGGACATAACCATCGTTAAGTACACAAGTGCCTTTGTTTATGTGCATTTTATTCATTCATTCATTCATTCATTTTCTTGTCGGCTTAGTCCCTTTATTAATTCGGGGTCGCCACAGCGGAATGAACCGCCAACTTATCCAGCAGGTTTATACGCAGCGGATGCCTTTCCAGCCGCAACCCATCTCTGGGAATCATCCAAACACATATTCACACACACACTCATACACTACGGACAATTTAGCCTACCCAATTCACCTGTACCACAAGTCTCTGGACTGTGGGGGAAACCGTGGCACCCGGAGGAAACCCACGCGAACTCAGGGAGAACATGCAAACTCCACATAGAAACGCTGACTGAGCCTAGGTTGAACCAGCGACCTTCTTGCTGTGAGGCGACAGCACTACCTACTGCGCCACTGCCTCGCCTATGTGCATTTTAAATTAATGTATTTGATGTGCAAAGGTCACAGGGTATTTTTTAGTGTCCTAATATTAAAAGATTTAAAGGTATTCCTGTCAACCCTTCCTTTTTGACCAGGATTCTTTTGTATTTTACCATTCTATCATGCTATCATCCTTTTAAAATATTTACCCGTTTTTTTGTTTTTTACAGTATTTTTTTCTTTTTATGAACAGACGAAGTAATATATACACCTCCCTATTATCATAGTACTGCCGAACCCCACAGGGGGATGCCCCTTTACTCTTAATTGAAGAGCTGTTCGAGAGAATTATGTTATCGTTTTATTTTGGAGTAATATCACTTTTAAATGATTATAAAAAAAATCAATGCTTGACTGTCAGACAACCTCAATGAGGATAAAGACAATGTCACTCGAGTGTACACGCAATATGAAGAGGAGCAAAAGTGGACAGTTTGTGAATTGGGTGTGTGTTTAAACATAGAAATACACATAATAATATGTAAATATGGCAGTTTTGGCCAAAACTAATTGTTTTAAATGAGCATAGACAGGAAATCGGCCAGATGCTTTTATTATTTCATCTATACCCTGGGTGGTGTATAGATCTTGTAGTGACAATTTTGTTATTTTACCTTAACTTTTTGCTGTTTGGGCTTATTAGAACCTAATTAGAATAAAACCTAAGTATCATCTTTTGATATTGTGTACTTTTAGAGAAAATAATGTCCATATATGTGGACTCGTGGTCCGAATTTCCAAAAAAACACAACAAAGTAACCTTTGTGTAATAGAAAAAAACCTCTTTATTTCTGCCTTGAACAGAGCAGTTTTTTCCTGACTGTTTTTGCATTAAGAACACATACAAACATATTTTTGAACATGTTTTGACTATCAGTAAAGACAACATTTTTTGCCCATTTTAGACAGTTAAAATACTGTTTGGGACATTTCATATGCTGCAAAACAGTTGCAGGATGACACCGTATCTCTGTAACAAAATATAAAACATAAGAGCTAAAATGTACTGTCCATGGATGTGGTCACTAAGCCCTAGGAGGTTAATCAAACAAAAAGTCTAAATGAGTGATTCATTCGCTGCTCTTTACTGAATAACCATAACAACTTTAATCAGAAGTTATATTTAAATTATACAGTAAAGGAAATGTGAATGTGATTTGATAACTTTAAATTCAAATTCAGTTTACACATTCTGATGTTGATGGGTGTGATCTTATGTCTGACAACTATTTAATGTTGTCACAACATGCACTTGATATCAGAATCATTTTTCAGTTCCTTAAAATCAATTCGGGACTTAATGTTTATAAACCCCTCCCTTCGATAAGCCTACTCTGCTCTGATTGGTCAGCTGGCCAAGTCTGTTTTGAATGAGCTTTCCTCATCCATTTTGTTTCGGAAATGAATTGCCCAGAATGTTTATCGGTCGCAGGAAGGTGGGGATTATGCAAATGTGTCCATTTAATCATGTTGACATAGAACAGTAGTAAGGAAATAATTTGAAAAAATAAGAACTGTATCCAAAATTGTCCCCTATATCCAAAGATTTGTTCACTATTTCACCATTTCTAGTGGTGTCCAAAACCATAGCGGACGTTTTATCAAGTGTACTCAATCGCACAATGCACAGCTCTTACGAGTCTATCACCCATGCACACTCACACAACAGCTTCAAAGATCTTAAACTCAATTCCTGCAGGGCCGCAGCTCTGCACAGTTTTGCTCCTACTCTAATCAAACACAGCTGAATAAATAATCGAGGTGTTCAAAAGAGCCTTGAACACCTTGATTAGTTGCATCAGCTGTGTTTGATTAGGGTTAGAGCAAAACTGTGCAGAGCTGCGGCCCTGCAGGAATTGAGTTTGAGAACTATGAGCAAGAGTAGTGTTTCTCAACCACGTTCCTGGAGGAACACCAACACTGCATGTTTTGTATGTCTTCTTTGTCTTTTACCCATTACAGGTCTTTCAGTCTCTGCTAATGAGCTGATGATCTGAATCAGGTGTGTTTGGTCAAGGAGACATGGAAATCGTGTAGGGCTGGTAATCCTCCAGTAACGCGGTTGAGAAACACTAGAGAGCTAGAGAATACCCAGAAAGCACTCTAAGAGTTTGCAAGTTTCCGGATGAATTTACATGTCTGACCACAAGATGGCACACACATAGTAGAATCCTATTGGTGTAAGTTTCAAAATAATCTATTATTTATTTAAAGTAATGTTTGTATACACAACAGATATCAAAAGTCTTTATTTCATTACTAATAGACAGCTCGCTAAGGGTTATATATAATTATCACATAGAAGTTTAAAATCAAATACGTCTGAGGGATTTATCAACTAGCAAAACACAAAGTAAAAGGCATTTCTTCACTGTTCACTCAATCGTTTCATTCACTCTATCAAGTGGACAATATTAGTGGACTGATGTAGGGAATAGTGAATGAGGATTTAAGGGGCAATTTTGGATACAGCAAAGGAGAGTACATGACCCAGCTCTTTCTTTTAATAGACAATATCTTTATTCATTATGCACTATTTAACACATTTTCAGATTGTTTACATTGAAGAACAGCAAAGTAACGTAAATATGACAGTTTTTGAATACCCATATGACTCCAGCTCTTTAATGTTAAGTAATATATTCAAAAAGCCCTAATCTGACTTTGTTCCAATCTAGGCTAAGACTCATGTACTGGACATTGAGCAGCGCCTCCAGGGAGTGATCAAGAACAGGAATAAAGTGATGGGCTTGCCTCTGTCCATCGAGGGCCACGTGCACTACCTCATACAGGAGGCCACGGATGATAACCTCCTGTGCATGATGTACCTTGGATGGGGTCCTTATCTGTGATGAACATTTGCACTTCAGTCGTAGTCGGAGATCACAATTGAACATAAGCTTTCTGTTTAGCTCTGTACAGTTATGTTTGTCACTGTTGTTTTCAGTGTTTTTCAGAAGGTAAATTAAATTTCATTTACTTTCAGGAATTAAATTTCATATGTGTTACAGGTAAATTATGAGCACTTGTGCTGTAGAACGAGCAAATTTTGGATAAACATGCATTAAAGTGCTTGTACGTAATCCAGTTGTTCTTGTTATTGTGGCATAGTTCTGTGTTTCTCAACCATGTTTTGGGTGTCTCCTTTGTCTGTCACACCCATTACAGGTCTTTCAGTCTCTGCTAATGAGCTGATGATCTGAATTAGGTGTGTTTGGTTAAGGAGACATGGGAAATGTGGTGAGCTGCTGGTCTTCAGGATCATGGTTGAGAAGCACTGGTATAGACCATTTCAATGTGATGATGTCATTGGCCCATGAACATTTCCTGCTTGTTATTAAACTATTTTATAACTGTAACAAGAGGCAATTCAATCATATCCTGATGTTAAAACAGCTATCATAATGTTATTTATCAATGTGTGGCTCTTTTTGGATTCTCAGAAGCTACAGAAATTAAAAATGCTATTGTTTACATCCCTCAAAATGGTCTACAGTTATATAGTGCACATCAAAAAGGCGGCTTTATTTACACACAACAACAGTTCCCTTTACAATCATGTCATCCTGTTGAACCCTTTTATTCTACAATTATGTGTGAGTTTAGGGTTTTTACTTTCTCGCCTTTTTGCTTTACAAATCTGTAACAGACCAAGGACCTCATTACAATATATTTTTGGAGCTCAATCATCAGCTGCACAGATTGTCAAATCAGGTAAATCATTTATATCTTAAACAGTCTGTTTAATTTACTTTCATTATAACAGAGTATATCACTTTATCTGTTTAACCCTTTAAGTAGGGTGCTAATTACAGGGGGGTTTGAGTGGGATTGACCTCCCCTAATTAAGGTTTAATCCCCCTAAAGAACGTCATGTATGGGGGGTCCCTTTGAATCCGAAGAAAAAAAGCTCATTCTGATCTGTAATTTAAATAATAATGTTATTAATTAAAATAACAGATATCCATTTGGCCCCCCATAACGGTTCATACCATTGCAAATGCATAATCGTGCCAGTCAATCTGCGAGAAAAAAAGTCATTCAACAGTCTGATACCGGCAGATTTAGAGCACCATGAGAGTTCACAAGATTAATTTCTCATAAAATAGGAATTTGTTTCTACATAAAGCCTTAAAGTTAAGTCAAATTAGATGCGTAGTTTGTATAGTTTGACCTAAAGTAAGCCAAAAATAGCTAATCAGCTCAGAACAGCCTACACTAAATGGCCTATCCCACAAAACACTGAAACATAATAAATAACTGAAATATATTTATTTATTAAATTAGATGTAATTTAATTAATACACACATTTGATTCACTGAAGCATGCATTAAACTAATATTACTGAAAACTAACATTAACCCCCCCCCCTCTATTATTCGCACACTGCCTTAAACTGCCTGCTCGACCAAATGACTGAGTATATTTTGACTGACTATATTTTATTGAGAGTACCAAACTTAACCTGACTGAGCCGTGCTGTATGTGTTCTGTTCATGCTGTGCATTTTTGCTATTTTTTGCCCTTCATAATCATACTTTATACTCAATTGTTTATTTCAGATGCAAACATATCATACTTTTCTCCAGAGAAAAAAAATTCAATTAATAACGTAATCAGTACACATCATAAAGAATTTTTTAAGCGTCGCTGGATCTTTGTCTTCATTGTATCTACAGTGTTAAAATGCAGGGTTCCACACAATTCATTCATATCGTCCCAACAGAAATCAATAAACTTATTCTTTTACAGATTTAACAAAATTGAATGGATTGAACATAAAAAATTAAGTTTTCTCAATGAACTCACAATAATTGTGTTGTTTCAGCTTAATTTAAATAAGTAGATGGAACAAGCAGCAGTGTATTTTCTGTTTCCTGTTTTGCTTTTTGTATTCACATTCAGTGTTTTTTGTAATGTATTCGGGTAATAACTGTTGTAATAACACTTCTTATTTGTCTTAAAATATCTAAAACACATTTGTGGTATATTTTTGTTATGCGAGTTTAAATTGTTAAACTCCTAACAGAGCAAAACCCCTTTGTAAAATTAACTATAGTTGTATTTATTATATATTATTTTACTAAATAAAACCACCACAACATGGTGTTTGTAAACTGGTTTTAAAAATGTTAGTATGCAAAACACCAAACAGTTATTGTTTCCTAAGGGATAAGACATACAAACAGATAAATAAATAAATACTAATATTAATAAAATAAATGGGCTCTTGAACAAAGGTTTTGCACAATCTATTTAGCACAAAAATAGTTATGCTGCTTAAGAACCCTAATTTTGATACTTTTTAATTTGGTTACCTCATTTTAACCCTCCATATAAAAGGAAAATACTGCAAACAGACAGAATTCTTAAATACATAAAAAAATTATAAACAAATCCCTTGGTCAAAACCTTCACTGTGTTAATTTATGTGTGCTACTGAATTAAACATTTTTTTGCTCGGTGCAGGATTAGATTTAAGAACCAAATGCCAGTCTTTTTCAACAATAACATTTCACAATATACAATAACGTTTCAAATATTGTAGCTATAGTAATAACAATTACAAAAAGTAATAATTATAAAATAAGACAAGAAATTAAAATACAATACAATTTTACATCAACCCAGGAAAATAGTGAGTGATATCCAAAGGTGTATTGAAAATAAATCTGTAACTTCAAATGCAAACGTCTTTAAAAGGGGGACAATTTCAAGGCTTTGCAGCAGTTTATTCTCTGGTTGAATTTTCCATTTTTACACCCTCCAATGTTTTAAAATGTCGACAACTGAGGACTGAACCAAAACGAACAGGGCTGCGTTTCCCAAAAGCATCGTAAGCCTAAGAAGTTCGTAGAAATGATCGTACGACTGATCTTAATATTACGGTCTGTTTCCCAAAAGCATCGTAACTTAAGTAGCACTTGAAAATCTTCGTGGATCTACGAGTGCTCTGGAGTAATCGTAAAGCCTTAAGTGCATCGTAAGGAGACAGAGTTATGAGGGCACCTGCTGGACAACCGGCAAATTGCACCTACAATTTACTTCTCTTCAAAGTCATTATTCATTTTATTTGTACGTATATCTCTATTCATTTATATTTTCTACACATTACACAATTCAATATACAAATAATAATGAATAAAGAAAAAAATAAAAATTACATAATAAATGTTAGAATGAAAAAAAAATTACACTGTTGTATATGGACATTTCGAGGGTAGTAGGCTACATATGTTGTATTTAACAGAAAATATTTAATGTGATTTAAATCACATTTAAATGCTAGTGTCTCCACCCCTAGGTATGTGCTTATTTATATTTTTGTCCTATTAGCAAATGCACATCAGGTGGGGATAATTAGGCTAAACTTTTCAAAAATAAATGTAAGAGCTTATTTATTTATTTATTTACTTATTTATTTATTTTGATGTGAGATAATCAATTTTTGATAAAGAAATTGATAAATAATTCTACTTAATTAAGGTTTCATATAAATATCGAAAATGATGCTGATGTCATTTCCGGCAAGGACTGTTAGAATTAGTTTTATGCGAGATTGGAGCAAGACAGTGTTTTTACAGTACGACATTTCCAGTTAATTTATGTTTTTAAACTGGCTCAAAAATATATTTTTTTTTATGTTATTCGAGTTGAATATACATTCACACAAGTAGAAGAAGAATTATATGGATTGCTATAACATGTGCAACAATAACGAGCCATTCTATAGCGTGACATTTCAGCACTTAACAAACGGATAGCGACTCCTAAGTTGCACTTAAAGCTGGGCTACGTGCAATTGTGTTAAGTGCATTTTTGGGAAACGCACGTGAAACAATAACGAACGTTCGCAAAATGACTCGTAGAAAACGCTCTTAAGTGCTAAGATCAATCGTTATCGGGAAACGCAGCCCAGAGCTATGTATTATTTTCGCCTATAGACATGTATTCAATGAAATTTCTCTGTCCACAGATTGTGATAATCTTGGTCGTTCTCTGCATCCTTTCCTGTGATCAGTGAGTTACTGATGCTGTGGTCAGATTCTCCTGTTCTCTGATTGGCTGTCGTAATTGCCTTCACACGAGCGCGCTGACAGCCAGAACATCCTCTCCTGTCACGCGCGCGCGATAACCACCAGCTCCCGCCAAACGCCTTCTGTCACAATCTGCTGCAGGTATGTAATAAATGAGCTTTGATATGATGTGCCATTCGACTGTGTTTAATCATCAGAATGCGGTAGACTTTGTTAATGGGTAAAATGTGTGTTTAAAGGCGTAGCTCGAATGAAACAACGGAGAACTGCACGCCAGCGAGGCAGAGCATGTTACGAATGGAAATTATTGCTAGAAATATCAATGAAATTTTAGAAATCGTTTTTTTCTATTATAATAACCTGTTATTGAATATTGAAACCGATGATCAAGAAAGACGTGTAAGGTTGAATATTGTCATAATATACATGTGTGACCTAGTTTAAAAGCTGTTCAGAATACCTTTTATGATCAAATTTGAGTTATTCATTGTAGTAAATAATTGTTTCAGTAAGATTAATTGCTGTTTGTAACATTATGCTTTTTTCTTACTACAAAGCAAGCTGTCATTATTTTTTATTTATTATTTTTTTTTTGCAGTAAGATCTACTGTAGGCTATGTGAGGTTGAATTTGTTTAACATTGAAAAAGACTCATAATTTTGATTTAAATGAATATAGGCTATTGCACTTGCCCCTATCACGTCAGTTGGGAAACAACATACAGAAGCAGCTTTATAATAGTAAAAAAATGATTTAAAATGAGTTTTATTTGAATGATCAGATGAAATCTGACATAATGGACTTTACTTGCTTTTTTAAAACTGTTCCTCGCCTGAATTGTGTGTAAAAAGATTGTGCATGGATTAACTTGCAATGTTTCTCCGGAATGGCTTTAAGAATTAAAAAGATGATTATTTCTGAAGATTCATTTGTTACGAATTTCTATTTCATTTTCTTAAATCATATAATATGACATCAAAAAACATGCTCACTCATATCTTGCTGAAAGAAAAATACGCAGTTTGTGTTCTGATTAAAGTGCAATATGTTTTGTTGTTAGTTTCGGGGTGGCACAGTAGGTAGTGCTGCCGCCTCACAGCAAGAAAGTCGCTGGTTTAAGCCTTGGCTGAGTCAGTTGGCGTTTCTGTGTGGAGTTTGCATGTTCTCTCTGCTTTCACATGGGTTTCCTCCGGGTGCTCCGGTTTCCCTCACAGTCCAAAGACATTTGGTACATACAGGTGAATTGGGTAGGCTAAATTGTCCGTAGTGTATGAGTGTGATTGAGTGTGTGTGTGGATGTTTCCCAGAGATAGGTTGCAGCTCTAAGGGCATTCGCTGCGTAAAACATGTGCTGGATAAGTTTATTCCCCTGTGACGGCTCCAATTTATTAAATTGACTAAGCCAAAAAAAGAATGAATGATCGAATGAAATTGTTAGTTTCTTGTTTTTAAATTTTCGTGGTATATTTTCTGTCATTTTCAGGTTCAAAAAGCATATTCTGAAACGATTTCGACATCTAAATGATTAAATGTAAAAGAAAAACTAACCCAAAGTATAGAAAATATAGAAAATATTGTTAAAAATAATATATTCATTCTGTATTTGTGTCTTATCTAGTTACAGTTATGTATATGAAAACATGGAGCTGTCAAAGAGCGAAGATTCTTCAGACAATCGGAAGAGGTCAAATGAGGCACATGGCCGAAGTAAACAGCCTGATGAGCACACATCAAAAATCACCATGAATAATGGATTTGTGAATGAACACAATACTGATGAAAGCCCATCCTCACTGCCTAAGCCAGATATTCTCTTTCCAGGGGTGAGTGACACACTCTCAGAAGGTCACAGACACCTCTGTAGCTCTGTTACAAGGAGCAAAACTCATGATTGTGTCAGAGGACTGGGACTGCAGCAAGCCAAGAACTCTGAATACAAAGATGGGACCAGCTGGCGCCATCACCAGAAGCTGCTGACCAGTGTCAGCTTTCCAGGATTTGAGACGCCTCTTAGGTTGCTTCGTGAAACTCAGGATACATCTGGCAGCAGTCATGAAATCGATGATTATCGTAACCTTACACCTCAAGTGCCCTTTGTGCCCTGCATAGGCAAATCCATTCCAAAAAGGAGGAGATCTCTGAGGAAACCTAGGAAGGCCATTAAGGATTTGTTTGTTCACAAAAGTTACAAACACGAGAAAGCTACACCACCAAGTACACCAAGTCGTGTTTTTGGTGAAAATGCTACAATATTAATGCGGATAAGAAAAGCAGCAAGACACAGAGAGTGTAGCACTGCAGGAAGCAGGTGTAATGATGAACTCAGTGAGACGCCCTCTGATTCTTCCAGTGAATCTGGTCCTAATGTCTGCGAGGATGCCGTCTCGTTAAAAAGCTTTGGATCTCAGGCTGGTTGTGGTGAGATATTTGCTGATGATCTTGTATCGCCTGATGGGGTTCTTAACTCTCAGCATGACAGAGTTGCTTGTGGAACTCCAAAGCAAAGTCCTACTACTTTGGGCATCCAGGGAGGTACTGAGTGTCTGGCCTCTCCAGCCAACGCTGAGGTACTGGACATGTTTGGGTTGTGGGAAACTTTGAACAGAACTTTGCTTTCAGAGCAAAGTTTAAAAGCAATGGGACCAGCAACAAAACACACAGCACCGATCACTATATCTCCTTCCACAACCAATTCTGCAGATATAACAGTCAGTACACCCCATCCTGTAGAGCCAGAGATCAAGGAACTTAATGCTAAAGTGATGACACCCAAAAGTGACAACCAAGGGAACACCAGTGATGAGGGCTACTGTGATTACGTTTCTCCTGGTTATGAGGACCACAGCAAAAGTTCCTTTTCTCCAGTGCATTCCAGCAAGATCCCTAGAGACACGTACAGTGGAGATGCTCTTTATGAGCTATTCTGTGACCCCAGCGACGCAGAGATAACCCCAATATGTGATGATGAGATTGATCTAACAGACAGCATTGTTGGCCAGTGCAGTGATCTTCCATTATCCATGTACAGCTTCCGTGTTGGAGCAGAGGAGAATCTTGCCCCATCTTTGGCTCGGGACTTTGTTGGGCAGGAACTCCTGGAAAGTAAATGGATGGGGAAGGATTGCTTACTAAAGCTTTGTGACACTGAGATATCTCTGGCTATGGGTGTAGTTAACTGGCTAAACCAAAAGACAGACAAAAGCAACCCATCAGAACTGAAATCTTCACAGACGAGTGGTGAAGAAGGTGGGGATTTATGTCTGAGATGCAAAAGTAAGTCAGAGAGGGTTAGAAGACCTCCAAGAAGAGTAAGAACTGTTAATAGCATTAGAGATGCAGCTAAATTCAAAGAGCCAAGTCAGCGAGGTGTACGTGTTCTGCCCTCAAAATGTGATACAAACACAGTGATGTCATCCCTGGACTCTCCTCATAGTCAGCCCAATACCCCAACAAGTGGCGTGTGTTTCAGGATATTCAATATCGGCTCTCCTATGACTCCAGGTGGAGATTTGCAGTCCCCGGTGGTAAGCTCCCCTGGCTCTGGGACAAGGTCTTTGTTTGTGTTGGCCATAAACAAGGAATCTCTTTGTGAATCTTGCAAGAGTTCCCTGAAAAACGGAGCGAAAGACTTGCACCTGTGCCGTTCTTGTATGTCCCTCATTGAGCACATCAAGACTTCAGACCTTTGGGCCCGTTCCAGTTTTCCCAAGTCCACTCTAACTCCACAGCCAATTACCCAAGACTTACTATCTCCCGCCAGCACATGTGGAATAGGAAGTGACATCAGTATAGCTTCCCTTGTTGAGCAGTGTGCCAGTCAGTTTTCTTCTATGAAGATCAACATGACTCAAGCTCACCCAAGAGAGATAAGAGATGCTGTTGTGCCTGAGCAGGTGGTAAAAAGGAACAAAGACCACTCTCAGAAATACCTAAAGTCAACGCACAAGAGAAGGCCAGTGGCAGCTACAGAGAAAGGCTTGCATGCTAGACACCGCTTGAGTAGATCTAGCTTTTCTGAAGATGTGAAACGTTCTCTTTTGGATGCTGGAGGACTTGGCTTTGTCTCTACCAGTCCTTCTAATGATTTGGTATTGGAAACATACACTCCATGTACTGTTGAATCTGTTGACACGGATGTATCTCAAGCAACCAGGCCTACATCTCTTCCTCTTGTGGCGTCTTCTGAATTTTCTTGCAGAGAGGGCTTGATGAAGATAGAAGGGGGAAACTCAGCCAAGAAGACAAATAAGTCACGACATCGCAAGAAGTCTGCTGTGAATCATGAGGGATCATGCAGTGGCTTTCCAGGGGACAGGAAAGTGGAACGCAGATCCAGAATGAAGAAGGGAAACGTATAATAAACAGGTGAAGGATTTGACTAATCAAGAAATGATGTATATTTTATGCCTTTTCTGTACTGTCATTGAAAACAATTAGGGTTTTGAATCTGTCTGTCTATTTGCCGATCAGTCAGTCAGTCATGGCAGAGTTAAAGTATCCAAGAAATTAAAACTAACCAAAAAGATGTTGTTAGCTCACATTGCTAGTTTTGAGAGGAACAATTAATCTGTGCATGTCATTAAGAAAAAAAAAAGTTTGCCTTTTTAATCTTTTATTGAAACAAGAAAACACGCTTCAGTTTTATTCTCAGATTACATGATTTTGAGGTAATGGGTAATGTAGCTAACATACTTAACCATGCTGGTCCGACTGTTAGTTTTGACAACAAACAGAAATGAGCAGGAGGTGTCTGTTAGGTTGTAATAACTCTTCTAAAACCCCTTTCCTGATCTTTCTGAATGAAATGCCTGCTTTACTACATCCATTCAGCCTCCGGTAGAAAAAACAAGCAACGCCCATTGTTTTCTCACTTAAAATTGCATTTCTTTAGAAACTATATCACAACAGGAAGAGAATAACGATCGCAGCTTCTGGTTTATTGGAACTTTAAATGCAGATAAATTGTTAGGCAATCAGTGTCAACTAGCCAATTCTTTTATTTTTATAAAATCCAAAGCAGAAGATTCACACTATTTAGGACATTTTGCATAAATAATTTGCATATATAGAACTTTTAGCCTAAAGTAACACACACAGACACACATATATGCATCAAATTTAAACAGTTTCATATTAATGACACTGTATTTTGTATCATATATTGGCATACTGTACATTTTTATAACATTTCATTGTTTCTTCAGCATGTGATGTTGTCAGACAAATAAAACTTGTTTTACAATATCAAGATATTTAAATAATGGACCCTTTTCACAAGACTGTTATGACACATTTAACGATCATCATAATCTTTAAAAAAAAGTTTTCAATATTTAGATTTTTATGAAAAAGTAAAAACATTTATATGCATTTATGAATGCATTATATTAGCCAATTTACAAAAAATTAATTTGAAATGTTTTTAATGCAGCGTCTATGAGGCTGAAAGTAAATTTGATGTTATTCTCTCCTCTGGCTGGAGTCATCAGTCTCGCACTATTTTTTCCTTTTACTGAAAGTCTTGATAACACCATTGATGAGTTTTATCTTTTAGTATTTCAGTAAATAAGATTGTAAAAAATATTTAAGTTTATCCAACTATAATGCCTTCCGCTACTGAGAAACCCAGAAATATGGAATGGCTCCATAAAAACATACATTTACAATTTCTCTGCTTCTCTTAATATACAAGTTAAATGATCATTTCTCAATTAATTTGTCTTAACCCTTTAACTGCCCCAGCATGAAATGTTTTGGATTGCATTTCTTAACTCCTAATATCGCTAGTTAACACACACAATGCATTTTTTAACACATCACATAATTTCTATAATATCAACCTCTACCAAATGGTTGACATGTCGGTTTATGGTAAAAGGACCGGAATCAATACATATACTATGAAAAATCTGAAAATATGAAGTGTAAGACAAATTTATTTAAAAATATTATACATTTTTGAATACTAAATAATCTTTATTTTTTAAGTTTGTCATAAACTTTTTAAGATTCTAATTTGACACACTTTTTTTATACAATAAAACCAAAATTAAGTCTAGTGGTGCATTTTCATTCTTTAAATGGCTCTTTAAATTATTTAAAAAAAAAAGGAAACCAAAAAGTATCTCGAAAGTATCTTTCTAAAGTGAAATAACTGCAATGAAATGTAATGAAAAGTTTTTGACTGCCTACTGTAGCTTCTAACAGTAACGTTACATCATCCACAGTTTTGCCAGCAGTCAATCACCTAAATTAGTTTAATATTAGTAGTTAAATAAACATACATGTTCGGTTACAATGGAAACAGCATTTTTTTCTGCAGTAGCCTAAATAAATCTTAAACATTAAAATTGCTTTTAGATTACTGCATTTACGAATAAAGCCTAATGGCATAATAATAAACTATACTTATTAATAAATGATAAAAAACAGCTTATATTTTACATTGCAAGATGCTACAAAGCACATTTAAAAACAGTTAATTCCCCAAACACTGTTAACTAATTTATGTGAATGTGTTAATGAAATATCATAAACATTATCTCATTTAACTGCATTTTGCAACTCAAAAAGGGTATGTTCAACTGCAGAGAGCTCAATAAACCAAATGTGACAAAAAAAATTGTTGATTTCACTCTAGAAGAATGGTTAAAAACTGAGTCATTTTCTTTCAAACCATTGCACATTCTTTTACAGGACAAAAAAAACTATAATGATAATAATAAAAAAAAAGATATATATATATATATATATATATATATATATATATATATATATATATATATATATATATATATATATATATATATATATATATATATATATATATATATGTATATATATATATGTATATATATTTCATTAAAACGTTACATTTTATAACTACAAAAAGTACCGATAAGAGAACATTTAAAACCGATAAGTGGTATTGATAAAAGTAGTAATACTGTTGAAACCTTAACGATACCCATCCCTAATTATATGCAACTATAAAATTACCTGAAAATTAGTCCCTTTCCCACTACTGGGTTTCAGCTGGAAGGGCATTGCTGTGTATAACATATGTTGGAATGGTTGGGGGTTCAATTCCACTGTGGCGTCCTCTGATATATAAGGGACAAAGCTGAAGGAAAATAAATGAATGAAAAGTAGTCCCTTTACTTTTTTGTAAAAAAGTAATTTATTTGAAGTAACTAGTCACTTTATAACTAATTCCACTCAACACTGCTTACATGTTACCTTGTCAATTGATTGTAATATTATTGCAAGAAAAGCAGAGTCAGGAGAAATGTCATTATTAATGACTGGGGGGATTTTAGAGAAGCACCTTTGCTAATGAGGCCTCAGAGAAAACATGTCACTTTGTCCTTCATCCGGCTGTCAAATTCTCAAATGCCTCGCAGGTATACTCCTCTCAGCAAGCATTTTCTCCTTAAGTTCACTTACAAACTATAGAAAGAGGTGAACCAATTGTTATGCTGTACCACGTACGCTTTTTATATGCATAAAATACCCAATATATCCCACTTGTTCATGCTCTATGAAACGGCCGTTGTAGTTTATTCAGGTTTATTTGCACAGCCACTCACTACAGCACATTATTGCAGCTCAAGACCTTTAAAACCTCTTCGCTTAATTACATCATAAGGGAGCCAGTGGTCGCAGTTTTTGTGCTTGTGTCAGGGAAAGTGTTGTGCATTTCAAGGCTTCTTTGAATTGTACTGCTTTAGCTGGGTCAGCAGAGGTGCTCAAAGACTCTCTTCTATGGGTTGTTTTGGTGTGTGCGTCATTGAGCATTGATGGACTGAATATGTAATTAGCACTTCAGTGTAACTGCAGGTTTTAGTTGTCTGCTCTATTATTAGCACTCTTATGCAAACCGTTTACCCAAAAATAGATACACAATGTACTGATATTCACTGATAAAGAGATGTGAAAACGTGCCTTAGACTTTTCTCTCTGTATAGGTCATACATATAGCGCCTTCAGATTTATAGTTCTCTAGGCGAGTGTTTGTAAATTAATGAGCACTGAGGGTAGCAGAGTTGCTTTTGACAGAGCTTCAAGGTCAGATATCCTCCCTACATATCGGTGTCTTGTTATATATTGGAGCTGTTATCTTGTAACCATGGCAACAGCACTTTGATGGGAAAGCTCTCAGTATTTTGGCCGTGCACCAGCATGAGAGTGAAATGACGGTGAAGTCATAAGGCTGGCTCTGGTTTAGGGTTTAATGTACTGAAGGGTTTTATTTTGCTTTTATATATATATACTTATACCACATTTAATAATTTAAGACAAAAGAAGTGGAACTGAAAGAGGATAATAGCTAATGAACTATTTAAAGGCTGTGACCCTGTTGACATAATTTGAACTGGAGGGTGAAAAAATATGTTATTCTAAGCATTTGGTGGGGATTGTTACATGTTTGTACTGCAGTTATGACAAAGCTCTTTTTTGAGTCAGATTTAATACATTGATAGTTAACATTTTTACCAGTTATTATGATTGGGCAGTATATATTAACAGGAACTGAAGTTTTAGAGAGCGAGAGAGGGGGTTGGATTGGGTCTGGACTCTGGACTTGAACTCGGTCACAGTTGTGCTACATGTACAATTGAAGTCAGAATTATTAGCCCCCCTTTTTATTTTTTCCCTAATTTTTCTTTAACGGAGAGACGATTTTTCAACACATTTCTAAACATAATAGTTTTAATAACTTATTTCTAATAACTGATTTATTTTAACTTTGCCATGATGACAGTAAGTAATATTTGACTTGATTTTTTCCAAGACACTTCTATACAGCTTAAAATGACATTTAAAGGCTTTACTAGGTTAATTAGGTTAACTAGGCAGGTTAGGGCAATTAAAAACTGTTTTTATTCTGGCCAAAATAAAACAAAAAAGACTTTCTCGAGAAGAAAACAATATTATCAGACATATTGTAAAAATTTCCTTGCTCTGTTAAAATTTGGGAAATTTTTAAAAAAGAGAAAAAAATTAAAAGGGTGGCTAATATTTATGACTTTAACTGTATGCTAACAATATTTATTAATTAAGTGAAATGTATTTAACATAATTGAGATATATATATATAATTTTGAACAGCTTGAATTTCAAGACTACAAATTCCACATTTCGTTTTAAACTATATGCAATTTTAAAACTCTATATTCAAATCTATTTCCATTTCAAACATCCTATATCCAATTTCAAAACACTAGTAGGATACTGTAGGAACTGCTGTAAACTTTATTTAAAGTCACAATTCATAGTATTACCAAACCATTAACTAACTCTACTAGCTTAACAACCTACTAATTACCTGTTTATTAATAGTTAGTAAGTTAAAAGTTGAGTTTTGGTTTTGGGTAGGATACGGGATGTAGAATAAGATCATGCTAATTAACTACTAATAAACAGTTAATATATTAAAAATGGCTGGTATTAAGTCAGTAGTTAATAGCATGATATGTGAGCTGAACTAAAGTGTTACCAAAACTGTGTATATTATACTGTCATTAAACGATACAAAATAACATACATAAATTAAACTATATGTCTGTTTAAATTTGATGTTAAGTCATCACTGGTGCTGTACTACGTTAAAAGGCAAAAAAAAAATGTACAGATGAAGTGCTAATATAGAGTTTAGGTACTAATATGTAGCCTTAAGAGGGTAAACAAGGTAAACAGATGTCATTTTTGAAAAGGTACCACCCCAGTAACAGCAATTTCCTTGTATAGAATAAAAATATTCCTTTTTTGTGTGAATAATATTTGACTAGATTATATGTCAATAGTTTCTTTGCTTTGCTTAACTCAAACTCGTGCTGAGTTTCACTCCAATCAGTTTAAAGTGGATTTTCCTCCACCTCCACCTTCTGTTCCTGACAGAGCTGCTTTAGAATACAAATACAGAACAAGAAATGCAGACAAGAACCAGGACAACATTAAGAGACTGTGAAGCTCTACAGTAAAACAAACAATCTAACGCTTGTGTTTCTTTAGCAGGAAATGCATTTGAATGTGGCCTGAGGTATATCACTTTGCTTGTTTTGGATAGCTTTACCATGATCATGGGGTTCGACAAGATCAGTGAATGGTCTATTGACAAGCTTTTACAGTATTTCCTGCACAGCTCTCAGTGGATCTTCACACAGCAGACATCTGTTTGCATGAACATCTGGAAAATATGAAAGCTTGCATTCAGCCTAAGCCGCCAGTGACTTGCATCACGGTGGGGGGCACAGTTCAGCCAAACATGTTTTATTACATAGTGACAGAGGTCCACGTGTTTGTTTTTAACTAATCTTGATCAGAACAAGAGGTTTACAGACAAAACACTGTTATTATTAGTCCCTTTGACCACTGTGTGGCAGTATAGACATTTTCACAAGCTGCGCTAGAGTACTGGAAACCCACTGGGAGCTTGAGCAGCATGTCGAACCACCTGCATTTCTTCAGCATATACAAACTATGCTTGTCTGCATGTCCTAATGCATTATAACTCATCAGAGCAGGACATTTTCTACGCATGCTTGTCTCATCTGATGCAACTAGGCTTGCGTCCAGAGGGGAAGGGGTTCGTGTTGGCTTTGACCGCTCTATAATCCGTCAGTGTGCTCCTGAGAGCCACTACAGAGCAGATGTATAGAGCTGGCTGACTGCTGCCCATTGACAGAGGTGATGCTGAACAGGACTCTGTTCTGGTTTCTGGCTTGGGGAAGAAGCCTCATGCTGTTAGATTGGTCGCATGAGTCTATGGACGATTTAGAACAGTGACATGTGACACAATGGAGGACTGTGCCAATATTGAAGGATGGAAATCAGCTTTTTTTCTGTGCTGGACACTGAGATGGCAAGGGATTAGACTGCACTGCTGGGGCTTTAAACTCTTGTTGAGTCGCTCGATGCTTGCAGAAAACAAACAGCTATTTGTCTGATGCAGCTGCTTCAGATAATTGGCATTGACACTAATATGAATGAAACAGAGTCAGTTCAGATGGTCAAAGTTAACTAGGGTGCCAGAGAGTTTGTGAATAAATATCAAATCACAGTATATGCATCGGTGAACTTCTCGGAAACTGGCATAACATTATATTTCAGCCCAATATCAAAAGGGAAAATAATCATATGTATCATTATTTTCTTGTTAAACCTAATTATATCCAAAAATAATTATTATTGAACGTGTCGCTGTCTATTATTTTAATGCACTGAATAGGGTAATACCTTCTCAGAGATATATTTAAGGGGTTTGTTTATTAATATTAATAACATAATAATAACAACATAATTTTCATTTTAGGAGTACTAATTCTTGTGCTAAAAGAGATTCACATTTCTTCATTATTTACTCACACTCAGGTGGTTCGAAATGTGGTTCTTCTTTTGAACTAAATAAGACATCAAAAGTCATCTTTATTGCAATATTTTTAAAACTTATAATGTATTATTTAAATTGATTTCTATTAGGTTAATAATTATGTTTAAACTTACTAAAATGTATGCTCTCTGTTGAATGAATATGTGTACTATGAATGAAGTTTGGATGGGTTACCTGTACATCTGCCATGTTGTCTTTGTCACATGACCTATGTGGTCAGTTGTGTCACTTTATTTAAATGCAATCTCTTTTGAGAACAAATGTCACAATACATAACATCTTGGGGTGGGTGGTATGACCAACATTTATGGTATGATTCATTTTATTTCTTAGTAATGATATAGTTATTGTTAGATCAACAAAATGAAAAATGAAATCATCAAAAGAGGTTATAATAATCATTTTCTTTTCAGCTTACTCCCCTTACTCTTTAGGGGTCGCCACAGCGGAATGAATTGCCAACTTATCCAGCATAATCTTTATGCAGCGGATGGCCTTCCATCTGCAACCCATCACTGGCAAACACCCACACACTTTCATTCACACACATAATCTACGGACAGTTTAGCTTACCCAAATTCACCTATATCGCATGTCTTTGGACTTGTGGGGGAAACCAGAGCACTCAGAGGAAACCCACACGAAACGGTGGAAACATGCAAACTCCACACAGAAATGCCAACTGACCCAGCAGAGGCTCGAACCAGCAACCTTCTTGCTGTGAGGTGATTGTGCTACCCACTGTGCTATCGTGACGCCCAAGGTTATAATAAATGAACTTAAACACTTCACAATGCACAATATAAGATCAAACTCATTATGTCTGAGCTGATGCCAATATATTTTCTAGTCATCAGTTTCTGCGAAGTGTTTATTTACGGGTTAATTTACAGTCATGTTTGAGACACTTATTCCTCATCAGAGTTGGCTTCTTACAATAAATTAAAAACAGATTTGTGATTTTATGACCTTTGATGATTTGCTCAAAGACGCCACTATCATTTGTCCCCTGTAACTTTAAAATACAGCAGTCTGTAAATAAATTTTTCATGGGGCGGGCCCTAGGCCCCATCAGGAGGCTGCTTGAGAGCATTATTGTTTAAAAAAATAAATAAAAGAGCAGATATTGAATTTAGTCAAAAAGTACTTTTTTCTGATATTCTGACCAGTATATCCAACAAGACTAATGATTTTATGACAACATCATGTTATTAATGTATTTTACTTAAAATTCCTTTAATCTAATGTGAATGAATCATTTTGCTGAATGGGCATATCAGGACCTTGGGGAGGGTGTTAGTCGGCAGAGGCGATAGCTTTACACAAATGACTGTTTAACTTACTGAGGGATATTGTACACAGAGTTATTCTGTACTCATATTCACAGTTTCAGGTCGGTAATCTAAATCAGTTAGCCTAAATCACAGGTAAAATTTTACCTCAAATTGCTGACATAATCTTACTACGATTGCTTCTCAGTCTCACGCTTAACTTATTTACATCTATACATTGAATAAAAATGATTTTTGACATAAACAGGATAAAAACGTAAAGAATAATTTATGTATGTTCTTTTATAAATTTTATTGATAGTAGGATATAAATAGTTCTGGTAACACGTTAGTTTAGCTCACAATTCGTTCATTACCTTTTCAGCTTAGTCCATTTATTAATCCAGGGTCGCCACAGCGGAATGAACCGCCAACTTATCCAGCACATGTTTTACGTAGCAGATGCCCTAAGAAATCTAACATTGGGATATTTTTTAATTCTGCGATAAATGTTGCGATATGAATACAATTTCACTAGATGAGTTAAATAACTATTTGGAAAGACTTTATCATTTTAGACTGATTGGTATGATTATAGAAGAGTTCACATGCATAAAATATAAGAGACAATCTACAAGCATAGATGAATTGAATAACGAAAATGATACCAATAAAATAAACAGTGTTGTTTTACAATGAGTCAAACAACATTCAGGTGTATAGCAAATGAATAATCAAATGTAAACGTTACAAACGGTGCAGTTTCTTATAGGCCTGAATGTTTTTAAAACCTTCATACTGTCACAGGCTTCGAACAAAAACTCTTTTTTTGTCTGCAAAAATGATAAATTATAATCCAAACTCAACATAGTGTATGCTCGCGATGTGCTATTGTGAATGATCACATTGTGATACCACAATGCTGAAACGATATAATGTGCAGCCCTAATCTTAATGTATGTATGTATGTATGTATGTATGTATGTATGTGTGTGTGTGTATGTATGCATGCATGCATGCATGTATGTATGTATATACAGTATATATATATATATATATATATATATATATATATATATATATATATATATATATACACACACACACACACACACACACACACACACACACACACACACACACACACACACAGTTGAAGTCAGAATTATTAGCCCCCCTGTTAATTATTTCTGTTTAACAGAGAATATATTTTTTTCAACACATTTCTAATCGTAATCATGAAAATTTCCTTGCTCTGTTAAACATCATTTGGGAAATATATCTTATTAAAAAAGAAAAATAATTCAAAGGGGGGCTAATAATTCTGACTTAAACTGTATATTTTCTTTTTGGGGCATTGGGAAATGCTACTGTATATTTCTTAGTGTGATTCAACCTTACAGTTTTTTACTCCATAAAATGCTGATAAGTTTTTTTTTTTTATTTCTCCTGTACAGATTTCTTTTCTTTCTGCATCCCGACTGTCTTAAAGTGGTTTCTTCAGTCCAGTACCTCAGTCCTCCGGGCAGCTGACCTCTCTACCAGCTGTCAAACTCTTTATCGTTCATCCTCAAGAAATCTGACATGTTTGCTCTTTTTACAGTCAACTCAGCGACACTGTCAGCCTGGGAACAACAACAGGTCTGTTGATCTGAAAAGTGACATTTGTCTTAAACTGTCGTATCAGTGTTTTTCACTCTCCAGAAGTGTTTCTGCAGTCACTGCTGTTTTTTTTTTTTTTAAACCAAGGATCAATGACTGTACATACTGGTGCAATAACTACAGTATCACTTTATTACTGTCATAGAGACTAGCAAGAAAACATAACTATTTTAGGTATTGTTAGAAAAGTGTCTAATTCATATGTAAACGTATATGATTTTTCAAATAAGGTGTGCTACTAAAGCCCTATTTCTCATTGGGGAATGAGCAAATCATGCTAAAATGTACAAATGAGATTATACAAGTTATTATTCAGCCACTTTATCAGAAAAGTTAGGAATTGCTGTGAGATTGGAGGGACACATTTAAAGCTGCTGTCTTATTACAGAAACCTGGAATTTGACTTACATTGTGGGAATTAATTCTTTAGGCTGATTTTACATATCAAAACAGTCTGACAAGCTATTTGAAAAGCACTATTCTGGAGTTTGGAAGCGAAACAGGCAATTTCTTTAAAGGATCAAGACAGCTGGAGACACAGCAATGGAATCAACTTTGCATTTCCATTTGTCCAATTAGAGTTCAAAACAGAGACAGATAATTGTGTATCAGTGAATAAATGAGGTAAAGTAGCCTTTTGAAAGAACGCCTCTGATCTGGCTGATGTGACCAGAATTGATGAGTGCAACCAAGAAAAGAGGCCATTCATACATATAGTAGGCCTCTTCACAAAGCAGGCAGGTGGCACTTTTACTCGTCTTTGTCCATTTTGGAATGCAATTCTGCCAGTTCTGCCCCTTTCTCACGTGGTAAATACTTCACCTCGGCTGCTGAGGTTGTTCTTGAACAGAATTCCCATGAACACTGCCGCTGTGGTGTGTGTGACTATAAAACTATATATACAGTATGTATCTAGCTTTAAGCAGACAGTGATCTACTTGAATATAGACGTCTACACATCTATGTTATGGTTATATTTGTTCAAATTAAATTGAACTGTTTATTTAAAATGTATTTATGCTATTATGGTGCCCCATTAATCATTACTGAATTTCTATGGAGTGTGTAATGAACACTGATAAAGTTTTAAAGATCAAAGTGCACCAAATTATAAAGTTATGGGCTCCAAAAAAAAAAAAAAACATTATAATCTGCAAATTAAGCCATTAGATTAATAAATTATGGACTTTTACCAAAACTTCTGTTATCGTAGTCACTGAAGCAACTATGATAATATTGAAAGTATAAGTAGTTTGAACGAGCTGGTGTTTCACAATTATGCCACTGCAATAGCCTAGTGGTTAGCACGCTGACATATAGTTTCGTAGCACTTCAGGGCGTTCTGAGTTTGAATCCCAGCTTGAGGACATTTCCTGTCCCTACTCTCCCTACTCCCTGACCTCTCTCCCATTTCACTTCCTGTCTATAATACTGTCCTATTTACTTAACAAAAGGCTAAAATAAATCTTTGAAAAATCCCTCCCTCATAATATATATATATAATATCTCCTTAGTTTGTTAGTGATTAAACTTTTTGATAAAAATAATTTCGCATTGGACATCTGTGTGTGTAACCTGGGACAAGACTGTTAAGGTGCTCAGTCAGATGCTAGTATTTATATCTGGAGTCCTGAAATGTGGTCAGTGAGATCTAGTCTCCTGTTGAGTTTTGCTCTAACACTAATTAAACAGATGCTAGGTCGACACGAGGCATAGGTATCAGTGCTGGTGTTATAAAAAGATCACAAAAACTTATTATTATTATGGGGGGAATTTCCTCATCCACCACCAGTGTACAGCATCCACCTGGATGACAAGACTGCAGCCATATTGCCCAGACTTCACACCACACACCAGCTGATTGGTGGAGAGGAGACAGAGTGATGAAGCCCTGCTTGGCTTCAGTAGGCGACCATGTGAGAGCTAGCTGCCGGCAGAGTAAACAAGGCAATTAACGCAGTTCTTACAATACTTCTAATTGTAAGAAATATTTGATAAATTATTTTTAATTAGGGGATGTGGTGCCACAGTAGGTAGTGCTGTCACCTCACAGCAAGAAAGTCGCTGGTTTGAGCCTAGGCTGGGTCAGTTGACATTTCTGTGTGGAGTTTGCATGTTCTCCCTGTATTCGCATGGGTTTCCTCTGGGTGCTCCAGTTTCCCCCACAAATCCAAAGACATGTGGCACTGGTGAATTGAATAAGTGTATGTGTGTGAATGAGAGTGAATGGATGTTTCCCAGTGATGGATTGCAGCTGGAAGGGCATCCGCTGCGTAGAACATATGCTGGATAAGTTGGCGATTCATTCCACTGTGGCGACCCCAGATTAATACAGGGACTAAGCCAAAATAAATTAAATGAATGAAAATTTAAACTTAATTAAACGGATCCTTAATGCAAGGCTATTGTCACTGTCCTACAATAGATGGGTTTCCATCGTCCTGTGTTAATGCTCATTTTGAAGTATGAGTTGAGAAACGAATGATTAAAATGTCAAAATCTGAACAAAAATCTCTTAATTAATCCCATCTTTTGGATGAGATGTTAAACTGAAGTCCTGACTCTATGTGCTCATTCAAAATCCCATGGCACTTTTCGTAAAGTGTAGGGGTCTAACCCCTGGCCAAATTCTCTCCATCAACTCTTACCTATCATGGCCTTCCAATCATCTCCATCACTGTCTTGACTTCCCCTAAAGCTGGTGAGAGACAGCCTCAAATGATTATAAAAAGCTTTGGGTGTATGAGCATACACGATAAAGGCACTATATAAAATACACACATTACATTACATTGCATTAATTAGTTAAAAACGTTTACACACTTAATGTAAACTTTGACTCAAATAAAAACATTTTAATGCAAATTATGAGGCATGGAAATGCATTTTGCCAAATAAACTGACATAGCGGACATTAAACCCATGTAATCAGTGAGCTTTCTCCATTATGCTTGTCTTGTTTTCTGTTGTTTATTAGGTAACCAATACTACAGCCAATCGCTCTAACAACTTGATGGAAATTCACCTAAATTTTGTTTGTTTTTTTACAAACTTTGAAAAGATTTAAATCATGTTAGAATAGAAACCTTGCTAATGATTCTAATGACTCGTGTTTGAATTGAGACCATTGTTACTTTCCACATTTGCTTAGCATAGAAATCAGTTGACCAGCAATCAGCTGACCAGTCAGAGCAGACTCGTGAAAGGGAGCAGTTTAGGTAATAAATAGTCAAATAAATAATATGAATCTAGCTGAGAAGTAACTAAACTAACTGACAAAACTAAATTAAGGGGACACTTTAATTTACAGTGCTGTAAACCAAAATTTAATGTATAGATTTTAAAAGGAAATTGGAAACCAAAGAAGTGGTACATTCAAAGGTGAACTACATGCACATGTTGTCCTTGCTCTAAAGAAAAGTAAGCCAAAGGGTCATTTCAAAGAAACCCTGCTAAATCCTTAGCAGCTATTAGCAAAGTATTATATTTCAGGGCCTCGGCCTGTTTTCCATTAGAATCTGCATCAACATCTGGTACAGGGCTGGTGTCAGTAATGAAGGCAGTGATAATCCTCAATAAATGCACTGTAAATTGGCAATCAAAAATGAATGGAAGCTTTTCAGATAGCTTATTACTTGATTTACTTCAAATTGGGAAATATTTGACCTTGAAATGTAAGTGTTGCTGTTTAAGTATTTGTTGTACAAATTTGAACATACTGTATTGCATCTCAGGATAAGCTGTGTCAAAATACAATAAAAATGCTTTGTTGTTTTAACCCAAATTCAACTCAAACACGGACAAATCCAACTAGATTAAATTTTGGTTGGGTTTGTTCATGTCTGAGCCAAATTTGGGTTAAAACAAGCTAGCATTTTTTAGAGTGCAAAAATGAGATGGCAGATAATAGCATGTAAAACTTCAAACACTCTCAATATTCCTAAATGAATGTGTTGCATGAATCTTTAGCTATATACGATTATGTAAAGTGTTGGAATGTTATATTGATACGATACAATTATTTTCTCACCTCCTAGTGCCATTATATTATTTTCATGACAGGGCAGCTGACGATATTATGGTTCTGTGCAATATTTACATTGATGTGCTTGCCTTTCTATTAGTTTTAATACAAATCAGTGAGTATTAATAAATGAGTATTATAAAAGACCTATTTATGAATCCTATCTTTTTGTATTTGTGTTTTGTATTGTGTATATATTGGATCATTTCACCTGCACTAAACTGTGGGCTGTTTCAGAATCAAGCAGATGAGCTGAGGTGTCAGCACTGTATGTGGCTCAGACATTGCCTAATAGACAGAACAATAGCAAAGCAAACAGCAGAGTGACCGAACAGATTCCTGTATCAGGCCTGGCGCCGGCCGTGATTTAAAGGCACAGTTCACTCAAAATGAAAATTGGCTGTTAAATGGTTAGTTCACCCAAAAATGAAAATTTTGTTATTAATCACTCACCCACGTGTCAATGCAATCTCCTCAAACATTTGATCATGATCAGAACACAAATTAAATTGTTTGCAGTTTTTTTTTGCCCACAAATGTGTTCTTGGAGCTTCATATAGTTATAGTTGAGCCACTGAAGTCACAAGGATGGGTTTTTTGGTCCTCTTTTTTAGTTTGAATGCCTCTGGACCATTGCTTCATGGAGAATGAGAGAGCTCTCTATAAAATTTTATCTAAAAAAACATATTTTGCGTTAAGAATTTGAAAAAAGAATTTTAACTACATGAGGGTGAGTATAATTAATAACAGAATTCTCAGTTTTGAAGACTAACCCTTAATTTCCTCACCTTCGGGCCAAGATATGGGTGACTTTTACTTCAGTTCATATATTACAGAAATATTATAACTGAAATCATGCTGCTATGTGATTCATAAGATGCACAGCAGTGGATATCGAAACTTTGAGAGGTCTTTTTTTCTAATAAATAATAAGCATTGTAAAAACTATGATCCATGGCTCTTGGCAATACATTGAGGTCTTATAAAACAATATGATCAGTCTGTTTTGCACAGTGGTTTCCAAAGTGGGGGTCGGGATCCTCTAGGGTAGAGGTGTTCAAACTCGGTCCTGGAGGGCCAGTGTCCTGGAGAGTTTAGCTCCAACTTGCTTCAACACACCTGCCAGAAAGTTTTTAGTAATGTATATCTAGCAAAAGCTTGATTAGCTGGTTCAGGTGTGTTTGATTAGGGATGGAGCTAAACTCTCCAGGACACCAGCCCTCTAGTACTGAGTTTAGACACCCCTGCTCTAGGGGGTCACATGACAGTGACAAGGGGTGAATCATCTTGGTGATTTCCAAAAGTCAACTAAATGTTATTAAACTATTAAAATTGCCATATTTTATTCATAACCCACAGAAGATAAAAAATAGTAGATGATAGTTACATAAAAAAGCAACATCATGCAAATGAAAAGCCAACAGCCTTTCAATAATTTTTTTTCATAGTATTGGTGTGTTTATGTTTGATTAACAACACTGCAATAGCTGCAGCAGATTGATTTTATAGCATCAGATAAAATTTTCTGACACCTTTATGGCAATCAAGTACACTAAAAATAATTACAGGCCACAATTATACAATGAGGATGATCTCTGAGTGGCAGTCTCCAAAATTAAACCAAGAATAGTCATGTGCCCAACATTGTACCCACCAGTCTCATTAGGTGAGGTTAATATTAAATTAATAAATGACTATAAAAATGATATAGTTGTAAGACTGTTGCACTTTTTTGTATCGTCAGTATGCTTGTGTTATAGGCCTATTGTTGTGTGCGCAATGTTTGTATATTTATATCCATCTCCAAAAAAATGTGGGGGTCACAAATCACTGGCATTGTTATTTTGAGGGTCTCGTGTTGAAAAGTTTGGGAATCCCTGGTTTAGTAAAATGAATATTATTCATTTTAGGCTTTAAATCCCATCCCCACAGACAGCCCTGAGCTTTTAGGATAATTAATATTCAACTTCATGTATACAGACTAAATTTTTCACTTCATTTATTGCCAGGAGCCTACATCCTGGTCATAAGGTCAAGAAAATTAACAGCAAATGTAATTTTCTGGGTAATCATAAGGATAGATCATCTCAGCAAGTCTGACTGAATGTAAGTTTTAAAATTGCTGTTTCCCCTTTTGTCAGAGCCATTGATTTACACTAATGTCAATAAAACGCAATGTGGTGCAATATGTAATATAATCAAAAGCTTAAGCTAACACTTTATCATTTTATATTTACTGTGGCCCAATTGGATGAGAAAAAAAGTTGGAGACTAAAGAATCGACAAATTACTTATTCCAAAGGATAGCTAGAGCAGAGATACCCAAACTAGGACCAGCTGGCTCATGGTAAACTTTGATTTGGGCCGCCCTCCAATCTGAGAAGAGAGGGAGAATAATGGGAATGGTTTAAGAGATTGTCATTTCAAATATAATGTATTAACTTTTGTTTGTTTTATTATTAAATATAAACTTTAAATGTACATACTGTCATCTGATGGAAATTATGCAAAATCATGACAAAGGCAGATTCTGCTTGACCAGTGTATTCAGCATTGAACTCCACCACGTTTTATAGCAAGAAGTTATCATTTTAAAGGTTATACTGCATTAGTTATTATGATTTAAAGTTATATTTTTGTTTATTTTTAAATATTATTAAATAAATTACCTATGGGAACTTTAATGCAATATAGTTTGGTTTATTTAACTTCGGTCCACGGCTCAAGCTATTAGTTTCTGACTCGAAAAAGTTTAGGCACCCCTGGCTTTTAAGTAATAGTTGTAACTTGTATAGATGGTGTGCAGTGCGTGGGTATACCGACTTTAATTAATTTTACTAAGTTTGTCGAGTCGCGTTGATCTTATAAACAAAGCATTTGATTGGTCCTTCAGTCGATGACGTTAGGATTCCATCCACACAACACTGCGAGCGCTCCTGAAATATATTACCGTAATGTGCGCGTGCAGGTTATTCGCATCGCGTCGCTCGTTTACCGCACACTGTACACGAAGGAGGCGCAGGCCACTCCCTCCGCTCACTCCGACTGACTGTCACCGACAAACAACGTGGGACGCTGGAATTCGTTAAACCACGCCACAGACACTTTAGCTCTGCTCTTTATACACCGAGTGAATCTCGCGCTCCGCGGAGCTGGAAATATGTGTAAACTACTGACAGCGGTCAAATAAACACTGCACTAGCACTCGCGCTGGAGGACTCACTAATGTCATGACAGTCTCTGTGGACTGTGAGGAATTAATAACAGCCAGCATGAAGCGGGCAGGTAGAGTCAGAAGGATTTAAGACTTTTTAAACTTGCTGAAATCACTAAACATGGACGAGGCGGAGGCTGCAGACGGGAGCGGAGCGCGGGGCGGTGAACTCGAGCGTCCCGCTGACGGAGCGCTGGATGAGGTGCAGATGCATCTCGCCTGCTTACCGGAGCGATACATGAGGGCGAAGTTTTCCCTCTCCGCGTACATATTTTGCTGGACAGTTGTGAAGTTGTGTCAGGTAAGGCTCATTGTGTTTAAAAACACACTCTGAAGATGTGAACAATAGCTACATTGCCTCAACATTTATAAAGTTATGTTTGTAACCAAATAATAATGATAACAATAATGGGTAAAAAGTAGAATTATTTTAATTATGTTTAAGATAAACTATTAAATGAATTTACAAATTTAAAGACTAGCACTTAATTATAGTATTAACTACTACCCCCCCTCCAAATATAAATCTAAACATATAAAATTACTTCAGCCATTGTGCTTCTCAAATAAAGATTTCTTGATTCCAGAATGTTTTATTCACATTGAATTAAAGGACTTTATTTAGAAGTAGAAATGTTTACCTTTCAAATAATATGTGTTCATAAAAAAACTAGAGTATAATTATAAGACATGAGTATCAGTCTGTATTGCCCATGAGAAGCCCCACACATTGTTTTAGGGACCCCTCTTATTATATTATATATCTTATTATAATCTAAACATAGATTTTCTCAAAAAGTTTTTCATCAAAAAACATAACTTTTATTTTTGAAGAAAACCCCTTATTTCAGAGAAGAAGCATCCCAGAGTACTGCTATGCCTCTTTTGTAAAAATATCCAGCAAATGCAAGCAAATGATTGTGAAGTCGTGCCTCACAGTAGATTCCCTCAATGTCTTTGCATGAAGTCAGACACTCCACCTGCTCAAACCAAGGGGGTCTGTTAAGCTCATCGGTATTTAACTCTCCAGCACTCCTGCTTTTAATTTTATACCACTATCATGATATTAGGCAGTTGAAAGCTATGATATCATCATCATCATCATCATCATCATCATCATCATCATCATCATCACACTGAGTAAATAAAAAAAGTAATGATTATATCTTAAAGGGAAAGTCACCCTCAAAATGAATATGTCCTTTCTCATTTAATCTCACTAGAATGGTTCTGAACTTCTATGAACTTCTTTCTTTTGTTGAATACAAAAGACAATATTCTGAATAATGTCTAAAAAAGCAGTAACTGACATCTGTTGGAAAAACAGTTTCTATGGAAAGCAGTGGCTGTTTTTTCCCCACCATTTTTTTCAGTATATCCTCTCTTGTGTTCAACAGAAGAAAGAAACTCAAACAGGTTTAGAACCTATGGAAGATGAGTAAACAATGGCATTTTTCTTTTCATTTTTGGGTGAACTATCCCTTTAAGAACCAAAAGGGGTGAATATAAATGTAATGTACTAAGCTATTTGTTAAATCATACACTTTAATATATATATATTGGTTAATTAACAGTTGCTCCTAACTTGTAACTTCTATGGGCTGTTTATTTAAACATTCTATTTATTTACATATAAATTGCTGTGATCTGACAACTTTTGATGTTAAAAATGTAACAAAAAAAATCACTTTTGTGGACACTTTTTTGTAGTTTAAAGAAACACATTCTATGAAACTAATAGAAGTAGAACATTGTATAATAAATTTAGTAAGATAAGAAAAAATGCAGACCTTACACCCCTATATTTCTGTTTATGTTTTGAGAAATATGAAATATCTTTTCATACTTTTGACAAAATTTGTGAAGTAGGCATCACATTTTAAAGCAGTATGAGCAGTTTGGTGGTATTCAATTTCAATCTAGCTTCTGTTTAATGCTAAAAACAATTTTTTTGCATGTGAATTGCTGTAGCACAGTAATGCTTACCACAATTGATTAATAACTGTTGCTCATTTTATCTATAAAAAAACAACAACAAGACATTGAGAGTTGTTAAAAAAGAGAGTAAACCTAAAGTGATTAGTTAAACTCATTGTCTTAAAATTATGTATAGTACTTAGAACTGTGTATAAATATTCAAGTTAGGTCAACTTAACAGTTCCATGTTACAATATTTACCTTTTTTAAGTAAATTAATAATCACTTTTTACAGTGCAGTTTGTACTTCACTGTAAAAAATGCGGGGTCCACACAATTCCTTCATGTTGTCCCAACATAAATCGATTAAGTTAAAATAATCATTTTACAATTTTAAATGGACTGAACTTAAAACATAAGTTGTCCTAAAAAACTTATTAAGAACTGTGTTGTTTCAACTCCTTTTAAATAACTAGTTTGAACAAGCAGAAAAAGTTATTTTTTGAGTGTTGTAATACAAACTGTAATGTATTGTAATTTGTAATTTACACGACAACCCTACAATATATATTATTATAAGCTTTTTAAAGTGTCCAATAAAAGTCATTTTGTAAAAACTTTTATCAATTTTAGTCAGACCAGAAATCAAAGCTGACATTATGCAAACAGACTCAATAAAATGACTTGTGCTGCTTGTTCAAACTGCTTATGTAATATGAGTTGAAGCAACACAATTTTTGTGTTTTTTTTTTTGACAACTTAATTGTTTTTATTCAATCCACTTAAATTTGTAAAAGCGATTAATTTTATTTATTATATGATTTGTGTTGGGACCCAGCATTTTTTACAGTGCATACAGTGGGGATGACAAGTATTGAACACGTCATGTTTTTTCCTGGGAATAAAATTTCTAAAGAAGCTGTTGACTTTGAATTAAATCCGATTTTTGGCAAAAACCTAAACAATACAAACATAAAAACAAACAAAACTAAAATAAATTGTTACAGTAGATGTAATAACAATGAAATGACACAAGGAGAAAGTACAGAACTACTGATATGTATTTAATACTTTATATAAAAGGCTTTTTGGCGATGACAACTTAAAGACGCCTCTCATGTAAAGAATAAAGTCATTTGAGAGTTTCCTTGGCTGTATTTTGCATCATTGTCTTGCTGAAACGTCCACTCTAGTTTCATCTTTATCATCCTGACAATGTAGATGTTGGACTGAAGCAGCTAATAGTAATTTATAATAAGGAAGGGCAGAGGGTTGCTGAATTACTTCTAAAATTAAAAGATTTCAGCTGCTGTCTGGTCTTTCACTGCCTTTTCTTTATGTTCAATATGTTTTCCCTGCATCTTTTCATTTTATTAAGCATAACTTAATTCGTAAACTAATTAGATTTGTTTTCTTTGCATATTTTGTTTTGGTTGTTACCAACATCTGGTGAAAATTTCAAGTCAACGTCACCTTTAGAAATATGTTTTCTGAGAAAAATGGTGACATTATTTTCCCTGCTGTAAGTGAACACATAAAATAACAGAATTTTTGCAGTGTAGTCGACCTACTTCAACATATTCAAATCAAGACAAGCAATGATATCCAAATAAGTAACAGTTGCCTTTTCAGTTTGATTATGCATATTTTTCGCATAGACTTATTGGCTCTCAGCAATGCAGCTGAATCCTTGAACCTGTTCCAGCAGTGGAGTGTTTCTCAGGGCATTGAAACGTCTCTGTAATGGCTGGCTGACTGCATCCATACACTATTCCCTCTACCAGCCTTTGAACTGCTGCCATTTCAACCTTTCCATGAATACAGCAGCTGTAAATCACAGGAACGTCTCAAGGTTTATGACCTATTAGGGCTTTATCAGGGGTTCAGCATCTTTTATTCTGAGCGAGGTGCTGCTAAAATGCTCTGCATGTTTGCCCAAACTTCAGCAACAACGGCTTTGGTGGACTCTAGAAAATAAAGATCTCAGTTCATGGTAATTTTAAGAGGCTCCATCTTTTCAGAGTGCTTTGTTGAGTTCTGTGACTTGCTGAGGTATTTAAAAGAGGTCAAATCTGACAATTTAATCAGGTTTACTAAAATATGATGGAGAGTACATATTTTAACTTAGGGGTCAGAAATCTTTTTTCAGCAAAGAGGCGTTTCAGATTTTTTTTTGGCAAATATATGTATATTTATATAACTACTCTAAATAATACAGGTTAGGGCTGGGCGATTTGGCCTAAAATCTGAATGTCTCTTAATTGAACATTTGAGCTCAATTACTATTATTGAACGATTAATAAATTGTTTATTTTTTACTTTTTGCCCTCATAGTTAACTGACAGGTTTTGTACAGTAAATATGCTCACATATTACAAGTCAGAGATTTTTAAATGAAGAGTGCATTACTTGATTTTAAAATAATTAAAAGAAACACACACTATTCAGTATCTATAATTATTTTATCGAACATCAATGTTGAATAATTGAAATCAAAAAGAATAGTCAAACAAGAACTAGAGAGAGTGACTGAAAAAATTGACCTGGAAAAATTTGATTGATTACTTTTTGATTAATATCCCAGCTTTAATACAGGTTTAAACAAAACCTTTATTTATGTCCATGCACAACTCAAAAATAAACAAATATGATGCATCGCATTTTGAGCAAGTCCATAAACGAAGAAAGGACAATTTATAAAAAATGTTCTTTGCACCGTCACCACTCATAAATGCTGTTTGAATTTACACATGCGAGGTTACCATAGAAATATAAGTTTCTTACCCTTTATTGGTGTCGCGATTCAAGTTTATCCACAGCTTCGCACTCACACATTGGTCGAATGTTCTTTTATTGTAAAGATGAAGTTCTTATTCTTTTTTGCTGTAAATACCATAAAAAGGGAACTGTTATTGAATTTTCAATAGGAAACTGATTTCTAGTGATGGTTATAATTTTTTAAACTTTAAATTAAATTTGAAAGGAGAAAGCTGGAGAGCCACATGTGGCTCAAGAGCATAGGTTCTCGACCACTGATCTAACTGCATCTGTCAAGGACGAAATAGGGATTTCAAGCATAAAAATGAAAGTGTATTGCAGCTTCAAATGTGTCCTGTTTTATTTATTTATGAGCAAAAAAAAAAACAAAAAAACAATAATGGAACAAAATACATACATTTTTACTGCAATTTACAGAAACCAAAAAAGTCATTGAATGCAACAAATCGTTTTTATATGGCATTATAAGGCATTTTTAATCAGAATATTTAAGTATCATGCATTCTAAAAAAATATTGTGTAATAATTTTTTTGTGTGATTTTTGTTCTGTTGAAGACAAAACTCTTAGTCATCCAGTGAAGATTTTAATCCTTTTCAAAAATTTCCCAAGTGCTGTTTAAATGGAGATTATTTTTTTCAACACATTTTTCAAAATAACATTTAATGTTAACTATTTAGTCTTTGTCATGATGACAATAGGGGAGAATGGGGACGAAAGTAACAAATTGAGCCCTGACAACATTTGCTTCAAGTTGTGTTTCTCTTTTCATGCATCACAGTAATGATCAATATACATGTTATTTAGTGCAATAACACAGCCTTAAGTTTGAAATCTCTAAGTTTTTCAGTTTAAAAGTAAATCAGGTTTAAATCAGGCAAGAGTTCCTGTGAGGACAAAAGTAGCACTGGTAATTATACCCCACTGCTAATAGACAAATCATATTTTTCACTTCCACATTGAGTTTGCAGTGTTTTGTTTCACATGTTAAAAAAAAGAATGCATATTGACAATAATAATAAAAAATATATATTCAAAGATTTTAGAAAATGTTAACATTTTGCATTGTTGGTTTGCTTTTGAAACATTTGATGAAAGTGAAATTGAAAATGCAGTTTAACATTTTTTTGCAAATATAAAGCACAAAATATGTTTACAGTTAACATTAACAAGGTTCTGTCTAGAATAATATCTTTTAAAAATAGGTTTTTATGAAAAATGGTATTTTCATCCCCACTCTCCCCTACATAATTGAATTTGTTATATTACAAGATAGTGGTATTCATTTTAAAGTGGAATTTGAAGGCTTATCTAGGTTAATTAGGTTGGTGAGTTAGTCATTGGACAACAGTGGTTTGTTCTGTAGACAATTGAAAAAAATTTAGCTATATAAATTTTATATAACATTTCCAGGTTCTGCGGGTTGCAGTGTCCTGCCTTTGTTAAGCTAATTGTAATTGTTTGTTTTGGTTCAATTTGGAATTTCCCCAACCAATCGCAGAGCCTGGGGCACCAGAGTGAGTGCTCGGACTTGGCCCTCCTGGTCCATAACTATGTATATTTTTTATTAACTAAAATTAAATGAAAGTTTCTTCAGAGGAAAATTATAATGTGAAATACTGTGAAAGTTTAGTTTGTTCTGTTAAACATCACTTAATTATATTAAAATGCCAAAGGAGGGCTACAGTAATAATTGTGTCTGTAAATTTGGTAAAATAACTGTATATTTGTTATTTTACTCTTTCAAATTGCATTATGGAAACTTGATCTCTGCTCTGACACCGTCTGATGTTAAAAAGCTTAACAAAGTGACTTTAATGGACCTTTTATTAGCATTTTGACTCAATTTATTGCCTTAATTGGTCATAAATTATGATATAAAAACAATGATGGGCTGCCAGTACTTTTTTATTGCAGCAATTTATTTCAATATGTCTTATTTTTTATACAAAGTTTTGCCTTACACTAATAAAAATGTCAATAAAAGCCACTTTTTCTAAACTTCAAAGTTTTCAACATTAAAAGTTGTTGGCACAGAGATTAGGTCCCATAATACTATAAAGTTCCATAAAACTGTTAAATAAGATATTTTCTTACAGTGCAGCCCCAAAATACCTATTTTATTAATAAAATGTTGAATTATTTATACACTTATATTCTAATATTTTTTCAGCAAATCCTTTATAATAATTTGTTAAATGTAATATAGTATGCACACTTATTGTTTTATGCAGGTCACAGTAAGTTGTTTAATTTTTATTGAAATATTTATATAAATATTTCTGTTTCTATAAATGATTTATTGTTATTTTTAAATGTTGTTTCATTCATTCATTCCTTCATTTTCTTCTCGGCTTAGTCCCTTTGTTAATCCGGGGTCGCCACAGCGGTATGAGCTGCCAACTTATCCAGCACGTTTGAACGCAGCGGATGCCCTTCCAGCCGCAATTCATCTCTGGGAATCATCCACACATACTCATGCACAGTCATACAGTATGGACAATTTAGCCTTCCCAATTCCCCTGTACCACATGACTTTGGACTGTGGGGAAAAACGGAGCACCTCGGGGGAAACCCACGTGAACGCAGGGAGAACATGCAAACTCCACACAGAAACACCAAATAACCCAGCCAAGGCTCGAACCAGCAACCTTCTTGCCGTGAGGCGATAGCACTACCTACTACGCCACTGCGTTACCCCTAAATGTTGTTTTGTACATCATTAAAAATAGACACTACTTGTATTTAATATGATTTCTATATCCTGCACCGTATGTAAAATCACTTTTGTACATTTAATTAGATGTGAACACCAAAATGTGACTCTGTCCCAGCTACACTATTTAACTTCCAGGACTCTTGCAATGAAATGGAGCCGGATGCGTTAGGTCAGGGGTCACGGCACAACCTTGAACTGGTTTTAATTGTTTTAAATTGGTTAAGAGTGAGCGCTGGCATTAAAGCCCAGCAGGAGTTTATTTTAATGGTTTAGGGGGACCATATGGATGGCTGGTAGATCAAACAAAAGCATGTGTTTATTTTATGACTGAACAAAAGTTGCGCAAGAAACAGTAGCTTTAACAAGCACTTTTTTTTCTCTCTTTCATGTTTATTTGGTGACATGACTTTAAATGTTGTACATTTTATTAGTAATCTGATTGAAGGAGATGGGTTTTATCTTACAAGCATTCATAATATTGTATGTGTGTGGTAATAAAATCTTGTTTACCTTCACACTTTAATCATAACACTGTCACTAGCATACAGTATCTTATGATTGGTCCAGTCATGCTTCAGATTATGCTGTAGCAGTTCCTTGTGGTTTATGTTAACGTCAGTGTTTTGCTGCAAGGCTAATGCATGCCTCGCTTATGTTCTGTTCGGAAATGTTGTTACTTTTATTCAAGACACACCTTGAAACGGTCTTGTTTGTTTTCTTTTTGTCTGTCACCAGAGATTACGACCGTCGCTGGCTCTTCCTCGGGTAAGTTCACTCTTTCTTTTGAGTTTGATGAACCTGATAATGAGTTTGATGAGCTAAAAGATAAGACTAGTGATGCACTGAAATAAATATGTCACATGCACTTGGCTGAATAAATAAATCAAGTAATTATTTACATTTATTTGTTCATTCATATTAGTTTATATACAGTACAATCAGAATGAAAAATTTCTGCAGCCCCATAGTGTAATTGCAAATATTGAATGGCAAGTACTTTTCAGTTCTCGTTCAATGTATGTGTGTTTACAGTATATAAAGTAAAGCCCAAAATTATTTATAGTCCTGGCAAATTCTGACTTAGTTGCTTTTATTTAACCAGCAAGTTATTTTGACTCTAATTACACAGGCTTCTCCCAAAAGATAATAAGATTATGCACAAGAGGTTTCATTGTAAAAAAATATTTCTCAGCTTTTATTTACATTTTAACAAAAAGTGGCTTGTCCAAAATTATTCATACACTTCTAAATAATAAATTGAAAAATTTTCATTGGCTATTATAGACCGATTCTCATAATTGGTGATCAGCTTTTTACAAGGCTCCGCTGTTATTTTTGCCCAATCATTTTTAGCCTTAAGCTCCAACTCTTTCAGGTTGCTGTCACCCTGATCTTTAGTTCCTTTCACAGATTTTCAATTGTCCTTGGCCTTTGTGGTGATCCTTGGATTTCTTTTTAACCTCTTTCACTGTCCTCCTGGCCTGCACTGGTGTCAATTTTGGCTTCCAACCCCATCTGCTGAGATTTTTCAAAATGCGGAACATCTTGTACCTTTTATTAATACTTTGCACGATGGCCACTGAAACTTCAAAACATTTAAATGTGGTCTTATAGCCCTTTCCTGACTTGTAAACAACCACAATTAGCAGCCACAGGCCTTCACTGAGCTTATTTTGCTCTGAAAAAATGATTTAATTGATTTTACTAGCCTTTTTAAGGTAACTGGTTGCAAACAATTTATATTTGACTTAACTGAACTTAAACAAACAAATTAAATAGAATTTTTAATAAATTTAATTTGTTTGTTTAAATGCAGCCCATATAAATTGTTTGTATGTATATGTATAATTTATTTATGCCTCTTGTACATTGTTTTATTATCTTTTGGGAGAAGCCAGTGTCATTTCTGGGCCTAAAAAGAAAAAAAAAACTTGCTGGTTTATTAAAATGTAATATCTAAGTCATAATTTGCTAGAGGAATGAATAATTTCGGACTCAACCACACACGCACACATGTACTGTTCACTTTAATTGCAAATATGTTCACAAAATAGAAATCAAACTTTCAAAATGTGTCATTACTTATTCAATTTATCTAATGACTCAATCGCATTGGCCCTTTAAACCCATTTCTGCACAAAACCACACAATTTCAGTAGTGGAAATATCAGTGCATCCTTTGATAAAAATATTGAAAACTAATCACTTTTGACAGCAAAAGAGAATCCAAGGCACTCGAAAAATGTGGAACAAATATTACAAAGCCTTTATTGACATGTCTATTCCTTAAAACTGCGCCTACACTTTTCGGCAAACACTTGCTCTCATCAGGGTAACAGAGATCAGGTGTGTCTGGACTTTCTTTTGAACACTGTGGTCTTATTAAAATAATATATTGAACACAAGGTCAACTCAACAATCATTATTAATATAGCATTGAGAGAGAACGTAATCAGTTTTGAATTGAAGCCTTTGAAGATGAATATAACCAAATAATTTCAACACCCAGCCCTACAATTCACACTGTAGCAAAACCATATTCATTAAAAAATTTGCATAATTCCTCAATTAAATCAGCGTAACACTGTCTGCAGTAGTTTGAGCTCGTTTTCTACTGTATGCACTGTAGTGTTGTTAGATCTGCCATTTTCCATTTAATATGAGGATTTATTATTTGAATTGAATCCCACTAAGTATCTCTCAGCCAAAGGGTTTGATGTAATCATCACAGAAGAATAGCGAGCAGGAGCCATCAGGACGTTCTGTACAGCTCCTCGTATATTCTGCCAGGAGCTTATCTCCCTTCACTGCTGTAGAGTCTCTGCCTTGACTTGTCGGATGCTGCTAAGTCGTTGTGCAATGCATGGAGGTCTAGTGTCTGCAGATGGTTGGTTCACTTTTCTGACACCCAGAGCAGAAGATTTGCAGTGTGTTGAGTTGCTCTGATCAGGTATGAACAGGCCGGGAAATGATGTTGGTTTTATTCAGTGGTTTTAGGCAGTGGAGATTCTTATTTAATGGAATAATTAGGCCTGATAGTTTACCACTCCTCCCTACAACAATAGTTGTTGACTTGTGTCGCACAATTTGTTCACTTCCATACGCATTTTATTGAAATGTTACCTAATATTGTTGTGTAATATTTTTTTATAGTATAATTTAAAGGGATGTTTTTATAGCCTTTCTGAATGCTTGTTGACAGCTGCTTGTTAAGTGTTTTTTTCTTTGTTGGCACAGATGATGTCATTTTAAATGAAGGATTAATATGTTGAGGTCAGGGCTCAGGTTAAACCTTTCAACAGAAATGTTATGAATTCTTCATAGAATGAAAAAAAATTATATTTTACTTTAAACCCATACTTAATAACTTCAGGTGGTCTCTTAATTTTATGATATAGAACAGGGGTTCTCAACTAGTTTCGCCATATTTTGACATGGTCATCAAGCCACGACCAAAATTTTTAGGAACTGTATTAGAATTTCAGGAATTATAATTAATTTGTATTTATTTGTTAACATACACAAGTAGTGTCAGATAAGAAAATCACCAAGACTTACAAATAAACAATATTTTATTGCTGTCATTAAACAAAATGTATCAAATTATAGAAATATTACAAAGTAAAAACAACAAATACTGTAAACAGTGGTTAGGTATAAGGATAGGTTCAGTTACCATAAACTAAACTGTTAATAAAACATGTTGTCTGGTTTCTAAATGTCGTTTTAAATAGATGGTTTCATGCTCTCTTTTCAGAGCACCTCACTAGTTATCACACACTGAGGCCTTAAGTCTTTTTTGCCGTCAATATATGTAAATCCATACTTTACATATTCAGGGTCGCACTTGCGCTTTGACATATTTGTTTCTATTATTAAATGAAATTTCACATTTCAAACGGAAGGGTTGTCGTGCACGCATTTCAAAATAAAAGTCAAAATAAGTTTAAAATTAAACTTTTGTTGTTTTTTTGACCAAACACTCCGCAACCCACTGAAAATATTCCAGTTGAGAAACACTGATATAGAAGAATATGGAGCTCAAACTGATGTAGGAAAAGTTGCTTATATTTTTATGGCCACAAAGTAAGATAAAAATCTGACGGCTTGTTAAGAGTGTAAATCAGTGAGCTTTATAGGAGGGTACTGACATTAAATCAGTGTTGAGATGTAGTTACAGTAGCAACATAGATATTTACATTAGATGTGCCTACACTGTTGTTTGCCATTGAAAGTAATATGTCAACAGACGTCGAGGCAGTGGCGCAGTGGGTAGCACGTTCGCCTCACAGCAAGAAGGTCCCTGGGTTGCTGGTTCGAACCTCGGCTCAGTTGGCGTTTCTGTGTGGAGTTTGCATGTTCTCCCTGCCTTCGCGTGGGTTTCCTCCGGGTGCTCCGGTTTCCCCCACAGTCCAAAGACATGTGGTACAGGTGAATTGTCCGTAGTGTATGAGTGTGTGTGTGAATGTTTCCCAGATGGGTTGTGGCTGGAAGGGCATCCGCTGCGTAAAAAAAAAAAACTTGCTGGATAAGTTGGTGGTTCATTCCGCTGTGGCGACCCCGGATTAATAAAGGGACTAAGCCGAAAAGAAAATGAATGTCAACAGACCTGCCATTTTAGTACAGGGTAGCGCTGCTTTGAAAAGACTGGCAACCAAAGCCAGAGATATATGCACATATATACATATATATCTAAACAAGAGTTTTCCTTGTAGTCAGTATGCAAATAATTATTTAAATTGCAAAAATTGTAATTTTACATCACTACCTCGATGAATAAGTTATCGCAAGGGCCGTCAAAGAGCGTATGTTTGTGTGGATGGAAGTGTATTATTGTCCCTACCTGTTAAGTTTGATCTAATCCGTGTCCTAAAACACACACCCTCTCTCCTGCTTTTACTTCCAATGCTAACAGAGGGAGCGATTCGTTTGTGAATTAATCCCCGTTATGAACGACAATAATACAAGTTTCTGGCACCGCAGCGTTTTGTTGTCATATTTCATTTACTGATTTTATTCAGCCAAACTAGCATAAGCCAGGTTTTTAGTGTGAGTTAGTTCTACTTTCCTTATCGTCAGTGCACTAAGACACTGTATTATCATCAGTACTTGTTTAGCACAAAAGTTTGTAACATACAAAAACCGTATAAACCTGAAAAAAAAATGAAATCTTACGTGTGAAATCTTCTGCCCTTGTGCTTTGTTTTCTTTGCTTGCTCGTTACTGCACCAATACAACGCTAAAGTCCAGCATCTTTACATTGGCTTTTGTCTTGACTAGTCCAGCTGAACACTGTACCATTGTGACAGTGCTATCTAGTATCTAGTGTATATCTAGTGTATATCTGTGCAGTAGCAATATGTAGCACAGCTACTAGCTTAGCTACATTGTTCTAGCTTAGCTATCTTGAGATCATAGATAGTAGTTCAGCTTCTTATGATACAATGTTGCTTTTCCATAGCTAGCTTTTTTTTTCCAGTAAGCAGCGGAGTAGCTTAACATTTACATTTCATTGAGTGAATCTATAATCTCCAGAAGCAGCACAGTGCCGTCTTACAAGATCACAATTGTTTATAACATTAATACTTATTAGTGTTATTTTGTAATAAACTATTTTTCAAACAACAACAGTTCAGTGTCAATCCATAAAGCAACAGTTGTGAATTAACATGAAGTAAGAATATTGTGGGGGCACAAATTCTAGCCAAAATGGAGTTATATGTCACTTTTTTTTAGATAATGCTGCAGTGATTAATCGTAGTTAA